ATAACAACGTGATATTTTGTCTCTCCGATCAATGTTTAATCATAAATAAGTTGACAACATCTTTACCTGGTAACACGATACACTGAAGAAGAGGGGTGGAGTAACAAATCAATTAACAAATCCATTGGCGGCCATACAGGCGAAGCAGAGGTGGCGCATTAAAGACATCAGATGATTGGAAACAGCCTTGAAGATGATGTTACAAATATAAAAAAATGAACCCCATGAGCTGGCGTTACCAGCTGGTTCTGTCGCAGGCTTCTCACAGTCTCATCCCACATGTTATGCGGGGAAGAGGTCTGGAAACAGCAGCTCTGGTATTACACCAATGCCGTGTTCCCCAACCAATCTGCAAGACATGGACGGGTATTATCGGGTATATGCACATTGGGTAGAATATATTCTTGAACGGTGTCGTCCCGGTAGCGTACGCAATTCAATTTGTCATCAACAATGACGAGTCTTGTTCTCCTATGAGTTGTGATACCACCCTTACCATTACACTTCAACCCAAAAACTGACGACGTTGTTTGACGTAAACGTCACTAAGAGTTTATCCTGGACGAGGTAGACTCTAGAACGATGTCGTCCCTGTAACGTACGCCATTCAACTTGTCATCAACAATGACGAGTCTTGTTCTCCTATGAGTTGTGATACCACCCTTACCATTACACTTCCACCCCAAAACTGACGACGTCGTGTGACGTAAACGTCACTAAGAGGTAATCCTGAACGAGGTAGACTCTTGCACGAAACATGTATTCATCTGTGGACAGTATACCGTCCCAGTCTCGTATCCTGAACCTCAGATGCCGTCTACACCATGCAAGGCGTGCCTGACGGTGACGTGGAAGCAAAGGTTGGCGTATCACTTGACGTCCAGGCCGGATGTTGTGCTCCCTCAACCGGTTATGTATACGGTTCTGCCACAAATTGATCTCAAGCCAGGAATTATTCGAGCTGTTAATGTGGAAGTTTGGTATCTATTCCGTTGATGCCCCAACCGGATATGGGCCCCGTTCCTCAAGGCGATCTTAGCGCTAAGGTGAATGTAAATCCCATACTTTAACATAGGCTTACGATCATCGTAGCGCTAAGATCGCTTTGGGGAACGGGGCCCTGGTCTTGTTGACGTGACGTCACACGTGGACGACCGATCCGCGACAAGTCATAGGTCTTGTCCTGCTGTAGATAACGGCTCCAAAGAGATGATAAGGTGTTTCAAGAAACATTATCATGTCTGGCTAATTCCTTTTGCGACACTTGTTTGGATAACCACTGAGGTTGTTTTTCAGCAAGCCGCCGCTTTGCGTAAGCGTTATCAACGTTTAAACAAAAGCACCTGATAGCTTAACAATTGTTGTGTGGTGTTCACTTTCAAAGCCACGCGTCTGGGTATCATGTTCCACCAAATACGCAAACATCCGAATTGCACGCCGTGTATAAACATGCACGTGCAAATTGTGAATCACGACCTTAACGTCCAGGGGATATCTTCATGAATATGGATTGAACGAAGAATTATTTAATTTAAAAAAAAATTCATATGAAGCAGAGTTACTTTTTCCGTTTGAATACTTATCCTTTTCGCGGACATCTAGTGTCATCACCTATTTATCATGATCAATTCGTATATTATTCCGTGAAGATCCGGGGTAGAATTGGTCTTCAGCAACCCATGCTTGCCGTAAAAGGCGACTAACGGGATCGAGTGGTCAGGCTCGCTGACTTGGTTGAAGCATGTCATCGATCCCAATTGCGTTGATCGATGCTCATGATATCAATCACTGGATTGCCTGGTCCAGACTCGATTATTTAAAGACCGCCGTCATACAGTTGGAATATTACTGATTGCAGCGAATTCACTTTCGTAGGTCCTCAGGGCTGTAGTGTCATCGATTACTGTGTAGTGTCATCCGATATCTTTAGTTATGTTGAATCTTTTCATGTGCTGAGCGAAACGCATTCAGATCACATGCCCATAAATGCTGTTATATCTGTACCAAATGAAAATGTCATGTCAATAAACCAGCACGACGCAGCACGTGCAACACAGTGCGAACAACATGACCTGACGCGCTTTGTGTGGGAGAACTGTAGACGCGATGCATTCCTCAACCACCTTAGTAATGAACAATCTTTTAATATAGAGACATTCAAAAAGGCAGTTGAACATGATATTGATTACAGTGTTGAACTATTACAATTAGCTGTTAGTGAATCGCTTGTCAAAACAGGTTTTCATTCTACTACTGGAAAAAAACCCAAGATAAGTAACCAGCAACCACAATGGTTCGACAAGAGCTGCCACGGTGCTAAAAAGAACAAATATAAAACGTTAAACCTTTTAAGAACGACAAAAAAGATACTGAATATTATACAGAATATATATCTAAATATACAAAAGTTCATTTGTTGTCATGTATACATGTTTCAGGTGACCTGCACAAAAGCTTGTACAAGCTGGTCGGGGAAAATGCCAAGTTTGAAAACGGTCTCCTAGAAGAAACATCAGCCAGTCTGCTGCACTGCGGCCGTCTGTGTCACGTACTTCCGGCTTGTGGGATGTTCAGCCATGACAGTTTCAATGACTCATGTGCCCTCTTCGATAGGATGACTTCCCAACTGAGTCAAGATCCTCAACTTCTGTGGCAGTCCTGGAAGATAAAGTACTGTTAGTCTGCTAGAGATGCATTAATGCACTGTAACGCATGCTTTTGTCGATGCCAACTTGTGTCCATGTGTACATCCTTTTACAAATATAATTTGGCCTGTAAACCTTCGTCCTCGCGAAACTCATCTTCCCGAGGCAAGAGAGTTAACTGACTTTAAAAGCCCAGTTTCCACCCTTGCCGAACTTGGCTGGAATTACTGGGCTCGATCGTAGCGCCACCAGTGGCTATTACCAGTTATGTCCCTTCTAAGCCTCTCCTATGGCCCAATCAGATTCCACCTCTCGTATCACTTGTGTTTGCTTCACACAATATGGTGGCGCCCAGGACGATCTGGTCGATAATCAAGATCTATATTGTGATAAAACAGGTCTTACATCGCGAAATGCATCAAATCGCGTGAGCAGCTTGATTAAAAACATGAAAAGATTTGGAAAATATCTGCTGACAACGAGTTGGCGGTGCACATACTTTGCAAATCCTGCAATCGACCGAAATCTGCACGACAGTTTACGAACCGGATTTCGATTTCGGTGCGCGATTTTGATTGGACTATGCATAGACTCGTTAGCCCAGCCAAACTGTAACTCCATAATACCAGCCTAGTTCGGCAAGTGTGGAAACTGGACTTTTAAAGTCAGTTAACTTTCTTGCCTCGGGAAGATGCGCGATACTGTGCTTCTCAGTTTTGTCAGGTTGAGTTCCAACAAAATTCGAAATTGGTCTGGCACTGGTCCTCCGTGAATGTCCCGATCTCGGCAATTTATCGAAATGCTGAACTTCCTCATTCATAATATATTTGTAAAGCTTGGGTGTCAGGCATTTAGGCAAGAAGTAGGTATCATAGTGCAGCCGTTTCTTGAAACATTGTGCACTTTGTGATAAAAGCATGAAACCTCGCAAAGTTGTAGGTAATGACATTCCAAATATGTTCAGACATGGGGCCACCAAAAACAATTCAATATGGCCGCCAAGTCAGATATGGCCGACATGGAGGAATGATATTCTATCATATCTTGTTTGAACATGACCCACAAACTAAATATTTTTATGAAAAATGAACATTTTGGAATGCAATTTCCCCATCACTACATCTAAGTAAATAGTTATATTTAAATAATGTAAAGTAAAAAAATTAAAAGAATATGCATTTCTTTCTTTTTCGGCATATGTTTAAGACATAGATCATCAAAGCCAACATTACCGATATTGATACTCATATGATAATTAACTAAATATTTATAGAACAAAAGTGGTATGTATTGAAACATGCTTGTACATGGCTAATAATTTGGTTGGCTAGTGGCGATAAAATGTGATCACGTTTGCAAAGTGGTGTACCAATCGAAAGTGGCACAACACAGTCACACCTTGCTCAGCATCCCCTTTCAGACTTACACTACATCCCAGAAGCTCTTGGCATGACTTAGAATATTGTGGTCGTATAGTCCACAAAGACTCAAAGCCATGTGCTACTAATATTACCCATCCTCTCTCAGTTGGTGTGGAATGTCTGTTTCGGCCTCCAGACTCCGTCGCCAAGAGTGGCCGGAATGAAATGCAGCCCTTTTGACATGTTGGCTGATGTAGGAGGAATGGAATTAATTGCTCTACCTTTGCGTGCCTCATCAACTCTTGTTCAGTGAGTGAGTGAGTGAGTATGGTTTTATGCAGTTTTAGCAATATTACAGCAATATCACGGTGGGGGACACCAGAAATGGGCTTCACACATTGTACCCATGTCGGGAAACGAACCCGGGTCTTCGGCGTGACGAGCGGACGCTCTAACCACTAGGCTACCCGACTGCCCCTCTTGTACAGATCGACACTGGCCCTATCACACATAAAGACCACACAACGCTGAATACGTTGATCACCGGTTGTGATGTCAAACGTCAACATATGTTGTACATAATTGGTCATTTCTTTGAGGTGAGGTGAGGGAGAAAAAAAGTGAGTCATTTCTGATGTAAAATTAACAAAAGTAACTCGTTGATGATTTGTGTTTCTTTTTTTAAAATTGGAACTACTTTGTCTTGCATATGTGTGAAGAATAAACCCCCAATTGCGTCACTGCATTCTAATCCACCGGTAACGTTCGTCGCCTAAAATGTGCGTCACATTAAATTTTGCATCCCTTAAACCTTTCATATTTCTTAAATATAGCCATAGTAATATATTGCAAGTATATTGCCATAAAGCCTAATTAAATGTTTATTGCTTTGCACGTTTAGAGCTGTTTTTGTTGTAAAAAGATGTACTTGTATCATACATTGTGAACTTATTGCAACTTAAAACCTTTGCGAAATACAAACAAACCATTCTTCGACACAAAACAAAAATTGTTGTATAACACTGGAAAGGTAAGACCTGGCTTGTTACACTGATGAGTAATGCTATTACATTAAGACACAAGTTGCTACAATGTTGGCATTAGTGCATTAAGGCACGAGTTTGTACAAAGTTATATAACACCAGTATTTATGCCCGAGGTGTTACACTGTTGTGTGAGCATTAAGGTCCGAAGGTAAAACTTTACGCATTGGGGCAGTTCCACTTTCCAGATGTTAGGGTGTCTTAAACTGTGGGAAATTCCACCTCACAGATAAAGGGGTGTGCCTCGTTACAATTGACGTCTCCCCATTCGTAGTCGGCTCCGGCGTATTGAAGCAGTAGACAGTCCTGGTTGTTGGCAACGTTGTTGGGCTGTCCCTGATGCCAGTCGCTGTATGCACTCTGGTAGAACAAGCCAGTATCTGTCCAATCAAAGTGGCCCTCGGATCGTTCGTCATTTCCGCTCGTGTACCAACCATATTGTCCAGCAGCTTTCAATCCTAAAGAATAAATCATGTAACGAGAGTTACAGGTAGAGAGAATATTAAACGAGCTCCTGTGAAAAACCACTTTATTGCAACGAGTGAATAGTTCGGGTACCGGAACTATTCGTATTACACGGGAGTGAAGTTAGTATTTTATCGATCACATGCCCTTTATAACTTGTGAAAACCTCATTTGATCGAACTATGGGAATTCCAGTCACAAATTAGATCAACATTTCATTGATGTGTGTAAACAGGCAGGTATCTACGCGATCCACAGCATAATCCAACTGAGTTTAACAGAATGATATACATTTAAAGTTGACAGGTATTAAAGTGAGACGATACAACGGCCTATCTTGAGAATGAATTCAGCACTACAAAGTTAACGAACACGTCACACTACCCTATGACTCAATTTCTTTTGCAAGAAACACCAGCGAAACAATGCCGTGTCACGTCAGCCTAGCAACAGGGATGCTGAGGTGATGGAGTGTGCATAAGCTCCCAACAGTGATTTAACATCTCTACACGCAATGTCATTGAATAAGCCAAGCGCTGTTGAGAGTTTACAATATTTATTTGCGAAACTAGTCCCACAGTACCTAAGCTTAGTTGGTTTGTTGTTTAACGCCGCACTCAGCAATATTCCAGCTATATGACGGCGGTCTGTAAATAATCGAGTCTGGACCAGACAATCCAGTGATTGATATCATGAGCATCAATCCACGCATTTGGGATCGATGACATGCATCAACCAAGTCAGCGAGTCTGACCACCCGATCCCGTTAGTCGCCTTTTACGACAAGCATAGTCACCGCAGTACCTTAGCACGCGCTTTGTTATTCAACACTGTGTAACACCAGCTTATTGTTTTAAACAGTGGTATCTTCAACGGGCGAGTAATATACTAGTATACTAGTTAATGTTTCATGGGGATTTCATTTCATACAACTAGTATGTATTTATACATATAATGTGTAATAAATTTGATGGATCATTTAGCAGACATGTTCTCTATAGACTATGTGTCAGCACCGTGAACCTGCTCAATTGTTTTACCAAAGTGGTAAACGCTAAGACCCTCATCACTTTGGACTTTCCTCCCAAATTAAGCTGACCCGCTGTGATGTTAGTGGAATACTGTTCAGGGCGGCGTTAAACCCATCTCACTCACTCACCCTGTGTAGATCAATTCCAGCATGCCATGACCAAAACGTACCTGCATGTTGTTTGGTTGTGTTGACGATAAAGTCTTGCTCTTCCTGAGATGTGACCCATACAAGACGGGAGGTGGCGCCCTCTTGTCGGCAAGACAGCGCACTCTTGTACCAGGATTTAGGAGTTGTGTGGAAAGTGTAGCACGAGGAAGAGTTAGCTCCCTTGCGTGTTATTGCCCCCGGTGGACAGGTGGGGATATCTTGACAAGAGATAGAGTGCGTGAGTTAGACACGTCCCAAACCGGTATTCAACAGCTATATCGACGAGTTGCTTTCATCCCACTCTAAATAATAGAAATAAAAAAATAATGATATCACTCCACCCATCTTCCCACGTCTAATATGCTTGAGCATCTGACTTTGTCAATCGCTGATATGATCTGATGTGTTTAAGTACAGCGACACTTTCTTGCTCTCATTGGACAAAGACCGTGGAACGTGGTACAACCCAATTGACTGATATCTGTAAGGCGCGTTATTAGACGGTATCAAAGATTTGCATTGAACACGTTCAGAATGTGGGGCTACGATCTCACTACATACACACAACGGACTCTGGTTTGATTTCGCGCAGCTGCGTCACTTTGTGATGAGGTCTTCCAGCACAGGCAAATTGTGTTACATAGAAACATGGCATGGAACATCACGTCCAACCTTCCCCTGGAACGACGTGATTACACCCTGTACCTTGATGGGATCCATCAGCTATGACTGACTACATCCTGTACCTTGATGGAATCTATCAGCTATGACTGACTACACCCTTAATGGATCCATCAGCTATGACTGACTACATCCTGTACCTTGATGGAATCCATCAGCTATGACTGACTACATCATGTGCCTTGATGGACATATCCATCAGGTATGACTGACTACACCCTTATTGGATCCATCAGCTATGACTGACTACATCCTGTACCTTGATGGATTCAATGAGCTATGACTGACTACACCCTACCTTGATGGATTCAATGAGCTATGACTGACTACACCCTGTACCTTGATGGATTCCATCAGCTATGACGATTCCATTAGCTATGACTGACTACATCCTGTACTCAGGTGAAGTTATCCATCAGCTATGACTGACTACATCCTGTACCTTGATGGATTCCATCAGGTATGACTGACTACACCCTGTGCCTTGATGGATTCAATGAGCTATGACTGACTACACCCTGTGCCTTGATGGATTCCATCAGCTATGACTGACTACATCCTGTACTCAGGTGGAGTTATCCATCAGCTATGGCTGACTAAACCTTATACCTTGATGGACCTATCAATGACGTGGGGAGAGTTTACGGCACAAACCAATCACGGTGGCCAGGTTGCGATGGTGGCATGTGTCTCAGGTCGCCATACCTTTGCATGTTGTGTTGTAGACGTAGACATCATCTATTGCTATGTCACCATCTGTATCCACTGGGTGGCTGAAGGGATACCACTGTGACGACAGACTGTGAGCATCTGTCACAGCTTCAAAAACCACCTACAACAAACACATTGAATCCTCTCGCAAAACCTAGAACAGCGCCTTGAAAACATTTGCACAACCAACTGCAACACACTGGATAAACTTGTACAATCTAAAACAAGACCCAGGACAACCCAGCACCACACACCTACAGGAACATCATCCATCTACACCACATACCTACAGGAACATCATCCATCTCCACCACACACCTACAGGAACATCATCCATCTGCACCACACACCTACAGGAACATCATCCATCTACACCACACACCTACAGGAACATCACCCATCTACACCACACACCTACAGGAACATCATCCATCTACACCACACACCTACAGTAACATCATCCATCTACACCACGCACCTACAGGAACATCATCCATCTACACCACACACCTACAGGAACATCATCCATCTACACCACATACCTACAGTAACATCATCCATCTACACCACGCACCTACAGGAACATCATCCATCTACACCACGCACGTACAGGAACATCATCCATCTACACCACACACCTACATGAACATCATCCATCTACACCACACACCTACAGGAACATCACCCATCTGCACCACACACCTACAGGAACATCATCCATCTACACCACACACCTACAGGAACATCATCCATCTACACCACATACCTACAGTAACATCATCCATCTACACCACGCACCTACAGGAACATCATCCATCTACACCACGCACCTACATGAACATCATCCATCTCCACCTTACACCTACAGGAACATCATCCATCTACACCAAACACCTACAGTAGCATCATGCATCTGCACCACATACCTACAGTAACATCATCAATCTGCACCACACACCAACAGGAACATCACATGAGAAAGCTCCACTCGACACCACCTTCACTGAGAAGAAAGTGAATATTTCTTTTGCTCATTTAAAATTTAAGGGACAAAAAGGAAACAATCACCTTGAAAGGTTGTTTTGAGAATTCAGGGTCTACATTGACCTCAGCAAGATGCCAGGTTTCCCCTTGGTTGCCATAGTTACGCCACATCGCGTTGCCAAATCCGGATCCCACCCTTTAGAAAAACAGCAGACACTTGTTCTGAGATCTGTCAATTTTAAAAGTCCTGTTTTCCTGGATTAACGCCTTGGTGTAGACCAGGAGAAATCTGATATCTGCCCCATACATGTTGTACTGACGTTGGCATAGAAGAGGGGGGTTTGGTATCTGTCCCGTAAAATAGGTATGAACCTTAGCGTAGACCAGAAGAGATCTGGTGTCTGCCCAGTACATTGTCTAGCAACCTTGGCGTAGACCTGGAGATATCTGGTGTCTGCCCAGTACATTATCTACCAACCTTGGCGTAGACCAGAAGAGATCTGGTGTCTGCCCTGTACATTGTCTAGCAACCTTGGCGTAGACCTGGAGAGATCTGGTGTCTGCCCAGTACATTGTCTAGCAACCTTGACGTAGACCAGAAGAGATCTGGTGTCTGCCCAGTACATTATCTACCAACCTTGGCGTAGACCAGAAGAGATCTGGTGTCTGCCCAGTACATTATCTACCAACCTTGGTGTAGACCTGGAGAGATCTGGTGTCTGCCCCGTACATTATCTACCAACCTTGGCGTAGACCTGGAGAGGTCTGGTGTCTGCCCTATACATTATCTACCAACCTTGGCGTAGACCTGGAGAGATCTGCTGTCTGCCCTATACATTATCTACCAACCTTGGCGTAGACCTGGAGAGATCTGCTGTCTGCCCCGTACATTATCTACCAACCTTGGCGTAGACCTGGAGAGATCTGGTGTCTGCCCCGTACATATTGTACCAGAACCTGACACAGTAGGCGGGAGCGGGGCGGAAGTCAGGGGAGGCGAGGTAGAATGCTCTGTCTCTCTGAGTGAAAGATTTATCTCCTGGCAGTGGGTCGATGTACATGTAGTTACCTGATGGGTGAGAAGATGACACAGAGAGATGCATGGTCCTGAAGCGTTCCTTCATACATAATCTTTCCTGTTTGTCACTCAACTGTCGAAAACTCAAAACAAACAAGGACCAATGATGCGAAATCCTCTCAGTGCATAAATAGTTATTATTGCTGGATTCACTTGGCTCAAAAACATATTTTGGCGTTCGTTGACCAGGAAGTAGATGTTATTAACCTTTCCCACGTATAACTTACATTAATAGCAACTGTGATTCATAAGGGAGAGAGAAGAAACAACGGAAAATTGAAAGAGAATCAGTAAATCTTTGACATTTGCAATGACTGCTCATTTTGTATGCCACCTTCACATACAATATGTAGCAAAGGCACTCAATGTAGGCTTTTAATTACATGAATTTTTTCTCATTGGTTGCCTGAAGCCCAGGGTAGTTCTCCTACAGGTGGTACGAGTTGCCCTGTCGCCCAAAGCGCCACATTTTGCTGTGCAGAATTTCGTTCTGTAGGATTTCGAGAAACCTATGTTCCTAGGTTTGAATCCCTAATTCGTCCTGATAATTGTTCTAAGTTTGTCAGCGCCACATCTTCGTAGCCATCTTTCACTTTGGGCTTTCCTTCCACATCGGCATATTCATAGAGAATCTCACCCGAGTCTCTTTCGATAACTAATATATCAACACGAGTTGACAAAAGTGCCACCACCACAGCCTTCTCCGGATGAATGCACATGCTGTGGCAACTCCTCCTATGACAGGAACAGTATTACCATTTAACGACACAATAATACGAGCACAAAACCATCTCCACAATCGTAAGACATCTTTGCTAAAAGCAAAGTCCATTAACCGATTCCAACAATAAAGTAACGATGTGTTTATGAATCGCAGAAAGGTGTGCATATTCTGCCTCACCGGTGACACCCGACACAAACACATGCAAAGGTAACTCAATGGTCCATCTGAAAACATTACGGGAACATGATGCAAATGTCAAATTAGGGAATTGGCATCATTTTGATCACGGACGCGTCAAATTTAGAAATGTCCTCCACATGTCTACCATAAAACGTTTTGAGAGCTTTGCTGAGGCGTTAATGTTGTTACCATGAACAACTTCCGAGCAAGAATCGTATGACGTTCCTCTAAATCTTGACCATTCTCGCCTGTACTCCGATTGTTGGAATATTGCTCGCCATAAAGGGAAGGAGGATTCTTGGAGAGCTGAAGTCATTTTGTCATACAGTCGTGTGGATAGTTTTGGTCACTTTTGGATATTCATGCACAAATCTAAATATGAAATAGATGAGGACGCTTGATTGGTCTCTTTCATTTCTAGCACAGCTAGAAAAATCAGTGGAAGGGAATTGGATATTTGATCATTATTGTACAATGTCAGATCATCGATAGACCCGAAGTTGAACTTTTTGATTTTGACAATCAGAGCAGAAATTCTGGTTCGTAGGTGTAAAGAAATAGATGTGAAGATGGGTGAGACTGAGTGATTTGTTCCTGTAGTGTGGTCTTCCCGTGGGCCAGTGCTGCCACCTACGGGTCCTCTTCCAAACTGCCAGTTGTTGGTAGAATTTAGACTAAAATATCCACAGGTGTCATTCTCGAATGAACACAATGTCAAGTTGAAGTCGTGTGAAGCTGAAATACAGATATCAATACATGGCATTCTCAAACCTTGAAGCTGGAAAGATATCTTTACAGTAGAAACATTTCAAAACCATATTTTTGAAACCATATTGGTTTGAACTACGTGTATATGGACTACGAAAATGACACGTGGAAAGTGTGGACTAATTGGTAGGCGGAGTGACAGTGTTTGTGTGGAGCCCAAAAAGTCTTTACAGCTGATCAGGTCTCGACAACAACCCTACCACCTGAAGTCTCTCACCAGTGACCGGAGTGACAGTGTTTGTGTGGAGCCCAAAAAGGCCTTTACAGCTGATCAGGTCTCGACCACAACCCTACCACCTGAAGTCTCTCACCAGTGACCGGAGTGACAGTGTTTGTGTGGAGCCCAAAAAGGCCTTTACAGCTGATCAGGTCTCGACCACAACCCTACCACCTGAAGTCTCTCACCAGTGACCGGAGTGCCAGTGTTTGTGTGGAGTCCCAGAAAGCCTTTACAGCTGATCAGGTCTCGACCACATCCCTACCACCTGAAGTCTCTCACCAGTGACCGGAGCGCCAGTGTTTGTCTGGAGTCCCAGAACGCCCTTACAGCTGTTTAAGTCTCGACCACAACTCTACCACCTGAAGTCTCTCACCAGTGACCGGAGCGCCAGTGTTTGTCTGGAGTCCCAGAACGCCCTTACAGCTGTTTAAGTCTCGACCACAGCCCTACCACCTGAAGTCTCTCACCAGTGACCGGAGTGCCAGTGTTTGTCTGGAGTCCCAGAACGCCCTTACAGCTGTTTAAGTCTCGGGTCAGGTTGGCGTTTTCCTCCTTTAATGCCCTAATGACGTCAGATGAGTGCTGCACGAGCTGTACCATGTTCGCCTGTGACGTGTTCAACTCAGCCTCTTTCTGAGCTAGTGCTTGCAGTAGCATGTCCTTCTCATTGGTCGTTGTGTTGTGTAAGACTGACGCTGATTGGCTGATTCCCAGTTTCTGCTGCACCACTTGCACTTGCTTGGTGAGTTCGTCGACAATACCACGTAGACTGTCCACGTTACCCTGGGAACACAAGTATATCAGGTTGAGTATAATGTTATTTGTCAGCAGATTTGCGTATGTGTGGTTATTCCATGATTTGGGTGATAACAACATGTTTTTGTCTGCATTTCGAAGACTCTTAAGAGATATCTATGTCCAATCATGGTACCACAGTTTGGAGTTCTGGGTTCAGTGCATTATTCTAATATACAATCTTCTGCAAACCCGATTTATATATAATTGTACTCAGAGACAAACGACTAGTGAGAGCAATGTGTAAATGTGCAATGTTACTTGGGCTGACGTTTCTTTTGCGGTTCAGTATATAATTGAACTTACCTGAATGTGACCTGAATTACGAAATAAACTTGATTGATTGATTTTATTGCCATTAAGGAAGAGAATATATGTCAACTTCTTTATTATGAGGAACACAACGTTTCGGAGTATATGCTTACTCCTTCATCAGGTGAATGATCAGGTGCATGTTTTGTTTGGATATCAATTGACTGCATATATATTGAATATTATCATCCAAAACTGGCTCCCAAAGGAGATATCGCTTGGATGAGATCAAGCGATATCTACACTGTAGATATCGCTTCAATGAAATTACATCACAATGCTTTGCAGACCATTGTGACGTCACTGGTTACCATGACGTCACAATCAAATGACATCACTAATGGCTCTGCTACTGAAGCTGTTTGCAGTTCTTTTTACACTGAAGACACTGCTAATTACTGTCTACAAATTGAAAAAGATGAAAGAATGGATGATAAATAAAATCTCACCCTCGTGCCTTTTGATATCAAATATATCAACACTCGCTGATAAAAGTGGCAAAAATCCTCGGCAAGCCTCGGAATTTTTCCACTGTTATCAACTTGTGTTGATAGATTTGATATCAAAAGACACTCGGGTGAGATTCTCTATTTACACACCAACACAAACATGCCTACCCACCTGTACGCCATTACAGCAGGTGTCGGTCCCCCCTCCGGTAGTGGTCGCTGTTCCCTGGGCATCACACCGACCCTCATGTCCCAGTTTGACGTTGTAGACACATTGGTCGTTCATGAAGCTGCAGCCAGGCTGGAACACGGCGAGAGAGGACGACAGAAGCAGTGTCGTTGTTGACAAAACCAGTAACGCCATATTTTAAGTATGCTCCTTGTATGATCTGGACCAAGGTTTCCAACAGTGGGATGGGATACCTGCACAACAAGGTCAGTGATAACGTGAGATAGGAGTCCTTACATGATAGCCTGACAAGTTGAAGCCCGATTTATCTTATGTCACACAGTCGTCTTATGCGGTGAACGAGCGCCCTCGTTTTACTGACTTGACACACGTAACCTTGTGGCGGTACATAGAGACACAATGTACATGGGTTGCATTGTCTGTATTCGTTATACTCAACATTCGAGCCTACTTCAACTTCATAGTTGGGGCAAGACTTGTGTTCAAGGAATACCGAATTGTCGTACTCCAGTTCCATTGGTAATCACGTTGTACCAGAAGGCTCATTTCATAGATGGGGGCTTGTCATTTTGTCTGAGACACGGAGAATGTAAACAACAACATTGGCAGCCATTGACAGTTCTTTAATTCATAACGTTTGTAGACGAAATATATTCGTTAAAAATTTTTAAACTATTTCTACAACCTGTCACCCCTACAATGGGAAATGGCATATTCGATTTCCAAGAAATGTCTTGTTGGGTCCAAACAGTGCGCAGCAGGTTGCGATGAAATTAACACATATATCTTTGGACTAAATTTGGAGGGTTATTTGTCAAGTTCTATTTGAAAAACTATGTGTTTTGAACACTTATGTTAATAATATTTGTTACATATATAACTACATGTGACCCCTTTTCGGAATGTTCTAAGATAGCGGACCTTTCTACCCTGTGTTACAGTTGCAAGAGAGAACTGTTTACAAAGCGCTAATGCCGTCATGGTAGAATGAGGAAAACCTAATGTGTTTTGAAATTTGATGTAGTCTCACTGTAGTGGAGATACCTCTTATTTATACATTTGAAACCTCGCGCTATTTGAAGCCTCGCACACAATTTTAGGTTAACAATCAAAAGACAATGCAATATGTCAAATAAGGACAGCAGTACTATGTAACGGGGCCTGTAGCTGCATTCATGAATATCCCAAATGTCATCACTGTCGAGTCTTGAAACAGGTTTTGTATCTGTTCTCGCATCCGAAATAGTGCTGCAAGCTGGCAGGAACTCGGTGTTTTCAAGCAGGTATCCAATCAGCACTTGGCAAGTAGATTAGACGCAAGTTTGGTAAAAACAAGGCCTCGAATCGCCCTCTTGTCACTGTTATATAGACACTGTAATGGCCAAAAGGCAAGTTTGGATTAATGTTTTGTATGTCAGTTTGGATTAGAGGAGCTAACATGGTTGCTAATAGTTGTTAGAGTAAGAAGGGTTAATCTGTTTGCTGTGTTGTCCTGTTTTAGCTCCGGCCTAAGTAACCGGGTTGATTTTTCTTGGCATGTGACCATGCTTAGCTTATTCAGCCAACAATTCAAGTTTAAAGATAAGAGAAAACAGTAATAGTGAGTGTTATCTTTTCAGTTCGAGGGCAAAATTATGTTTTAACGGATGGTTGTCCCATGCAGAATACATAATAGTCTAATTAATTTATTCTTAATCCATACACGGGGTGTGACACACAGTGGGCACGCGCGTTATCGTCTTGATAGACAACACGTGGACCAGCATGCCGCGCAATCGGTGCTACTATTGACTTGGCCGAACTGTCCGGTGACCCGTCCAGGGGCAATATGCAGTGGCGTTCTGACAGTCATAGTGACCCCGCCCCATAGCACCACAGACAGAGCCCCGAATCTGCCATGCTTCCTCATGCTGACGTTCGCATGACCTTCGTCTTCCCGATGAACGTCAGTATGTCACGTGATTATGTTGTCAATCGCGCGGAGACATACAGAACTACTTTAGGGGAATTCCTCAATGTCCAAAAATAACATTAAAAATAATTAGGGATACTGAGAGCGACATGATTCAGGCTATAAATGATGCAGGCTTTGAAGTCTGGCAGATCATGTATATGTCGGGTCACCGAAATGAAGCGTAGATTCGAAGCTATAACAGAGAATGTTCGACTTACCAAAAGAACCACACAATCGTGCCTCAGTTAATCCAACCGCGGCGCCTCAAGCGGTAATCCCCGTCATCGGCAGCCGTAGTATGACTCAAACACACACCAAAAGTTCACAGAACGTTGATATGTCTCCATTGTCAGCATGAGCCGGGTCTGGATTTCTCTCCAATTCCACCGCTAACTTTACTGGGTGCAACTTGTATTTCAAGCGAATGACATTGCGGTAGCCGCCATTTTCTGCCGTTTATAAAACCAAGGTATGTCACTCCATATGGAATGTTTGGGACGGATGACGTCACGACGTCACGACTCTCCGCGTTGATATAGTTTGCTTTCAATAATTAAAGTTTGATGTTTAATGGATTGTTTTGTTATGATTTATGTATCTGTCAATATAAGGGTTGAAGTTGTATTTGTTGATACAACTTAAATCCTTAAGTATTGATGTTCTGAGTGAGTGAGTATGGTTTTACGCCCCTTTTAGCAATATTTCAGCAATAACACGGCGGGGGACACCAGAAATGGGCTTCACACATTGTACCCATGTCAGGAATCGAACCCGGGTCTTCGGCGTGACGAGCGAACGCTTTAACCACTAGGCTACCCGACCGCCCCTGATGTTCTGAAGTATTGATGTGCTGATATTGATGTACTGAAGTATTGATGTATATATTGATGTTCTGAAGTATTGATGTGCTGATATTGATGTTCTGATATTGATGTTCTGAAGTATACATGTGTTGATATTAATGCATTGACGTACTGAAGTACTTATGTGTTGATATTGATGTATGTACTGACGTACTGAAGTGTCGATATTGATGTTCTGAAGTATTGATGTGTTGATATTGATGTATTGACGTACTGAAGTACCTATGTGTTGATATTGATGTATTGACGTACTGAAGTACTTATGTATTGATGATGATGCATTGACGTACTGAAGTACTTATGTGTTGATATTGATGGATTGACGTACTGAAGTGTCGATATTGATGTTCTGAAGTATTGATGTGTTGATATTGATGTATTGACCTACTGAAGTACTGATGTGTCGATATTGATGTATTGACGTGCTGAAGTACCCATGTGTTGATATTGATGTATTGGCGTACTGAAGTACTTATGTGTTGATATTGATGCATTGACGTACTGAAGTGTCGATATTGATGTTCTGAAGTATTGATGTGTTGATGTGTCGATATTGATGTATTGACGTACTGAAGTACCCATGTGTTGATATTGATGTATTGACGTACTGAAGTACTTATGTGTTGATATTGATGCATTGACGTACTGAAGTGTCGATATTGATGTTCTGAAGTATTGATGTGTTGATATTGATGTATTGACGTACTGAAGTGTCGATATTGATGTTCTGAAGTATTGATGTGTTGATATTGATGTATTGACGTACTGAAGTGTCGATATTGATGTTCTGAAGTATTGATGTGTTGATATTGATGTATTGACCTACTGAAGTACTGATGTGTCGATATTGATGTATTGACGTACTGAAGTACCCATGTGTTGATATTGATGTATTGACGTACTGAAGTACTTATGTGTTGATATTGATGCATTGACGTACTGAAGTGTCGATATTGATGTTCTGAAGTATTGATGTGTTGATATTGATGCATTGACGTACTGAAGTGTCGATATTGATGTTCTGAAGTATTGATGTGTTGATGTGTTGACGTACTGAAGTGTCGATATTGATGTTCTGAAGTATTGATGTGTTGATATTGATGTATTGACGTACTGAAGTACCCATGTGTTGATATTGATGTATTGACGTACTGAAGTACTGATGTGTTGATATTGATGCATTGACGTACTGAAGTGTCGATATTGATGTTCTGAAGTATTGATGTGTTGATATTGATGCATTGACGTACTGAAGTGTCGATATTGATGTTCTGAAGTATTGATGTGTTGATATTGGTGCATTGACGTACTGAAGTACTGATGTGTTCAACCAAGACGTTGAGTCTCATCGTTTCGACACTGTGGGCACTTGGGATCGTTTTCATCCTCGGAATGTCACGTGGGGAGTGCAACATAGAGACAACTGACAGAGGCGGGGTAAAACTCTCTACAATCACCTTTAAACTTTACACTTTCACTTTCTTTGTAATAACGAGGTAGAAGTATTTGCAACAAGGTGGATGGTACATGGGGTCACGGGGTCACGTGGCTAAACGCGAGAATCAACATGGGAAGGAAAACTGTAACAAATGAGTCTACTGTAGATTAATTTATTCAAATCGTCGCTGTTACATTAAGGTACGTTGTGTTACAGTGCAGACATACTGTAACATTTTGATCGAGTAATTTCAATGTAGATATATAGAGGTTATCACGCGAGTGTGTTTGGGGATGGTAAATATCCTGCATTAGGAATAAACATTGTATTTAGCGAGCCTTGGCGAGCTCAATACATAGTGTTTATTACTAATACAGGATATTTACCATCCCCAAACACGAGCTAAATACAATGTTTATTCCTAATGCAGGATATTTACCATCCCCAAACACACAAGCGTGATAACCTCTTTATCATATAATGTCTTTCTATAATTCTGTGCTTAAAATCGCTTTCCCTCTCTCAAAAACATTACCGAAACATTGCGAGTTTCCCTTGAATGTGCGCATTAATATTTATTACGTCACAGGGTAAGTGATGTCTCAGTCGGACAGTGACAGTAGCCAATATAGTTCCAACTGAAAATCTGTTTCTTATACAGTGGCGAAGCAACATATACGCAAAACAACAATTGTTTTTAATTGCCTTTCGCGGCAATCCATCGGTCTGTCTGCTAGAGTAACTGCCCTTTGTCAAAGGGAAGCTACTCTTACCCTAGTCTATGAGACATCACGGCCACGGTCAGACGTCGTTGACAGTCGGTCTGTCCTGTCATAACGTAAAGAAGTGTAGTCAGATGTACACACAACGACAAAACGAAACAAAGTAACAATTCAAACATATTTCGGCCAAATCCAACTATTTTAATTTGTGGAGGAAGGTTCAAGCAGCAGAGGTCTACAAGCACAAATAGGGCTACTGATCCCGCTTGGCTAGGCCTCGTGCCCTCGCAAAATTGGGTCGAAATTTATATCTCCAATGTTGCCAAAACTTATAAAATGCCTTAGCTACGTCACAGTAAGACACTAATTTTCAGTATATTAGACTGTTCTTTTGATAATGAAAGCAATTATCCCTGTAGTTTATCCAGATTCCCGATGGTTAATTCTGACTCGATCGCCGAATGACAAGGGCGACGGCATGTTTGTTTATAAACAGTGAAAGTAGTCCCTACTTGACCTTTGATATTTGCATCTTTATCCGCATATGACCCCAACGGATATCATTTTTATCCGTTGGCTTTATCCTGCCGAGAAACCTACCCATGATGTCCGAGTAATTAAAATGTAGATATACTGTTACATAATGTCCGAGTAATTACAATGTAGATATACTGTTACAATATGTCAGTGTAATTACAATGTAGATATTGTTACATTATGTCCGAGTAATTACAATGTAGATATAATGTTACATTATGTCAGAGTAATTACAATGTAGATATACTGTTACATTATGTCCGAGTAATTACAATGTAGATATACTGTTACATTATGTCCGAGTAATTACAATGTAGATATAATGTTACATTATGTCCGAGTAATTACAATGTAGATATACTGTTACATTATGTCCGAGTAATTACAATGTAGATATAATGTTACATTATGGTCAGAGTAATTACACTGTAGATTTAATGTTACATTATGTCCGAGTAATTACACTGTATATTTAATGTTACATTATGTCCGAGTTATTACAATGTAGATATACTGTTACATTATGTCCGAGTAATTACAATGTAGATATAATGTTACATTATGTCCGAGTAATTACAATGTAGATATAATGTTACATTATGTCCGAGTAATTACAATGTAGATATAATGTTACATTATGGTCAGAGTAATTACACTGTAGATTTAATGTTACATTATGTCCGAGTAATTACACTGTATATTTAATGTTACATTATGTCCGAGTTATTACAATGTAGATATACTGTTACATTATGTCCGAGTAATTACAATGTAGATATACTGTTACATTGTGTCTGAGTAATTACAATGTAGATATACTGGTACATTACGTCCGAGTAATTACAATGTAGACATACTGTTACATTATGTCCGAGTAATTACAATGTAGATATACTGTTACATTGTGTCTGAGTAATTACAATGTAGATATACTGGTACATTACGTCCGAGTAATTACAATGTAGATATACTGTTGCAATATGTCCGAGTAATTACACTGTAGATTTAATGTTACATTATGTCCGAGTAATGACAATGTAGATATACTGTTACATTATGTCAGAGTAATTACAATGTAGATATACTGTTACATTGTGTCTGAGTAATTACAATGTAGATATACTGGTACATTACGTCCGAGTAATTACAATGTAGATATACTGTTGCAATATGTCCGAGTAATTAGAATGTAGACATACTGTTACATTGTGTCTGAGTAATTACAATGTAGATATACTGGTACATTAACTGTGTTGCCTTAAACTACAGGCAGGTCTACTTCACAGATATAGGGGTGGGCCTCGTCGCATCCGACGTCTCCCCATTCGTAGTTGGCGTTAGCGTATTGAAGCAGTAGACAGTCCTGGTCGTTGGCAACGTTGTTGGGCTGTCCCTGATGCCAGTCGCTGTACGCACTCTGGTAGGGAGTGCCGGTGTCTGTCCAATCAAAATGGCCCTCGGATCTTTCGTCATTTCCGGTTGTGTACCAGCCATTGCTACCAGCTGCATTCAACACTAAGAACAAAGAATGGTTGTGAAGTAACGCATCGCGCAAACAAATAACACGTTATGTCATGGTAGACTAAAGTATAGTACATTCAACTGTTAACCTGTGTGTGTCGGAACGTACACCAGAACAGATCACGTGGTCAGTGGCAGCCTAACCTTTTACTTCTCCCATCATCCCCCGCACAAGACACTTCCTGTCCCTTAGCACATATACAATGTGTGCCCCTTACCAAATATGGTATCAGAATACCTTTCAGTGATACAGAAGTTAAAGAACACGATGAATGTGACGACTATGAACTGTTTAGCAGAAGACATTATTCATGCCTGTATGTGACAAACTCTGGTTGTATTACGCCACTTACAAGAGAATGTCACACAAAAGATATGCACGCTTTTCCCACTTTTACCTCCCCGCTCCTCCTCTCTAGGTCTCACACTCTCTATCACCACCGTCCTTTTTCTCTATGGATCAGTGGGGGGCACGGGTGGCCCAGTCGTCTAAGGCGCCGCGATTCGCTGTGCAGAGTTGCGTCCCTTGGGCACGCCAGAAACCTATGATTGTGGGTTCGAATCCCGGTTCGCCCCGATTATGTTTCTAGGTTTGTCAGCACCATACCCGTGCTCGTGGGTTTCACCGAAGTGGTAAACGTCTAAGACCTGCATCACTTCGGGCTTTCCTCCCACATTAAGCTGACACGGCGTGATGTAACTGGAATACTGTTAAAAGCGGCGGCAAATCCAACTCACTCATTCTATGGATCACTGCCATTCTTACACACGTTCTCTTTCTATCACTACCATTCTATCCCTCACTTCCATTCTATATTTCTCTGTCACTACCACTCTCTCTCTCTCTTGATGGAATATTGCTAAAAGCGGCATAAAACCATACTCACTCACTCTCTCTCCCACTGTCTCTTTCCCTCTGCACATTTGCAAGACTTATAAAATATCTGACGAGTTAAAAATAACACACAAAGCTAATACAGAAGAAATATTCACGTCAAGTGGACCTGTTTGACTTAGTGGTGAGACAAAAAAAATGAGACAAGGCAAGTAATAAAGCTATATATTGAAACTGTGCATCTCACAAACTGCAGCTCGTTCACCGGACAGACACTTCCCTGAAAGTTACAGTGAGCGTCTACGTGAGCATGGGCAGCCTGAACGTACCAGCACTTAGTTTGATGGTGCTCACAAGGAAGTCCTGCTCTTCCTTAGATGTGATCGCCACCAGGTGTGAGGTGGCGCCCTCTTGCCGGCAGGCCTCAGCACTCTTGTACCAGGGTTTAGGAGTTGTGTGGAAAGTGTAGCACGAGGAAGAGTTAGCTCCCCTCCGTGTTACTGCTCCCGGTTGACAGGTGGGGATATCTTGACAACAGAGGGGGTAAGAAGCCGGTTATTAGTCTGCAACAGTAACGACGGGTGCTTACAACACGAGGCTCACTACAGGGTTCATGTCTCCAGTTGCGTGTCCTTAAACATCTGCACAGTAAGGCGCAGCTGTGAAGCGAGGCAGTTAGCGCATTAACTCATTGCCCTGAAGACCTGGGTTCGACTTCCACAACGGTACAACGTGTCTGGCGGACGTACATGCAACGAAGTGTGATTTACCTGATGTACGGAGTGCTGCTGTAGGAAGTGAGTGGATGCCGCCTGCAGCAGTCTGTTCGGTAACGGGGACAATCACAATGAGCAAACACATGGAGGACACGAACAGTGTGACAGTGAACAGGGAGCGGTAAATCGACCTTTAACAGTGAAGAGGGTGCGGTGAATATACCGTATGTCAGTGACTAGAGGACAGTCGGTGGTGAATATACCGTATGTCAGTGACTAGAGGACAGTCGGCGGTGAATATACCGTATGTCAGTGACTAGAGGACAGTCGGCGGTGAATATACCGTATGTCAGTGACTAGAGGACAGTCGGCGGTGAATATACCGTATGTCAGTGACTAGAGGACAGTCGGCGGTGAATGTACCGTATGTCAGTGACTAGAGGACAGTCGGCGGTGAATGTACCGTATGTCAGTGACTAGAGGACAGTCGGCGGTGAATGTACCGTATGTCAGTGACTAGAGGACAGTCGGCGGTGAATGTACCGTATGTCAGTGACTAGAGGACAGTCGGCGGTGAATGTACCGTATGTCAGTGACTAGAGGACAGTCGGCGGTGAATATACCGTATGTCAGTGACTAGAGGACAGTCGGCGGTGAATGTACCGTATGTCAGTGACTAGAGGACAGTCGGCGGTGAATGTACCGTATGTCAGTGACTAGAGGACAGTCGGCGGTGAATATACCGTATGTCAGTGACTAGAGGACACTCGGCGGTGAATATACCGTATGTCAGTGACTAGAGGACAGTCGGCGGTGAATATACCGTATGTCAGTGACTAGAGGACAGTCGGCGGTGAATGTACCGTATGTCAGTGACTAGAGGACAGTCGGCGGTGAATGTACCGTATGTCAGTGACGAGAGGACAGTCGGCGGTGAATGTACCGTATGTCAGTGACTAGAGGACAGTCGGTGGTGAATATACCGTATGTCAGTGACTAGAGGACAGTCGGCGGTGAATGTACCGTATGTCAGTGACTAGAGGACAGTCGGCGGTGAATGTACCGTATGTCAGTGACTAGAGGACAGTCGGCGGTGAATATTCCGTATGTCAGTGACGAGAGGACAGTCGGCGGTGAATGCAGCGTCTCAGTGAAGTCAGTGGTGAATGTAGCGTCTAAGTGAACACTCGGTGGTGAATGCAGCGTTTCTCATTTTACACTCGGTGGTGAATGTAGCGTCTCAGTGAACACTCGGAGGTGAATGTAGCGTCTCAGTAAACAGTCGGTGGTGAATGTAGCGTCTAAGTGAACACTCGGAGGTGAATGTAACGTCTCAGGAAACAGTCAATGGTGAATGTAGGGTCTCAGTGAACACTCGGAGGTGAATGTAGCGTCTCAGGAAACAGTCAATGGTGAATATAGCGTCTCAGTGAACAGTCGGTGGTGAATGTAGCGTCTCAATGATCACTCGGTGGGGGATGTAGCGTCTCAGGAAACAGTCAATGGTGAATGTAGCGTCTCAGTGAACACTCGGTGGTGAATGTAGCGTCTCAGTAAACAGTCGGTGGTGAATGTAGCGTCTCAGTAAACAGTTGGTTGTGAATGTAGCGATTCAGTAAACACTCGGTGGTGAATGTAGCGATTCAGTAAACACTCGGTGGTGAATGTAGCGTCTCAGTAAACACTTGCTGGTGAATGTAGCGTCTCAGTAAACACTCGGTGGCTAATGTAGCGTCTCAGTAAACAGTCGGTGGTGAATGTAGCGTCTTAGTGAACACTCGGAGGTGAATGTAGCGTCTCAGGAAACAGTCAATGGTGAATGTAGCGTCTCAGTGAACACTCGGAGGTGAATGTAGCGTCTCAGTAAACACTCGGTGGTGAATGTAGCGTCTCAGTGAACACTCGGTGGTGAATGTAGCGTCTCAGTAAACAGTCGGTGGTGAATGTAGCGTCTCAGTAAACAGTCGGTTGTGAATGTAGCGATTCAGTAAACACTCGGTGGTGAATGTAGCGATTCAGTAAACACTCGGTGGTGAATGTAGCGTCTCAGTAAACACTCGGTGGCTAATGTAGCGTCTCAGTAAACAGTCGGTGGTGAATGTAGCGTCTTAGTGAACACTCGGAGGTGAATGTAGCGTCTCAGGAAACAGTCAATGGTGAATGTAGCGTCTCAGTGAACACTCGGAGGTGAATGTAGCGTCTCAGTAAACACTCGGTGGTGAATGTAGCGTCTCAGTGAACACTCGGTGGTGAATGTAGCGTCTCAGTAAACAGTCGGTGGTGAATGTAGCGTCTCAGTAAACAGTCGGTTGTGAATGTAGCGATTCAGTAAACACTCGGTGGTGAATGTAGCGATTCAGTAAACACTCGGTGGTGAATGTAGCGTCTCAGTAAACACTTGCTGGTGAATGTAGCGTCTCAGTAAACACTCGGTGGCTAATGTAGCGTCTCAGTAAACAGTCGGTGGTGAATGTAGCGTCTCAGTAAACAGTCGGTGGGGAATGTAGCGTCTCAGTAAACAGTTGGTTGTGAATGTAGCGATTCAGTAAACACTCGGTGGTGAATGTAGCGATTCAGTGAACAGTCGGTGGTGAATGTAGCATCTCAGTAAACAGTTAATGGTGAATGTAGCGTCTCAGGGAACAGTGAATGGTGAATGTAGCATCTCAGTAAAAAGTCGATGGTGAATATTATTATCACTGACATTTTTGCTATTACCGCTGCTATATATTTTCTACTGCCATTTTGTACTTCTGATATATTGTGTACTGCCATAGTAATTACTTTGCAGTAATTTTTGTTGGTATAATATAAATATTCAATGTATACCATTTCTTTGTTTTTTGATGGTTTCACACTGTATACTTGTATGTATAGATTTCTGGGTTAACTTATGTTCACAACTTGAAAGTCGACACGGAACAATGAAGTGTGTGTCAGTGAAGAGGTGACGGTGAATGTAGCGTGTGTCGACGACTAGCCGCGGTGTTTGTGGCGCTTGTATAATGTGAACCTACGTTTGCACGTTGTGTTGTACACGTATACATCGTCGATCGCTATGTTTTCTCGTGTGTTGCGTGAATGGTAGAATGGGTGAAATGACCATCTGACCATGTAGGCATCAGTCATTGCTGCAAACACCACCTGGAATATAACAGGAGATTAACGTTCACTGCACAAAAATCTAAAACGTGAAATACACGTTAGATCGTTGTGGCGTCAATGCGTTGTCGTTCAGTAAGGGAAGGTCAATGTCTTGTTGTTCAGTGGGGGAACGTCAGTGCTTTGATGTTCAGTAGGGGAACGTCAGTGCCTTGTTGTTCAGTGGGGGAACGTCAGTGCTTTGTTGTTCAGTGGGGGAACGTCAGTGCCTTGTTGTTCAGTAGGGGAACGTCAGTGCTTTGTTGCTCAGTAGGGGAACGTCAGTGCTTTGTTGCTCAGTAGGGGAACGTCAGTGCCTTGTTGTTCAGTAGGGGAACATCAATGCCTTGTTGTTCAATAGGGTAGCGTCAATGCTTTGTTGTTCAGTAGGGAAACGTCAATGCCTTGTTGGGGGTCGTCTAAGGCGCCGCAATTCGCTGTGCAGAGTTGCGTCCCTTGGGCACGCCAGAAACCTATGATTGTGGGTTCGAATCCTGGTTCGCCTCAATTATGTTTCTAGGTTTGTCAGCACCATGCCCGTGCTCGTGGGTTTCATCGAAGTGGTAAACGTCTTAGACCTGCATCACTTCGGGCTTTCCTTCCACATTAAGCTGACACGCCGTGATATAACTGGAATACTGTTAAAAGCGGCGTTAAACCCAACTCACTCACTCACTCACTCAATGCCTTGTTCAGTAGGGTAGCGTCAATGCCTTGTTGTTCAGTAGGGTAGCGTCAATGCCTTGTTGTTCAGTAGGGTGGCGTCAATGCCTTGTTGTTCAGTAGGGTAGCGTCAATGCCTTGTTGTTCAGTAGGGTAGCGTCAATGCCTTGTTCAGTAAGGTAGCGTCCATGCCTTGTTGTTCAGTAGGGTTGCGCCAATGCCTTGTTCAGTAAGGTAGCGTCCATGCCTTGTTGTTCAGTAGGGTTGCGCCAATGCCTTGTTGTTCAGTAGGGTAGCGTCAGTGTCTTGTTGTTCAGTAGGGTAGCATCAGTGTCTTGTTGTTCAGTAGGGCGGCGACAATGCCTTGTTGTTCAGTAGGGTAGCGTCAATGCCTTGTTGTTCAGTAGGGTTGCGTCAATGCCTTGTTGTTCAGTAGGGTAGCGTCAATGCCTTGTTGTTCAGTAGGGTAGCGTCAATGCCTTGTTGTTCAGTAGGGTAGCGTCAATGCCTTGTTGTTCAGTAGGGTAGCGTCAATGCCTTGTTGTTCAGTAGGGTTGCGTCAATGCCTTGTTGTTCAGTAGGGTAGCGTCAGTGTCTTGTTGTTCAGTAGGGCGGCGACAATGCCTTGTTGTTCAGTAGGGTAGCGTCAATGCCTTGTTGTTCAGTAGGGTTGCGTCAATGCCTTGTTGTTCAGTAGGGTAGCGTCAATGCCTTGTTGTTCAGTAGGGTAGCGTCAATGCCTTGTTGTTCAGTAGGGTAGCGTCAATGCCTTGTTGTTCAGTAGGGTAGCGTCAATGCCTTGTTGTTCAGTAGGGTTGCGTCAATGCCTTGTTGTTCAGTAGGGTAGCGTCAGTGTCTTGTTGTTCAGTAGGGCGGCGACAATGCCTTGTTGTTCAGTAGGGTAGCGTCAATGCCTTGTTGTTCAGTAGGGTTGCGTCAAAGCCTTGTTGTTCAGTAGGGTAGCGTCAATGCCTTGTTGTTCAGTAGGGTAGCGTCAATGCCTTGTTGTTCAGTAGGGTAGCGTCAATGCCTTGTTGTTCAGTAGGGTAGCGTCAATGCCTTGTTGTTCAGTAGGGTTGCGTCAATGCCTTGTTGTTCAGTAGGGTAGCGTCAATGCCTTGTTGTTCAGTCGGGTAGCATCAGTGTCTTGTTGTTCAGTAGGGTAGCGTCAATGCCTTGTTGTTCAGTAGGGTAGCGTCAGTGTCTTGTTGTTCAGTAGGGTTGCGTCAATGCCTTGTTGTTCAGTAGGGGAATTTCAATGCCTTGTTGTTCAGTAGGGTAGCGTCAATGCCTTGTTGTTCAGTAGGGTTGCGTCAATGCCTTGTTGTTCAGTAGGGTTGCGTCAATGCCTTGTTGTTCAGTAGGGTAGCGTCAGTGTCTTGTTGTTCAGTAGGGCGGGGTCAATGCCTTGTTGTTCAGTAAGGTAGCGTCAATGCCTTGTTGTTCAGTAGGGTAGCGTTAATGCCTTGTTGTTCAGTAGGGTAGCGTCAGTGTCTTGTTGTTCAGTAGGGCGGCGTCAATGCCTTGTTGTTCAGTAGGGTAGCGTTAATGCCTTGTTGTTCAGTAGTGTAGTGTCAATGCCTTATTGTTCAGAAGGGTAGCGTCAATGCCTTGTTGTTGAGTAGGGGGGTGTTGTTCAGAAGGGTAGTGTCAATGCCTTGTTGTTCAGTAGGGGAATATCAATGCCTTGTTGTTCAGTAAGGTAGCGTCAGTGTCTTGTATTTAAGTAGGGCGGCGTCAATGCCTTGTTGTTCAGTAGGGTTGCGTCAGTGTCTTGTTGTTCAGTAGGGTAGCGCCAATGCCTTGTTGTTCAGTAGGGGGGTGTTGTTCAGTAGCGGAGTATCAATGCCTTGTTGTTCAGTAGGGCAGTGCCAATGCCTTGATGTTCAGTAGTGTAGCGCCAATGCCTTGTTGTTCAGTAGGGTAGCGTCAATGTCTTGTTGTTCAGTGGGGTAGGGTCAGTTTCTTGTTGTTCAGTAGGGTTGCGTCAATGCCTTGTTGTTCAGTAGGGGGGTGTTGTTCAGTAGCGGAGTATCAATGCCTTGTTGTTCAGTAGGGCAGTGCCAATGCCTTATTGTTCAGAAGGGTAGCGTCAATGCCTTGTTGTTGAGTAGGGGGGTGTTGTTCAGAAGGGTAGTGTCAATGCCTTGTTGTTCAGTAGGGGAATATCAATGCCTTGTTGTTCAGTAAGGTAGCGTCAGTGTCTTGTATTTAAGTAGGGCGGCGTCAATGCCTTGTTGTTCAGTAGGGTTGCGTCAGTGTCTTGTTGTTCAGTAGGGTAGCGCCAATGCCTTGTTGTTCAGTAGGGGGGTGTTGTTCAGTAGCGGAGTATCAATGCCTTGTTGTTCAGTAGGGCAGTGCCAATGCCTTGATGTTCAGTAGTGTAGCGCCAATGCCTTGTTGTTCAGTAGGGTAGCGTCAATGTCTTGTTGTTCAGTGGGGTAGGGTCAGTTTCTTGTTGTTCAGTAGGGTTGCGTCAATGCCTTGTTGTTCAGTAGGGGGGTGTTGTTCAGTAGCGGAGTATCAATGCCTTGTTGTTCAGTAGGGCAGTGCCAATGCCTTGATGTTCAGTAGTGTAGCGCCAATGCCTTGTTGTTCAGTAGGGTAGCGTCAATGTCTTGTTGTTCAGTGGGGTAGGGTCAGTTTCTTGTTGTTCAGTAGGGTAGCGTCAGTGTCTTGTTGTTCAGTAGGGCGGCGACAATGCCTTGTTGTTCAGTAGGGTAGCGTCAATGCCTTGTTGTTCAGTAGGGTTGCGTCAATGCCTTGTTGTTCAGTAGGGTAGCGTCAATGCCTTGTTGTTCAGTAGGGTAGCGTCAATGCCTTGTTGTTCAGTAGGGTAGCGTCAATGCCTTGTTGTTCAGTAGGGTAGCGTCAATGCCTTGTTGTTCAGTAGGGTTGCGTCAATGCCTTGTTGTTCAGTAGGGTAGCGTCAGTGTCTTGTTGTTCAGTAGGGCGGCGACAATGCCTTGTTGTTCAGTAGGGTAGCGTCAATGCCTTGTTGTTCAGTAGGGTTGCGTCAATGCCTTGTTGTTCAGTAGGGTAGCGTCAATGCCTTGTTGTTCAGTAGGGTAGCGTCAATGCCTTGTTGTTCAGTAGGGTAGCGTCAATGCCTTGTTGTTCAGTAGGGTAGCGTCAATGCCTTGTTGTTCAGTAGGGTTGCGTCAATGCCTTGTTGTTCAGTAGGGTAGCGTCAATGCCTTGTTGTTCAGTCGGGTAGCGTCAGTGTCTTGTTGTTCAGTAGGGTAGCGTCAATGCCTTGTTGTTCAGTAGGGTCGCGTCAATGCCTTGTTGTTCAGTAGGGTAGCGTCAGTGTCTTGTTGTTCAGTAGGGTTGCGTCAATGCCTTGTTGTTCAGTAGGGTAGCGTCAGTGTCTTGTTGTTCAGTAGGGCGGCGTCAATGCCTTGTTGTTCAGTAGGGTAGCGTCAATGCCTTGTTGTTCAGTAGGGTAGCGTTAATGCCTTGTTGTTCAGTAGGGCGGCGTCAATGCCTTGTTGTTCAGTAGGGTAGCGTTAATGCCTTGTTGTTCAGTAGTGTAGTGTCAATGCCTTATTGTTCAGAAGGGTAGCGTCAATGCCTTGTTGTTGAGTAGGGGGGTGCTGTTCAGAAGGGTAGTGTCAATGCCTTGTTGTTCAGTAAGGTAGCGTCAGTGTCTTGTATTTAAGTAGGGCGGCGTCAATGCCTTGTTGTTCAGTAGGGTTGCGTCAGTGTCTTGTTGTTCAGTAGGGTAGCGCCAATGCCTTGTTGTTCAGTAGGGTTGCGTCAATGCCTTGTTGTTCAGTAGGGGGGTGTTGTTCAGTAGCGGAGTATCAATGCCTTGTTGTTCAGTAGGGCAGTGCCAATGCCTTGATGTTCAGTAGTGTAGCGCCAATGCCTTGTTGTTCAGTAGGGTAGCGTCAATGTCTTGTTGTTCAGTGGGGTAGGGTCAGTTTCTTGTTGTTCAGTAGGGGGATGTTGTTCAGTAGGGGAATATCAATGCCTTGTTGTTCAGTAGGGTAGCGTCAATGCCTTGTTGTTCAGTAGTGTAGCGTCAATGCCTTGTTGTTCAGTAGTGTAGCGTCCATGCCTTGTTGTTCAGTAGGGTAGCGTCAATGTCTTGTTGTTCAGTGGGGTAGCGTCAATGCCTTGTTGTTCAGTAGGGTAGCGTCAGTTTCTTGTTGTTCAGTAGGGTAGCGTCAGTGTCTTGTTGTTCAGTAGGGTTGCGTCAGTGTCTTGTTGTTCAGTAGGGTTGCGTCAATACCTTGTTGTTCAGTGGGGAATCTTCAATGCCTTTGTGTGTAGGGTAGCGTCAGTGCTATGTTGTTCAATAGCAGAACGTCAGTGCCTTGTTTCTCAGTAGGGGAACGTCAGTGAATGGTTGTCACTTTTCATACCAACACACCATCACATCAACAAATCATCCATGTCAACACACCATAATCACCAACACACCTTGAAAGGATGTCCTGTGAATTCAGGGTCTACGTTGATCTCGCCAAGATGCCATGTTTGTCCTTGGTTGCCATAGCTACGCCATATGGGATAACCAAGACCTGAACCAACCTGTAGCAAACAAAACCCAGGAAGACCTACAATACAATTAAATAGACACTAGCAGCCCAACAGATCTGCACAAGCATGTGTTCTGTGTATGTATGAAAAATAAAGTGTTCTTATTGAAGAGTCTGAGAGTAAATGGAACTTCAATCTTCAAGTTCATAACAGACAGATACATTCTCAGTAATCAACGTGTCTTCAGACAGTTGGTTCAAATAACTGTCCATACCCTTTCTAACAAACTTAGACCTGGATCTGGTGTCTGCCCTGTACATGTTGTACCAACCTTGGCGTACACCTGGAGAGATCTGGTGTCTGCCCAGTACATGTTGTACCAACCTTGACGTACACCTGGAGAGATCTGGTGTCTGCCCTGTACATGTTGTACCAACCTTGACGTACACCTGGAGAGATCTGGTGTCTTCCCTATACATGTTGTACCAACCTTGACGTACACCTGGAGAGATCAGGTGTCTACCCTATACATGTTGTACCAACCTTGGCGTACACCCGGAGAGATCTGGTGTCTGCCCTGTACATGTTGTACCAACCTTGACGTACACCTGGAGAGATCTGGTGTCTGCCCTGTACATGTTGTACCAACCTTGACGTACACCTGGAGAGATCTGGTGTCTTCCCTATACATGTTGTGCCAACCTTGACGTACACCTGGAGAGATCTGGTGTCTACCCTGTACATGTTGTACCAACCTTGACGTAGACCTGGAGAGATCTGGTGTCTTCCCTATACATGTTGTACCAACCTTGACGTACACCTGGATAGATCAGGTGTCTACCCTATACATGTTGTACCAACCTTGACGTACACCTGGAGAGATCTGGTGTCTGCCCTATACATTATCTACCAACCTTGACGTACACCTGGAGAGATCTGGTGTCTGCCCAGTACATGTTGTACCAACCTTGACGTACACCTGGAGAGATCAGGTGTCTGCCCCGTACCTTATCTACCAACCTTGGCGTAGACCAGGAGAGATTTGGTGTCTGCCCCGTACATTATCTACCAACCTTGGCGTAGACCAGGAGAGATCTGGTGTCTGCCCAGTACATTATCTACCAACCTTGGCGTAGACCAGGAGAGATCTGGTGTCTGCCCTATACATGTTGTACCAACCTTGGCGTAGACCAGGAGAGATCTGGTGTCTGCCCCGTACATTATCTACAAACCTTGGCGTAGACCTGGAGAGATCTGATGTCTGCCCAGTACATTATCTACAAACCTTGGCGTAGACCAGGAGAGATTTGGTGTCTGCCCCGTACATGTTGTACCAGAACCTGACACAGTAGGCGGGAGCGGGGCGGAAGTCAGGGGAGGCGAGGTAGAATGTTCTGTTCCGTTTGTTGTAATCGTAATCTCCTGACGTCGGATCACTGTACATGTAGCTTCCTGTAAGGTTACACAATAAACGAATATTTCTTTATTTAAGGAATGTGACTTCGACAAACACACTAACGGAACCCGACCTGTACATTTCGCTGTACCATTCAAACGTCGCCTCAAAACTCCATATGGTGATCTATATAGCCTTAAGCTACTTATACAAATTCTTGTGAAGAAAGTGTCTGATTTAGAAGGAATCTGTGTTTGGCACATTCCACTGTAGAGCATGAAATCAGAAAGTTAAGTTAAAGCTGTAAATAGTTATGGCGTGGATCAATAACTTGTCTTGATTTGTTTACTGAAGCGCGATTGTTAGTTCTGATGGTGATAAAACGTTTTAAGTTCGAATCTATTTTCCACAATTCTGATTTACAGGTAATGGAGGATCTATAAAACAAAGTAATTAACATAAGGTTATCATTAATTTAAGTTGGTTATACATCCGTGGATTTCATTACTTATTTCGGCAAGCTAAATATAGATTAAATGTAGGAACCTTTCCGAAGGCGAACTCAAGGTTGACACAACTGTTTGTTTGTTTGTTTGTTTCACGAGCATCGATCTCGTTATACCATAACTGCACCAAGCAAGCCAGCGAGTCTGTCAAACCGATTCCTTTAGTCGTTTCCTACGACAAGCATGAGATGCGGAAGACCAATTCTAACCCGGTTCTTCGCGGGTAATATACTCTGTAAAAAAAAGAAACGCAAAAGGAGGAAAATCGTAAATATCTGACAGAGTGTTGCTGACATCAATACAACATTAAGACCAAATATGAATTGGTCAATTCTGCATGGATTAGGATTGATTTGTGCAGAGAGAAGGAGGTACTGCAGAAATTTGGTGAAAAGAAGGAACAATCGCAAAAACACAACCACGTGAGAGCCTGACACTGAAACACACCTGATGACATGCAGGTGCAACATCACTTGTTGGTCTATAGAAACGTTGGGTTTTCATTTGCATGTCATCACAATCTTACAGCAAGTGAACAGCGAAAGCATGCCACGACTGACGGAAGCCCAACGCAACAGCGCCATCGTCCGACTGCAAACAGGAAAATCATCTTCAGATGTAGTCAGGTTTTTCCACGTCACGCCAAGCAACTTACAAGACTGTGAAACCGTTATCAGACACACGGGACAACCTGTGGACTGGCTGACATTGCTTGTTTGGAGACCAAGGACGCCTCTACAGTTGTTAAGGTCTCGGGTCAGGTTGGCGATTTCCTCCTTAAAGTTCTGGATTAAATTGGCGGATTGCTGTACAAGGTGCGCCAGGTTCGCTTGCGAGGTGTTCAGTTCAGCCTCTTTGTTTTCCAGTGCTTGCAGTAGCTGGTCCCTCTCATTGGTCGTTTTGTTCAGTGGGACAGACGATGATTGGCTAATTCCCAGTTTCTGCTGAAACTCATGCATCTGCTTGACGAGTTCGTCGACCACGCCCTGTAGATTGTTCATATTGCCCTGGAACAATCGAAGTCTTTTTAACATGTGTGACGAACGGCATTGAGAAAAAAAAAACCTAGGGAATTCGACTAACTTAATTAGTCAAAGAAGCCGGAAGGTTAGTAAACAATGTATTTACTACCCTACCTGGTAGATTGCACGAAGATTCTAAAGATTGGTAAATATCACTTGTTTAATTAATATAATCACCAATTAAATGGCATGTCGGTAAACTGTGTGTACCTTCAAATGTATTTAGATTGGCAAGGAAATCTTTTTCCTTGATGCCAAAACCAGAAATATAATGAAGGTTATTAAATATTGGTTCATGTAGCTCACTTTCTGATGATCTCATGAAATTGTAATAACAATAACTTCGCAGATTCGCATATGAATAGCTCTGTAGTAGCCTCATTACACAAAGGCATAAAGAGAATGTACTAGGTTATGTAGCTCACATCATATATAGTATATGATATCGGTAAAAAGTACACCTTAGAATTATATGTCAGGGGCTACAAATTTAAAAGATTAAAATCTATAAATAACAAACTGCACTACTAGTGAACATGATTGATATGTGCATAAAAGTTGGTGAATCTCTGTCGCATGGTTTAGAAGATATGCTCCATCAATTTTCAATTTAAATTGAAAAAAGAAAAAGAAAAAAATCTGTTAATAGCAAAGGCACCACTACATTACCTGCTTGATAGGTGTAAAACCTTTTGAGAAGCTAAGTTGTATGGTTCAGGAGATATGGTCCGGACAAGAGCACTACCCTCAAATTTCCTAAGTTCATCATATTTCCATGGAAACGACAAAAATATAAAATTCTAAAAATCTCTAAATAGCAAAAGGCACTTCTAATGAGCCTGATTGTTAAGTGTACCAAGTTTTGTGAAGCTAGGTTGTACGGTTTAGGAAATATGCTCCGGACAAGAGCAGTACCCTCAAATTTCCTAAGTTCATCATATTTCCATGGAAACGACAAAAATTTAAAATTCTAAAAATCTCTAAATAGCAAAAGGCACTACTACTGAACCTGATTGGTAAGTGTACCAAGTTTTGTGAAGCTAGGTTGTACGGTTTAGGAAATATGCTCCGGACAAACAATGATTACAGACGGACGGACGGACGGACAGACAGACAGACATACTGATGGCTATATCCCCCCGTCATTATATGTCGGGGGGATAACAAGCTTATTGTGACTAGGAAAATTGACACAACAGTATCTGTAGCGTGGTAGCGTGACGAACTACAAATCAAGAGGTTGCAGGTTCGAATCCTACCGAGGTATGAAAAATGTTTGTATTCATAAATTAGCTGTTGCTGTATGCCTAATAGTATTCTGCTTACACAGGAAGCTGACAATGAAAGCATATCTGATTACTACCTAACCTATTTTATTTTGTGACGATGGGCCACCTCGTACAAGAATACTTGCTGATAAGTAAACTCTACCAAAATGTAGAGAAATTCATCTAGATAGTAAACTTTGAACACTATTATTGTCAGTGAAAGTGAATCACAGAAGGACCGAATGTAGCTTCATAATTGAAATATACCCCTACATATTGCATTAAAATGAGTTGGACAAATGAGTTATAACACAGCGTAGTTACAAACACAAGACACTTATATGCACATTTAGTATTTCTAAAGCATTCTCCAGTGGAGAAACACAACTCTGAGGCCAAAACACACCTCTAGAAATCATTTAAGGACAAATGCGTTCACAGGTCAAGTTGTGCCACAACACAGCAGAAAACTGCCACGTGACACTCGGCTCACGTCACAACGACATGGGCATGAGGCAGGACCTCCCAGCAGGAGGTTGTTAGTGCCATGAATGATCCAAGAACCATCAATAGACTGGGGGCGACAGGTCTACATCAGGAAGACACAGAGATAACACCCCTGCACACGATGGCTACTTAAGGTTCCAGCATGTCAACTTCCTGAGGCAAGGGAGTGAACTGACTATAACACTGGACTTGTATAGTCACTTAACTCCCTTGCCTCGGGAAGATGCAACATGTGCGTGGTCTGTTCATTCCATCCACCATCACCAGCGAAAGGGTCCATTTGGCGGGAAAGCGTGATGGTGTGAAAACATTGCAGGTAATTTAACTGGTGTTCTCTACAAGGATAAAGCCCTCCAGTACGACACTGACAGACTTCAGTTTGCCTGGGTATTAAAGAAATATTCATATTCACTAGATCTGTCCCTGATCAAACATGCTTGGGACATCCTCAATCGTAGTGTCGGTCAGACGCAGCTATCACCACAGGCGCACCGTGACCTCCTCCACTACAGGAATAGTGGCAGGACACTGTCAGGATCGAAATGTGTATATGGGTAGACGTGGCAAGGCTGTCATGGATGCCCGTGGTCTTTCGCACCGGAGTAAATGACAAGGGAGATAACTCATGTAACCACCACCTGCTCCTCGAGATGACGTCAGCTGAATAGATTCTTTGTTGGCGTGCACTCAGTATCGCTTCTTGGCATAAATGGATTTTGTTTAGATATTTATACCAATCAAACGTTTCTTTTTTTATGAGTATAGTTCAGGAGACGTAGTAAAACACAGGGATTGAGATGAAAGATCTGGAATATAGAGATACACTCCTGCTGTAACACCGAAAGAAAATGAGAATTAGTCAAATTGATTGTACAGAAAAAGACGACCCTGAAAGCCAATTTGACTTCGCAATTAGTCAAAACTCATTATTCCCAAGTATAAGTCAAATTAACCATTCATGAATCCAACTGACTGATCATTTTTGTCATAATGATTAGCGACAGAAGTCAAATTGACTTTTAACTAAAAACATCAGTGTGATGATACATAAATCGGCTGACCAAATATTATGTTACTTTTAATAATATAACATTAACACCGCTTTGAACGAAGTACAGTTACTTATTTCCGTCAGTATATATTCGCTCCTGGCTTTCAACTTGATTCCAAGTACATGCTGAAAACAGACAACTCTGTACAGAACAAAGGGATGACGTCACAGGTGTATAATTCGTGTTTCCAATTTTTTACGAGCCACTCTGATCAGTTGATTGTCAATGATAAGTTGACTAGGTCAGGCGCTTGTTTTACCAGGTGACCTAGTCAAGTTGACAAGGTTGAGGATTAACTTTGCTATCTATGGGTAAACTTTGATGTACTCGACGTCGTTTTAGCTGGAAGTGGCCGTGTCATGTCGGTTTCTGTCGCTTATGAAGAGGACAATCAGTTATCCGAAATACTCTCAACAAGAGCTTTTAAAGCGAATGCTCCACTCTGCAGAAACACACCATTATGACTAGCCCACAGACAAGCAGCCCCACCTGTACGCCATTACAGCAGGTGTTGGTCCCCCCTCCGGTAGTGGTCGCTGTTCCATGGGCATCACATTTACCCTCATGTCCCAGTTTGACGTTGTAGACACATTGGTTGTTCATGAAGCTGCAGCCAGGCTCGAACACGGCGAGAGAGGACGACAGAAGCAGTGTCGTTGTTGCCAAAACCAGCCTCGCCATCTTGATGGTGTCCTCTGTATTGTGTTATCTGAGATGCAGATTGTTTGTGACAACTATTAACTAGCTCATGGTGATATCCCGTAACTGATAGTGTCATATACGTCCGACGCATAGGACGTCTGCAATGTAACCTGCATGTGCACAACTGTGTCTAACTTTATCTAACTGTGTCTAACTACCAACAGCAGCGCCCTGTGAAGATCCCGGTTAGGACTGGTCTTCAGCAACTCATGCTTTATGTAAGAGGCGACTAACGGGATAGGGTCAGCTCTTGGTTGATGCATGTAATCGTATCTCAATTGCTTAGATCAAAGCTCATGGTGTCAATCACTGGATTGTCTGGCCCGGACTCGACCACCGTCAGACAGCTGGAATATTGCTGAGTTCAACGTTAAACAACAAACAAACAAACACAACAAATCAGTGGTGCTGATTGGTGACGATAACTGGACACAATGTGAGTTGCTGTTTCAGAATATGTTAAAATATTATATATCTGAACACAACTTGATAACGAATTTGTTCGTAAACATAGTAAAGTACTTGACTGAGGACACTGCACAGCAGGTTCTACCAAGGTACGGTTCTGATTAGCCAATGTCCAAAACCAGGGTGAACCTGGGATTCGATCGCTCAAGGATTCTGGCGCGCCCAGTGTGTATATCTCTACATAAATAATGGCGGTGAGCTCTAGAAGTTCCACAAGCAATGTGACATATGATTTGGGTTAACCGAGTTCCACTACAGGAGATGTACAGTCTACATATGGGATTAGATCATTTATAAAGCATATTTTAAAGTATCTTGAAGAATAACAATTCTAAAGTCAATAAAAAGCGTTAAAAACCTACTCGTATTCCGGAAACTAGTCTCGGTTCTGCCCTCTACAGATCCATAGGGAAAGATGTTCCACTTCCATCGAAACAACGCACTGACATCAACCTGCCTGATATGTAACACAAACACTGTTTCCAAAGACAACTTCCTGATCCATTCAGACGATGATGTCTTTGCCACCAACTCCAATCTGGAAACAGAAGTCTGCCGACATGATCATTAACCTAGAACCAACCACAGCCTGCACTAACTTTGAATCAGCTGCACTGAATTCCTTCAGAAGAGTTTTTGCTGCTTGTACTTTGAAAGTCTGTTTCCTCCAATACGGGCAGTGGCGCAGTGCTGAGCAGTTTGACCTTCAAGTTGACTGTACCAGAGACGACGACATCAACATCCTGATCAGAAGAGCTAACGCCTTGCCACTAGTCCCTGTCGCCGACCTCGAAGACGTGTGGCTCAATGCATAAGATGAGGCTCCCCTTGACGACGCCAGAGTGTTGAGGCTTGTCGACGACGTCACCGCCTACTGGGTAGAGGGCAACCTTGGCCGCAGTACACGGAACCACCACAACACTGTTGGTCCAGGAACAACTAACCATGTTGAGGGCTGGCACAACAAACTGACCACACATCACGGGCAGTCCTCGCCCTAACATCAACAAAATCCTAGACTTCATCATAACAGAACAATTCTACACCGAAAATTGCGTCATCCAGGAATAAGAAATTTTATGTATAATATACGTTATCTATGTAATCTATATGTTCTAAATCATTGGTAATAAAATTAATGCACTAGTATTAAACAAGTTTTATAAGACTTATATCACTTCTCCAACAATCTGACCTAAGCCCACTATGAAGACACCTAATGATATCGTGGGCAACACCCCTCGCTTATTCCCGATGTTGTTATACACTACCAATGTTGGGAAAGTAGGAAGACACCGAAAAAAGCACTCACCTCCCCACTGTGACGTCACAGCTAGAGTCCGGCTTACAACGATTTCGATATGCATCCACGCACATAATTACATATTACTTTTATATTGGTGTTGATATGTACATCGTATGACTATTTAACGTGATTTGATTCAATATATCTCTTTTAATGACACTACTATCCAGATGATTTAACTGGTATCGCCTGTCACAGAAGTGACTGACTTATCGTACGTGACGTATCTGGGCTGATTGCAACTGTAGCACTTGATCAAAGTGCGGTGGTGGTACAGTACTTTAACAGTACATTTGCTCATAGTTTCAGTGCGACAGTATGAAATGCATTAACACAACCCTACTGTATTTATGGGTCTTTTATAGTTATTTAGTTCGGGACCATCTTAAATATATCGGACCCGTGAAAATCCGGGGTAGACTATGCTTGTTGTTAGAGGCGGCTAACGGGATCGGGTGGTCAGGCTGCTCACTTAGTTGATGCATGTCATTGTATCCCAATTGCGTAGATCAATGAGGATGAGGATGTCAAGGACTGGATTGTCTGGTCCAGACTCGATTATTTACAGATTGCCGTCATATAGCTGGAATATTGCTGAGTGCGGCGTTAAACAACAAACAAACAAACAAATATATCGAGTTCGTCGTACTTCATATAAGCGGAGTGCTGATAACAGGCCATGGTGCCAATAAAGAGTCAAGTCAAATCGTAATGAAACAATATATCCAGGACGAGTTATCAAGGTTTTACTGGTTGGGCGTGATGGAAGGCTTTGTCTTACAATTTGCAAATTGTGGAGATAAAGGCTTTTGACATGACATTGACAAGAAACACCTCCGTGACGTGGAGCTCTCCAGATCAGATTATTGCAACAACTATCTGGCAGAGCATCAAACATAAGAAGGTTACAGAACCTACCATATACTGCTTCATTGATTGTATCTCTTATTTCAAGCACGCCGATGTGACTCTAATCCTGAAATCCTTTCCAAAGAGGATTGGATACAAGACTGTGTCTGTTAAAAGCTGTCTGCTCTTATTTCTCAGAATTTAAGTTTCCATATTGTCATGTATAGATTGTAAGTTTATTTCTGATGTTTAATAATGTCAGAACTACGCAGCGATCATAAAATCTCGAGCCTCGGTAGTGGTTACCCGCCTTTGTGCCACGATGTAGCAGTTTCTAGAAGATTGGATGTTCATTATAAAAGAGCAAGACGGGTTCGATTGAAAGCCTTCTACGACTTACGACTTATCTACTTGTCTAGTGGGAAAATCTCACCCCCCTTTGCCTCTTTCTAACACTGTTTCATTCAAGACATTCGACTGTGAAAATTCAGGACATTCGTGAGTGCACTGACTGATCTTCGAAACAGAATGTGACGCATTAGTGACAAAAGGGATCTTTGATGCAATTCTCTGTTTTGACTTGTATTTTGTTTTAGCTGAATAACTGACTTTTCTTTACACATGTTTGTGACGGGTGCCACTGATTGGTTCCATCGGATTTTGCAAACGCCTGGCATCATCACTTTTATCGTCACTTGTATCATCACTATTTGATAGTGGCTCATAAACAAACACATGCTCATAGTAGAGTCTGGATCGTACAGTCCACTCTGTGAATACACAATGCCATTTGTAAAGTGGTCAAATGTAACAAATAATATATTTGGGATAACATTTTCTTAGTAAAGTACAGATTCTCGTACTTTTTTGGGCTGACTCCCGTCCGGGATTCAAACCCACATTGCCCGAGTGAGGCATCTAATCGCTAGCACAATATGGAAGCCTTGGTGGCTGGGTGGGTTAGCTCGCTGACTTTGTGTGCAGATTTGTGTTTAAGAAAGTTTTCCATGACGTTTAGCCATGATATTTTCATGCTGTTGACTAAGCAGGTTTGCATGTTATTGTCCGTTCATGTTTAGACCTTCCTTGAGGTAGTCCACCAGTATAATGTTTTTGGAATACCAGGAGAACTAGTTGGAACAGACTCTGCCTTTGTCAGAGGAGTGACATTAGATATTAAGTCTCTGTCTGATCATGGTAATCCAAGACTGATCAAGACAAATCGCCCAACAAAAAAGCTTTAAAATGACGTATATTCTAACGAACGAGAGATAATGAACGTGGAGCACTTTAATGGATGCAAACTGTTGTGGGTGTTTTATACATCATTCGTAGTTAGGCGTAGTTAGTGAGATGTTTGCCGAGAAACAAACGAGGGCGTACTATGATCCAGAATATGTCGTCTAGAAAAGGATGTTGCTTCCATTTTATGTCTGTTAATAAAATTAATATAAACCAATCAGTGCTATAGAGCGATATGTGTAACTAGATCATACCGACTGAAATCATGAAGTTGCAAGCACCTGAAAACAATTCCTAACACATAGAAAAATGGTGTAACTACGTGTCCAACGTCGACTCTCTGGTCTTGGGTCTTGGATACCTGAAATGCCTTCTCCCATGTCCCGCATCAGTTGAGGAAAGGGATGCAAAGTGGAGACCATATTTGTTATGATTCAGTGGCTCTAGGGGCAGGGAATAGTGGCGACATATGAACGTGTCATGTGTGCCATGACAGCTGACAAAAGACATTCCTGCAACATCAACCGCATTGCTCCATCGTTAATTGTCAGGCTAACCACATCAAAGTGAAGCATGATTTTGGGCAGTGACGGCTTTGATGTGTGATATGTAGATTCTGGTAACACCTCTGAGAAGCTCAGACAGTTGTGAATGTGTACACTTCATCTGAGCCACACCTGGTGGATCCCCCCTCCAACCCAACCTCGAAACATTTTGTGTTGATTGTGTTTTACACTGCAGTTAGTGTTATTCCTGTAACATGTTGTCGATAAATAATCAAGCTACATCCATCCCGTCCGGTCACCAATCGATCAACCAAGTCCCCTACAAGCGTATCTGCCCAGTGTGCATGGTTATATCATTGGAGTCTTTTACAAATGTATATCACTTAATTTATTTTACACATGTTTAAAATGAATCACGAGTCAATAAACACATACTTTAGAAGTCTATGAAATAGATTGTCACCTTTGATGAACATTTATCCGACAAGACTTTCAGATCCAGTGGCCTCTATTTCACAGACGAAATTGTGACGAACATCACAGAATTCATCATTCCACTTGAAGCCGACACTTCTCGTCAAGGTCAGACATGCCTGGCTTTCACCATTTTTGGAAGAGTATGATGGCGACCCAGCTGACCACCATTTCTGCCTAACTTTGCCTCCCTTGAATCCCCACTGCCAGTCCCCCTTCACGAGGTAGTCCAGGGCCCCCAACCACACGTACCCGGTACTCAGACTTGACGATGATGTTAGCAGGAACCCCTCGAGGAACGTCTGTTCTGATGTTGTTTCCACATACGCCAGATGGGCACCGACGGCTTGACAATACACGGCAGCCTCTGCCCAGCTTGCTTTGATGAGAATAAGTGCATAACAGGAGTCATCATGGCGTAAAAAGCCAGACGGACATTCTGCAATAGACCCAGCCACTGTACACAGCAAGACCAGCAGGTTTAGAGGGAACATCCTACTTAATACAAGACGTAGACAGTTGTGAGGTCGGCGAATGCTGTAGTGCCAAGGTAAAGTCTGTTCGTCAATTCATACACTTATCTTATCGAATAACTGGGCCCCTTTGAAATAGGTGCAGCTCAGCTTTTGCTTGGCTCGCTGTAAGAATCTGATAAACTCTGTGACCTAACCAACATACACATTTCACATAAACAGTTCTCAAACACATGTTAACTGTAAGAAACTGTTCTTTATTTTATTTCCGTTGAATATCCAATTGTTATTTACAGAAAGTAATGTATGGTTTGTCTTAGGTTTAGACTTCCCTGCTGTCATGTAACAAACAGACCATGTGGGACAATCTGTGTCAGGTCGTGTAAACTACAGTTGACTCTTTGCTCAAGGTTAAACCCTCTGAACTATGTCAGCGTTACAAAAGAACAGTGCAAGCATTCAACAAAACTGTTTCCAGTTTGTTCTCTCAAGGAGTAGGCTGACAGACACACAGACACACAGATATTATATTAACATCTCGCCTCGTGGGTTTCACTTAAGGGTTGACCGGATTTTTTTTCAGTTCATTGAGGTATGAATCGAAATAACTGATGTCCAACGGTATGAATCCGCGCAGAAGGATCTTACAAAAGATTGCACATCGGTTTTTCGATTCACATCTCAATGAGCTGGAAAAAACCCACAGTCAATCGTTATAATTAAATTCGGTAACGATAATAAATGCGTTATCTACAATAGACGTATATAACAGCAGACAAAAATTATGCGATAGATAAACATTCCAGGTGTAGAAATACATACTGTGGCTTGACATGAATCAGGTGATTGTTTAATATATGCACATACCTTGACACTCCCATAAAGTCAGTAGCCAATCAATGGAGAGTAAAACAAAGTTCATAGTACCTGTCAATCAAGGCAAAAGTCGAGAAGAACTGCAACAATCAGACATTTAACGAACTGTTTCAAACATGTCCGGGAGAAGGCGGTTGTTTCAAATGAGTTCAGTTACCGCCAGATTCAAACATCGGTTTCCTTGAGAACAGGAGGACACAGAAAAATGCGGTTGAGAAATGAAACCTGAAGACATTAAATCTGTGGAACCCAGGTGAGCGGAAACAAACAGGCGAGAGATTCTGCACGTTTGCTGTTTCATTCCTTCTCAGCCGACAGTCGCAAACAATGAATATGCATGAATTTCGCTAAATGTCCTGTGCATGACGATAAACGTGAGCAGCAGGGGAATTCCCTCGACATTCCGTAGTAATTAAAGTAGTCCGCTTGGGTGGGAGTGGCTTAATGTTTTACATTCATTGGGAAATTAAAGTCACCAGTTCCGCTAATCAGAATGCAGGGATTACAATGAGCACAACGAAAATGTAATTATATATACACACATAAATTTTGGGGGGGGGAGCCTGTGACAGAAAATGAAAGTCAGTTCGTTGAGTTCTTAGGTCACCATTTTGTGTGTGCATTGTTACATTATTTTATTTAGTACAAGACCACTCTTGTGTACCCGCCATCTATATAACTACATCGTCAGATGAGCAATACCTCAGTTCGTCAGTCGCAAAGATAGCGTTGTACTCCATTGATCCATTGACTTCCAGGATGCCGTTGTACAAAACAACCTTAGCGCCATGAGAGAGAGAGAGAGAGAGAGAGAGAGAGAGAGAGAGAGAGAGAGAGAGTCTCACCCGAGTGCCTTTTGATATCAAATATATCAACACGAGTTGATAAAAGTGGAAAGACTCCGAGGCTTGCCGAGGAGTTATTCCACTTTTATCAAGGAGACACAAGGGTGATATCAAAAGACACGAGAGTGAGATCTTATTTATCATCCAACATCATTATTTCAACTTTTTCAGTTTTTGTGTTTGTAGACAGTAATAAGCAATGTCTAAGTGTAAAAAGTACTGCTAAGAGCTTTAACAGCAGAGTCATCAATGATGTCATTTGATTTGAGGTCATGGTAACAATGACGTCACAATGTAGATATATTCATTACCCACGTGGTGAAGATACAGGTGGTAAGATACTAAATCCGTACGTCACACGTGGAATACTACACTCATTCTCGTTAGATACCATAGAAAGTTCACGAGTTACGCAAAAATGGTATCTAACGAGAATGAGTGTGGTATTTTATTTATTACCCGCGTTTAATATGCATGTAAGTGTAAATACATAATTGCTTTTGTTCGTTGACAGACCAAACTGAAACCGGTTGCAAAATCTGGTTGCGCATGAATTTTGATATATGCCCAAATATGGGCATTGTTTACATTTCTATGCATACGCATTAACAACATGCGCCTGCAGTTGTATTCGAAAACATAACAGCACCGACGCTCAAGATCCTTTTGGAAGAATTTCTTCAACTTATGAGACTTCAAGCGCCATGTTGTAAGTACGCAGGACAACAGTCGGCCACTCACACTGCCGGGGTCCCGTCTGTGCATTCAAAATGGTTCGGTTTCCTTGATCTATCAGCTGAATTTATATCATGTCCGTACCATTTTGGAAGAGGGAAATCAGAGTGTTCGCCAAAGACATTCATGTTTACTGTACAACCCTTGCCGACGACGTGAAAATCAACACGCTCAAGACGTGAAAATCAACACGCTCAAGTCTGCTTGCATGTCAGTGACAGCTTGGAACGAAGGGCAAGGTCACCACCGGAATAAGAAAAGACAACCGTGATCTACTAAGCGTTTTACAAGAGATAGGGAATGTTATTGTTCACCTTTGGGATATTTTGGGCCACATGATCAGAAGTCAGGCACACTTCTACGGAGTATTCGAATGATTTGTATCGGAAATGTTCTCTTTGAGTGATCTGGTTGTGCAGTCGTGAACAAACAACTCCCGAAACAGTGCCACAAAATACGCTTCGAAGAGGACACTGATGGCACAACCGGATCATTACAAGTAAGTCTAAATATCTGTCAAGATAGTTTTAACTGACTACATTTCACCACGCTTATCCTTTTACGTTAAATCAAATTGGAAATTGCGAAAGTGGTTGGGTGCGTCACGCTCATGTGGACCCTCGGACTATTGAACGGTAGTCGAACATTGTAAATGGATATAGCTCGATTATATAATGTCTGTGGAAGCTCAATGCATAACTTATATAGGATGCAAACCGAATTTGATGCGTGTGACTATCTTGTTTGGTTTAATAAAGTGTTTGTTAATATCTCTCGCTCACATGAGATTGCTTCAGTTCTGCCTTGTAGTTGCAAAATGAATGACGTCTCACGATTTTTCATGAATGAAAAAAAGTAGTCCCGGTGTGACAGAGGTCACGGTTATCCAATCAAAACGAATAAAACAAGGTCAACCTTTTATTACCCACGTGGTATTACCCCGGCAACTTTATGTCACAACTGCCAATTCAACTTTAATACGCAGTAAACAACAAACTTCTGTCCCGACTGCTCTCACGATTTGCAAAGTACTTGCTACACTGTATTGGTGCGCGATTTCGCCGCCAAACTGCTTTACATATTCACCAATGTTTGTTAAAAATTGTTCTTTATGTTTTGTGAACTGCAGTTTCACAACTTTATTAAAGACAAATATAGTGTTCTGTTTATTAATTGAATCTATTAAAAGGAACTGGGTTTAGTAAGGTGGGTGGATGTATAAACAGGAAGTCGCTAGAGGTCGACTGTGTACTCGTATGAACGTAAAACAATGTTGATAGATTGAAGCAATAAGAGGTATCTGTACCATAAGACTTCAAAATAAAAAATATATGTATTGACCTTCACTTGGAAGCTCCGACGTTCATACAGTTTGGCCCTCCCTCTGAAGGCCCATACTCCAATGAACTCAGAAGTTCAAACCTTAAATATAGATGTGACGTCAGACGGTTGGTGCACGATGAATAACGTAATACATTTTATTACCCACGTGGTGAAGATACAAGTGGTAGGATATAAAGAATAATAAACGAGTTCCCGTGTGATACCAATTTTATGAAACGAGTGAATAGTTTCATAAAATTGGTTTTACACGGGAGCGAGTGTAGTATTTTATTAATTACTTGCCATTTATAACGTTTTTAGAGTTATACTGTAGAGTTATACTGTAGAGTGTGAATAGGGCTGACACCCACATAATCCACGGCATAATCCAATTGATTTTAACAGAAAAATACTTCAAACACGTCAAAAGTTGAAACGTATGAATTTAATACCATACAACGGTCCACTTTTAGAATTCAGGTGTCCTTTCCACAAAATTATCGCAGCTCACATACTTTAACATAGACTTGCGTTTATTACTTGGTGAAGTGATCACCCGTTTAATAAACATACTTCTTACACACCTGTGGGTGAGAAACCCATTTGAGATAACTGGTATCAAACATATGTGTGAGATTGAATTCCAGGCCCGTGATTGACCTCAGGTCATCATCATGGAGTAGCCAGATTATGACGGACTACTTTCCTTATAGTAATTCATTGATAAGTTACTCGTGCTTTAGTCGATTGCAGACGTGTTAGTCATGCCAGGCCCCTTGATACCTACCTGTTACCCACTTGTTATTTTCGCGATTGTATGGAAAGCAAGTATTTATGCAATAAAACAAACATAGAATAAATAAAAACATTTATCTATTTTTCTTTTCCTATTCCGTTTATCGTCTGCTATTGTGATTGCTGCCGCTAGGCTTGTAGTCACGACTTCAAAATGGGTTCAACAATCAGTAATATTTGTGTAAACGATTATGTGAAGATCGACGGTAAAGACAAAGGGCGGGTTATATCCATTGTGGCTCCCTTGGGACATACAAGATGTACAACGTTCGCACTTATACTGGAGAGATGCGACAAGTTTCAAGGTATCGGCTTGCCAAATTACCTGACACGGTGACGTCAGTGCCTGTCCACGGTGAGATCGATTTGCCTAGTGATTTGAATGATGAACTGATGAGGGATGACTTTTTCACTCATGAACATGACGATTCTAAAATCAAAGATCCATCCCCTGAGCAACTGTATGATCATTCGGATATTGGCAAATTTTCAAATTCGTTCATGATAATCAGAACCAAAAACACTTCGTAAAACAATGTACAACATGAAACGTCTGCAGGGGTTCATGAGTGCAAATGGCGACACACGCCCTATCGAATTCATCCCACCAGCAGAACTTTGTGACATTTTATGTACATTTTTTATCAATCTCAGGAAGGAAGATGGTAGCAATTACGAACCATCTACAGTTCGCGGAATGTTGTCAAGTTTTGACAGACATCTTACGTCACAGCGCTACCGTTCATCGCTGATTAATGATCGCGTATTCGACAAGCTGAACACTGTCATCAAAACAAAACAAAAAGATCTAAAGAGTGAAGGTATGGGTAACTTACCTCGCCTTGCTGTATCCCTCACTGACGATCATATTAACAAACTCTATTAAACAAACCAACTTGGTCCTCACGACCCTGAATCCATTTTAAACACCATGTGTGGGACAACACAGCTCATTTTGGGATCCGTAGTGTCAAACCCCACACTGGCGTGAAATGGGGCGATGTTGCACTTAAAACTGACTCCGAGGTAGGGAATTTCTTGAAATCACAGAGGCAGTCTAAAACATGTCAAGGGGATAATCCTTTGCCTTTCCGAAACATCCACCCCAAAGCTTGGGCGATAAATGATGAGCGTTGCCCGGTTTTCATCTAGAAGCTGTGAGTGAATACGCCGCTTTTAGCAATATTCCAGCAATATCACGGCGGGGGACACCAGAAATGGGCTTCACACAATGTACCCATGTCGGGAATCGAACCCGGGTCTTCGGCGTGACGAGTGAACGCTTTAACCACTAGGTTACCCGACCGCCCCTACTACAAGCTGTACTCAAGCTTGCGTCCTGCAGGGTACACCGGTCCAGACACACCTTTCTATATAGCTACCAATACCAAGGAAGCATCGAGCAAATTCCCCTGGTTTTAGCGGCAGCCAGTTGGTGTAAATAAACTCAGTTCTATCATGAGACGAATGTCCCAAAATGCCGGCTTCCAAAACAGGAAACTCGCTAACCATTCAGCAAGAAAAATCCTTGTCCAAAAACTGTCTGATGAAAATATTCCTCCCTAGCATATTATGCAAATTTCCGATCATCGTAACATGCAGAGTGTCAACAACTACAGTCACATTTCATCCTCATAACACCGAAACCTTAGTAACATCTTTAGCGGAGGTGTCGGCAAGCACATGCCATAACGATAATGCAAACTAGAAGAATCTACGTCTCGCAAGTGAAACAAATTTAAAAGTGTGACATACTAATGACGTCACACTTTTAAATTTGTTTCACTTGCGAGACGTAGATTCTTCTACATCTGCGTTACAACTTCATGGTTTTATAAATATTCTTTGATGTTATCTATTTTGCATTATCGTTATGGCATGGGTTATGCACAGATATGGCTGAAACCTTTTTGGTGGAGGGTCACACTAGGTATGAGCTGTAAACAGTAGGCCGAGTGACGTCACTCATTCATAAACGTTGTGTGATATGTTAATGCGCCGCTGAGACGAGAATAGACGAAATATGCATCGATTCGATCCTAAATTGTTGCTATTTTAGGGTATGTAAAAACCAGTTTACTACACGAGTGTCTGTTAGATACCATTTATCTTACAACTCGTTGTTTAAAAACATATCTAACTCGCTTTCACTCGTAAGATACGTTTTGAAACAACTCATTGTAAGATAAATGGTATCTGACAGACACTCGTGTAGTAATCTCTGTAGTTGTATTACACATTGTGTAATAATTAAAGTTTCCTTGTGTTCATTGATATTCCTGCATTCTGATTAGCTGAATTGGTCACGTGTTATTGCATTCATTTCCCAATGTAAACAATTAAGTCGCGCCCACCGAAGCGGACTACTTTTATAACTACGGAATGTCGGGGAATCTTAATATTACATGCGAGGGAATTCCCTTTCTGCTCACGTGTATCGCCATGCACTGGGCATTTAGCGAAATTCATGCATATTCCTTGTCCAAACAACCCTTAGAGACTTTATAAATGGCAAGTAATAAATAAATTATTAAACTCGCTTTCGCTCGTGAGATACCAGAACTATTCACTCGTTTCATAAAATTGGTGTTACACGGGAGCTCGTTTAGTATTCTATGCAAATCCGCACGTCACAAGTGTGTCGTACAAGGTTGACCTTGTTTTATTCGTTTTGATTGGATAACCGTGACCTCTGTCACAGCGGGACTACTTTTTTCATTCATAACAAAAATCATGAGACGTCATTCATTTTGCAACTACAAGGTAGAACTGAAGCAATCTCATGAGAGCGAGAGATATTTACAAACACTTTATTTAACCAAGCAAGATAGTCACACGCATCAAATTCGGTTTGCACGCTATATAGGTTATGCATAGAGCTTCTACAGACACTATATAATCGAGCTATATCCATTTACAATGTACGACTACCGATCAATAGATTGAGGGTCCCCATGTGCGTGACGCACCCGACCACTTTCGTAACTTTCAATTTGATTTAACGTAAATGGATAAGCGTGGTGAAATGAAGTCGGTTTAAACTATCTGAAGTTACTTGGGATGATCCGGTTGTGCCATCAGTGTCCCCTTCGAAACGTATTTTGTGGCACCGTTTCGGGAGTTGTTTGTTCACGACTGCACTACCAGATCAATCAAAGTGAACATTTCCGATACAAAAGATGTCAAAAGATGGTACTTGTTGTTACCCTGTCTGGCGCTCGGCATAAAGGGGCGAAAACAAGGACTGGTCGGCTCGGAGTCAGTATACTGTGTCTGAGTGGGGTATTCATGTTAAACTGCGGCATGGTATCTCAGTAGGCTAGCACTATAAATCGGTCCGGACAAGTACAAGCACACACACACACACACACACACACACACACACACACATGCACGTCGCTATATAAGTGCAATAATCGTGGACGCGACGTTAACCCTCTGGATGCCGAGGGTATTTTTCTGACGCACATTTTCCTAAGATCGGAAAAGTGAAGGTTGTGCGAGAATTGCCCTTGCGCGGCACTGGATCTACCTCTGGCTATAAAATTACGCAGACGTGGGGAATATTAAATTTCCTATTTGATGGTGTTAATTTAACTGCAAATATTAAACCGGTTTTAAAACCTCTAATTGTCCGAGAATTTATTCTGCGTTGAAAAACAATAAATTTCTCCGCTTTTTATCGTACACCGATAAAAGTACTGTGCGACGATTGTTTTTATTTAGAAGCTTTACGGAAACTGTGAGCGAACAAAATACTGCCTTATATCTGAACGATATAACTATTTATCTAATGGAGATTTATGCGTATGTATAACGACACACATTCAATGCCAAAACTAGCATGCCGTAAATGACGAAAACTGATTTTTCTCTATGACGTCAAAGGGCGACAGAGAGGTTACACACGTACAAAGAAAAGGGGGCATAACTCCGCTATGCTTAGCACTAGTTTGTTGTAACACAGGTCACTTGGTGAGAATTAGCTGTGGGTAAGGATATATTTTCGTGTTGTTTTTTTCACGAAACTATTCCAACACAAATGTCGATATTGAAACTATACGTTTAGTTATAAAAAAAACCCCATAAGAAATGATGAAATCGTACTTCATAAAAAGAGGTAATAGAGAAATGGATGGCCCTATCTAACCTATAACTTAGTCCTTAGATTCCAACATTCTCCTGATTGAGTAAGTGTAATTTGACTACTGTTGCATCATTATTAATAAAGTACTAGCCTCATCATCAAATGTAATGCAATAGCCCCAAAATAACAACACTGCTTTTGACGTCATGGCTGTTTTTTCTGTCTTTGATAACGTCGGAGAAAGACGACACTGGTGTTTTGATTAATATATATCTCCCCTAATTTTCGTTCATGGTATGGAAAATCTCGATTTTCAAAACGGAATTTGACGCTTTTTCGACACAACATAAAATGACTGCTTTCACCAAGTAAATAATGTCTTGAATATGTAAATAATTGGATAGTTTATCGTGTATCTTAATTAGACAAGACACGCACCTGTTTGGCATCAATGTACGTAATGAAATACCCAAAATAATATTTCAAAACAACCAAAATTATATTAAATATTGGACATATATTTGATTATTATTGTGTTATTATTTCTCTTAATCTCGTCTCAGAATTACACAATGAAAGATGCGAAGAAAGCTCTATTGGTATAGAATTATCAGGATAATTGTATAAGGTTGAACCAACGGGGTACCTGGCATGGATTATATTTTTATACATTTTACAATTCCTGGAGAAATAAAGTAAACAGTTTAATATCCTGTAAACACAATTTTGAAAAAGGAGAAGAATGAACCCTTTTATTATATAATGCAAAACGAGAGGAATAATTCGTAAATTTCACCTCACCTCACCTCGACGTGCAGATATTATATGACGCTTCTTTAACTATTTAGCGCACTGGGGAAGGGACGTTACTCTAGGTTTTCGAGGGATTGTTTATATTCTCATGATGGCGAACAGGGTGATTGGGCGAGTACCTGTTGCAAGATTGCACGGACGGCGCACCGAGTACAAGAAAGTGCATCAACTACAAGTAATGAGGTGCACTACTGATACTTTTTATGATGTTCTATTCACATTTGCTGTCTATTTGTTGCAAAGTTGCTGCAAGTGTTTCGCTTTGACGTGTGTGACTGTGAATAGTGAGTGAGAAACTGACCGATTTACAAGCGGTAGCGCTGGCAGGCTGAGCGTGACCCGTTTTATCTAAATAACTGTAACGCTGTATCGGCTGATCGGACCCCAAATGATGCATCTTGACAACAGTATCCCTTTACAACAGTAAAGTTACACTGCCAATGAGTTAACAGATATAAGTAGCACTAATATATAGAAAACATCGGCCACACTCCACCCACATGCACCAAAACTGGAATTTATATTTTTTAGGTAGATCTAAATTTTTTGTGTTTCTTGTGGCAAGCAGGGGAGCTCTATAACTCACTGAACTTGCTGTGGTTGCAAGATAAGCTGATATGATTTTCGTCAGAATATTTCATATTTGTATCAACTTGAACTAAAAGTTGCACAACATAGTAACACAGTATTGCTGTAGATGTATAGTCACTAAGGTTGATATTTTTAGATGTACTTGCCAGCGTTGTTGGTGTAGATGTAGTTGCTAACATTATTGTTGTAGATGTAGCCACAAAGGTTGCTGTTGTATGTGTAACAAATGTTTCACTTTCTTAGTAAAGTACAGATTATCATACTTTTTGGGGTTGAGTCCCATCCGGGATTTTAGCCCACACTGCCAGAGTGAGGCACCTTATCACTAGCACACAAAATCAGCAATCTAACCCACTCAGCCACCGAGGCTTCCACAACAATGAAAGTCCGACAACTGGTAGTCTAGATCATGTACTTTGTGTACCCCTCTGACAAGTGTAACTTGGCACGGCTCCCATGGCCGCAGACCCGTGAAGATTCCAGGGTAGAATAGGTCTTCAGCAACCCATACTTGCCGTAAAAGGTGACTATGCTTGTCGTAAAAGGCGACTAACGGGATCGGGTGGTCAGGCTCGCTGACTTGGTTGATGCATGTCATCAATCCCAATTGCGTGGATCGATGCTCATGATATTAATCACTGGATTTTCTGGTCCAGACTCGATTATTTACAGAGCGCCGTCATATAGCTGGAATATTGCTGAGTGCAGCGTTAAACAACAAACCAACCAACCAACCGAAAGCCATGAACACAAATTGACATTTAGAAAGTGGTCAAATGTAACAAATGTTATCCTTAGTGAAGTACAGATTAGTCACTGATAGTCACTGATGTTGCTCTTGTAGATGTGGACACAATATGTTGCTGTTGTAGATGTAGTCACACAGCGTTGGAGAAGTTGACGTTTAGTTACGCCCATGGAGCCAGCTCTACCCCTTTGTTTGGCGAGACTATTGGCAAGAGGCTCCAGCACCAGGCGGAGATCAACCCTGACAACGAGGCCATCGTCTTCTCTCGTGACAATGTCAGGCGGACAATCTCACAGCTGCTGGACCAGGTACACATCAAGATTCCTCGAGAGGACTATGGTTTCTGTCTGTCCAGTCTAGGTCTAAACATTGTACTTAGTGAACCTGAAACATTATCTCTGCGTTTTTGTTTGTTTGTTTGTTGTTTAACGCCGCACTCAGCAATATTACAGCTATATGACGGCGGTCTGAAAATATTCGAGTCTGGACCAGACAATCCAGTGATTGATGTCATGAGCATTGATCCACGCGTTTGGGATACGATGACATGCATCAACCATGTCAGTGAGCCTGACTACCCGATCCCGTTAGTCGCCCCTTACGACAAGCATAGTCTCCTTGTCTCTGTGTATTCAGGATAGATACATTATGTGTTATTGTCCAGTGACGTGTTTGTATGATCTGGGCTAATATATGACCCACTTTGTTATAGGGTAAATCGTGGTTATATCTGTGTAATCAGGATAGAATATACATGATGTATTATTGTCCAATGACGTGTTTGTATGATCTGGGCTAATATATGACTCACTTTGTTATAGGGTAAATCGTGGTTATAAATGTCAGCATCCTGTGAAGATGATGCCAGTGATAACTTGATGCTGTGTGTGTTCCAGGCGGACCAGCTCGCGGCCGGCTTGCTGCAGCTCGGGGTGGGACGAGGGGAGAGGGTCGGTATATGGGGGCCCAACTCCCTCGAGTGGGTTCTCACTCAGTACGCCACAGCCAGAGCAGGAATCATACTGGTAGGTCCTGATGTTTGCTAGCTCTGTTCTTCAGCCTGGGTATCTTGTAGTGACCTGGGCTGGAGTAGATCACCAGCACCAAGACAGTGTGGGGTGTTCATACTATCAACCACTGCTTTGTTAAGCCCAGGCTTGAATATTTACAGGCCCGGTTGAAATAACTTGTTTATTTACAGGCCCGGTTGATATGACTTGTATATTTACAGGCCCGGTTGATATGACTTGTATACCCGGTATTTACCATCCTGGTTGATATAACTTGTATATTTACAGGCCCGGTTGATGTGATGAATATTTACAGGCCTGGTTGAAATAACTTGAATATTTACAGGCCTGGTTGATATGAATAGTATATTTACAGGCCCGGTTGATGTAGCTTAAATATTTACAAGCCCAGTTGATATAACTTGAATATTTACAGGCCTGGTGGATATTACTTAAATATTTACAGGCCCGGTTGATGTAGCTTAAATATTTACAAGCCCAGTTGATATAACTTGAATATTTACAGGCCTGGTGGATATTACTTAAATATTTACAGGCTGGGTTGATGTAGCTTAAATATTTACAAGCCCAGTTGATGTAACTTGAATATTTACAGGCCTGGTGGATATTACTTAAATATTTACAGGCCGATTGATGTAGCTTAAATATTTACAAGCCCAGTTGATATAACTTGAATATTTACAGGCCTGGTGGATATTACTTAAATATTTACAGGCCCGGTTGATGTAGCTTAAATATTTACAAGCCCAGTTGATATAACTTGAATATTTACAGGCCTGGTGGATATTACTTAAATATTCACAGGCCCGGTTGATGTAGCTTAAATATTTACAAGCCCAGTTGATATAACTTGAATATTAACAGGCCTGGTGGATATTACTTAAATATTTACAGGCCCGGTTGATGTAGCTTAAATATTTACAAGCCCAGTTGATATAACTTGAATATTTACAGGCCTGGTGGATATTACTTAAATATTTACAGGCCCGATTGATGTAGCTTAAATATTTACAAGCCCAGTTGATATAACTTGAATATTTACAGGCCTGGTGGATATTACTTAAATATTTACAGGCCCGGTTGATGTAGCTTAAATATTTACAAGCCCAGTTGATATAACTTGAATATTTACAGGCCTGGTGGATATTACTTAAATATTCACAGGCCCGGTTGATGTAGCTTAAATATTTACAAGCCCAGTTGATATAACTTGAATATTAACAGGCCTGGTGGATATTACTTAAATATTTACAGGCCCGGTTGATGTAGCTTAAATATTTACAAGCCCAGTTGATATAACTTGAATATTTACAGGCCTGGTGGATATTACTTAAATATTTACAGGCCCGGTTGATGTAGCTTAAATATTTACAAGCCCAGTTGATATAACTTGAATATTTACAGGCCTGGTGGATATTACTTAAATATTTACAGGCCCGGTTGATGTAGCTTAAATATTTACAAGCCCAGTTGATATAACTTGAATATTTACAGGCCTGGTGGATATTACTTAAATATTTACAGGCCCGGTTGTTGTAGCTTAAATATTTACAAGCCCAGTTGATATAACTTGAATATTTACAGGCCTGGTGGATATTACTTAAATATTTACAGGCCCGGTGGATATTACTTAAATATTTACAGGCTGGGTTGATATGACTTATATATGTACAGGCCTGTTTGATATGACTTGAATTCATTCAGTAACCATAGTTACTTGTGTGCACACTGTTATGTCACTCAGTTACCATGGTAACAGTGAAGTAAATATGTCATTGAGTGAACCTTGTGTTATATCACTTAGTAACCATGGCAACTGTGCTTCAGGTGAACATTAACCCCCAGTACAAGGAGCAGGAGCTGGAGTACGCCCTGAACAAGGTGAGAGAATACCTCATACCTGAATCTACTTGACCTACATCTGCACCTTTTGTCTCAGCCTAGCAGTTAGCAGCCTAGTCACCTAAGGCGCCACAATTTGCTGTGCAGAGTTGCACCCGCAGGTTCATTATGGGTTCAGACACAAGGCTTCCCATGATTTTGTTGCTTGGTTGGTCAGCACCATGCCCTCCCTAGTAGGTCTCAACAAAGTGATAAACACCCATGACCTGTTCCTCTTCAAGTTTTCCTCCCACAATTTGCTGACACGTTATATAACTCCAATATTGCTTAGTGGCATAAAACACAGCTCACACGAGAGGTTATCTAACAGGTTATTGCTGAATCCATTTAACCTACATCTGCAGTTTACGTCTTTTTCGTCTGAGATCGCACACCTGCATTTCCAGCCTTTCAATAAATAAAAAAAGTGTATTATGGAGAAGCGGTTTGTTCACCTTGTGTTATAATTTGTCAGGGTTATGTGGTGTATGGTCACTGTATTACCTGTGATGCTGCTTCCCCAGGTGGGATGTAAGGCTCTGATAGCGGCCCCAGGCTTCAAAGATGTCGACTACTATCAACTGTTATTCAAGATCATCCCCGAATTGGCCACAGCTCCCCCTGGAGATATCCACAGTCACATGTAAGTACAGCTCCCCCTGGAGACAGTCACAGTCACACGTAAGTACAGCACCCCTGGAGACAGTCACAGTCACATGTAAGTACAGCACCCCCTGGAGATATCCACAGTCACATGTAAGTACAGCTCCCCCTGGAGACAGTCACAGTCACATGTAAGTACAGCTCCCCCTGGAGACAGTCACAGTCACATGTAAGTACAGCTCCCCCTGGAGATATCCACAGTCACATGTAAGTACAGCTCCCCCTGGAGACAAGATACAGTCACATGTAAGTACAGCTCCCCCTGGAGACAGTCACAGTCACATGTAAGTACAGCTCCCCCTGGAGACAGTCACATGTAAGTACAGCTCCCCCTGGAGACAGTCACATGTAAGTACAGCTCCCCCTGGAGATATCCACAGTCACATGTAAGTACAGCTCCCCCTGGAGACAGTCACAGTCACATGTAAGTACAGCTCCCCCTGGAGACAGTCACAGTCACATGTAAGTACAGCTCCCCCTGGAGACAGTCACAGTCACATGAAAGTACAGCTCCCCCTGGAGACAGTCACATGTAAGTACAGCTCCCCCTGGAGAAATCCACAGTCACATGTAAGTACAGCTCCCCCTGGAGATATCCACAGTCACATGGAAGTACAGCTCCCCCTGGAGACAGTCACAGTCACATGTAAGTACAGCTCCCCCTGGAGACAGTCACAGTCACATGTAAGTACAGCTCCCCCTGGAGATATCCACAGTCACATGTAAGTACAGCTCCCCCTGGAGACAAGATACAGTCACATGTAAGTACAGCTCCCCCTGGAGACAGTCACATGTAAGTACAGCTCTCCCTGGAGATATCCACAGTCACATGTAAGTACAGCTCCCCCTGGAGATATCCACAGTCACATGTAAGTACAGCTCCCCCTGGAGACAGTCACATGTAAGTACAGCTCCCCCTGGAGACAGTCACAGTCACATGTAAGTACAGCTCCCCCTGGAGACAGTCACAGTCACATGTAAGTACAGCTCCCCCTGGAGACAGTCACAGTCACATGTAAGTACACCTCACCCTGGAGACAGTCACAGTCACATGTAAGTACAGCTCCCCCTGGAGACAGTCACAGTCACATGTAAGTACAGCTCCCCCTGGAGACAGTCACAGTCACATGTAAGTACACCTCCCCCTGGAGACAGTCACAGTCACATGTAAGTACACCTCACCCTACAGCTCCCCCTGGAGACAGTCACAGTCACATGTAAGTACAGCAGAGATGAACAAATCTCTTGGCACAGTGGGTAGAGGTGTCATCAGCCATGATGTAGACCCGGTTCTACTCGCTCGTCACGCCGAAGACCCGGGTTCGATTCCCGACATGGGTACAATATGTGAAGCCCATTTCTGGTGTCCCCTGCCGTGATATTGCTGGAATGTTGCAAAAAGCGGCGTAAAACCATACTCACTCACTCACTCACCCAACCATGCCTTTATTACATTCTTAATTGCAGCATTTGCTTATTCTCAGGATCAGCTTCATATCCACGTCTGCTTGCCTTACGATGAAACTTGATAAACGTGACTTAAGATATGTCGTCCTTAATATGGGTAGCGGTGATTGTCAGGGGCAGTCATGTGTCTTTGTATCTCAAGGAGATCACATCATTCCTCATGCTTCAGTCACTGGATTGTCTGGTTCACCGTCATACAGCTGGAAAGCTATGACTCACCCACTCACTCACTCACTCACTCACTCACTCCTCACTCACTCACTCACTCCTCACTCACTCCTCACTCACTCACTCACTCACTCTTGTTATAGTTATAGTTTCATTAAATATGAATTTCTGTTGACAGCCTCCCACAGTTCAAGATGCTCATCATGATTGGGGACCACCAGTACAGGTACAGTGTTGTGCTGTGTTGTGTTCAAGGCCCCATGTACCAGTACATGTACAGTGTTGTGTTGTGTTCAAGGCCCCATGTACCAGTACAGGTACAGTGTTGTGTTGTGTTCAAGGCCCCATGTACCAGTACATGTACAGTGTTGTGTTGTGTTCAAGGCCCCATATACCAGTACAGTGTTGTGTTGTGTTCAAGGCCCCATGTACCAGTACAGGTACAGTGTTGTGTTGTGGTAAGGGCCCCATGTACCAGTACAGGTACAGTGTTGTGTTGTGTTCAAGGCCCCATGCACCAGTACAGGGTTGTGTTGTGTTGTGTTCAAGGCCCCATGTACCAGTACAGGTACAGTGTTGTGTTGTTGTTAGGACCCCATGTACCAGTAAAGGTACAGTGTTGTGTTGTGTTCAAGGCCTCATGTACCAGTACAGGTACAGTGTTGTGTTGTGTTCAAGGCCCCATGTACCAGTACAGGTACAGTGTTGTGTTGTGTTGTGTTCGAGGCCCCATGTACCAGTACAGGTACAGTGTTGTGTTGTGTTGTGTTCGAGGCCCCATGTACCAGTACAGGTACAGTGTTGTGTTGTGTTCAAGGCCCCATGTACTAGTACAGGTAGAGTTGTGGTTAAGGCCCAATGTACAGGTACAGTGTTGTGTTGTGTTGTGTTCAAGGCCCCATATACCAGTACAGTGTTGTGTTGTGTTCAAGGCCCCATGTACTAGTACAGGTACAGTGTTGTGTTGTGGTTAAGGCCCCATGTACCAGTACAGGTACAGTGTTGTGTTGTGGTCAAGGCCCCATGTACTAGTACAGGTACAGTGTTGTGTTGTGGTCAAGGCCTCATGTACTAGTACAGGTACAGTGTTGTGTTGTGGTTAAGGCCGCACGCACTAGTACAGGTACAGTGTTGTGTTGTGGTTAAGGCCGCACGCACTAGTACAGGTACAGTGTTGTGGTGTGGTTAAGGCCCCATGTACTAGTACAGTACATAGTAAAGTCCAGTTTCTATCCTTGCCAAACTAGGCTCGAATTAGTTTTTGACTGGACAAACAAGTCTATGCATAGTCCAATTAAAAATGCGTAATGAAATCGATCCCTGGTTCTGCAGATTTCGGTCAATTGCAGGATTTGCAAAGCATGTGTACCGCCAATTTAACATCAACAGATATTTTCCAAATCTTTTCATGTTCATGGTCAATAGGAGGGACATAGAAGGTGCTACGATCGATCCCATTAATTCCAGCCAAGTTCAGCAAGGGTGGAAACTGGACTTTTAAGGTCAATTAACCCCTTTGCCTCGGGAAGATAACCACTTGCCCACCCACTAAGTCAGCAGTGACCTCCAACTCTCACATGTAGTCATAAGATGACAACCGGATCCCATACCTACGACCAACTCCATCCGAACACACTCTTTGTTTCAGAGGGGCGCTCAAATTCTCTGATGTGATGGAAGCAGGAACTAGCAAGGACAGAGCAGCCATCTTGGATTTGCAGAGGCGTCTGCAGTTTGATGATCCAATCAACATTCAGTTTACATCAGTGAGTGTCTGATTGGTTACTTTCTCTCCTCTCTGCTGATGAATGGATGCAAGTTGCTGCCTTTGTCTCTGTATTATCATTATGCTGTAAACTACGGTTACAACAAACTCAAAAGGACCACTAATTTTAATTCATTATAACCGTAGTTAGTTATAAGCATACCGTATTCGACGTAATAAGCGCCCCGCTCTAATAAGTGCCCACGGCGGTATTTGCTAATATATTGGCTAGTGAACAATCCTAATTAGCACCCCTTCCGATTGATCAATGTTCACAAGACTTATTTATTCGCGTGTTATATGCACCCTTAATTATGGGCTATTAAATTCTAGAAAAATATATCTGTCGTACATAAACATTTCAGGCTGTCAGCATAAACCACAAAATTTATCTTTCAATTCTGTTTTTTTTTACCAAAATAATATTCTAATAAGAGCCCCCTATTTTTAATTTCGAGAGCGCCCTGGGCGCTTATTACGTCGAATACGGTATGTACAACACAGATAGAGCAAATGGGTGGGACCACACGTCTGTTTGTTATAAACATGTTCGTCATAAATGTAGTCTGTTGCACATGGTATCTGCTCAAATGTTCTGTTTTTGTTCCCCGACCAGTGGATTCATATGCTTTCCAGTTATCATTCTCAACTCCCTGGGGAGTATACAACCATGGCTGCCTACATGGTTTTTACATCCACTTCACATATTTGGTACCCATTCCCTGCTGGGTGAACACAGGCACATTTGAACTAAGTCACTTGCCCAGGGTGACACCAGACGTTTTTGCCTCCTGTGTTGACATTGCTGCTCTGTCTCCAGGGGACGACGGGGTTTCCCAAGGGCGCCACTCTGTCCCACCACAACATCCTGAACAACAGCTACATGGTCGGCCAGAGACTTGGCTACCACCAGAGGGTGAGTACTGCTTCGTGGGACATTCACAACAGTCTTCATTCTCAACATTAACTTTAACCCAAGTAGCCCTTGCTGGACTCCCTGTGGGGAGTCTGAGGCAGAATAGGTCCCAAGTACCCCTTGCTGGTCTCCCTGTGGAGATTCCAGGTCAGAATAGGTCCCCAGTACCCCTTGCTGGTCTCCCTGTGGGGAGTCTGAAGCAGAATAGGTCCCCAGTACCCTTTGCTGGTCTCCCTGTTGAGATTCCAGGTCAGAATAGGTCCCGTGTACCCCTTGCTGGACTCCCTGTTGGGAGTCTGAGGCAGAATAGGTCCCCAGTACCCCTTGCTTGTCTCCCTGTGGAGATTCCAGGTCAGAATAGGTCCCCAGTACCCCTTGCTGGACTCCCTGTTGGGAGTCTGAGGCAGAATAGGTCCCCAGTACCCCTTGCTTGTCTCCCTGTGTGGTGTCTGAGGCAGAATAGGTCCCCAGTACCCCTTGCTGGCCTCCCTGTTGGGAGTCTGAGGCAGAATAGGTCCCCAGTACCCCTTGCTGGTCTCCCTGTTGGGAGTCTGAGGCAGAATAGGTCCCCAGTACCCCTTGCTGGTCTCCCTGTTGGGAGTCAGAGCCAGAATAGGTCCCAAGTACCCCTTGCTGGACTCCCTGTGGGGAGTCAGAGCCAGAATAGGTCCCCAGTACCCCTTGCTGGTCTCCCTGTGGAGATTCCAGATCAGAATAGGTCCCCAGTACCCCTTGCTGGACTCCCTGTGGGGAGTCTGAGGCAGAATAGGTCCCCAGTACCCCTTGCTGGACTCCCTTTGGAGAGTCTGAGGCAGAATAGGTCCCTTGTACCCCTTGCTGGACTCCCTGTGGAGATTCCAGATCAGAATAGGTCCCCAGTACCCCTTGCTGGACTCCCTGTGGAGATTCCAGATCAGAATAGGTCCCCAGTACCCCTTGCTGGACTCCCTGTTGAGATTCCAGGTCAGAATAGGTCCCCAGTACCCCTTGCTGGACTCCCTGTTGGGAGTCTGAGGCAGAATAGGTCCCCAGTACCCCTTGCTTGTCTCCCTGTGTGGTGTCTGAGGCAGAATAGGTCCCCAGTACCCCTTGCTGGTCTCCCTGTGGAGATTCCAGGTCAGAATATGTCCCCAGTACCCCTTGCTGGACTCCGTGTTGGGAGTCTGAGGCAGAATAGGTCCCCAGTACACCTTGCTTGTCTCCCTGTGTGGTGTCTGAGGCAGAATAGGTCCCCAGTACCCCTAGCTGGTCTCCCTGTGGGGAGTCTGAGGCAGAATAGGTCCCCAGTACCCCTTGCTGGACTCCCTGTGTGGTGTCTGAGGCAGAATAGGTCCCCAGTCTATGAGTGTCTGTCCTGTTCAGATTCTGTGCTATGATCAGAGTGAGATTTCAGTCTGGGTTTGACTCCAGGAGACCCGTGTCTGTATGCCGGTGCCACTGTACCACTGTTTCGGGATGGTGTTGGGCTGCCTCCAGATCCCCTCCCATGGGGCGTGCTGCGTCTTCCCATCTCCCAGCTTTGACCCCGAGGCCACACTACAGGCCGTGGAGCAGGAGAGGTGAGTGCAGGTTCACACTTCATTGTTCTCAGCCACCCTCAACAGATCTTCCCAAGGCAACAGTGTTCATTAGCCCCTATCAAAGTCTTGTTCTCACCCTTGCCCTTTCAAGCCTTCTATTTTGGCTTGATCGCGGTGCAGTCCCAAAGTAGAGCACCAGTTATGCCTCTTGTGATGAAATTATGATATCCAATCAGGTGGCTGTTCTTATTTCGATTGCCTTCACAAACATGGTGACTACCATAGAAGGTGACCTGGTCGATGAGAAAATGAAACAGATTTGCGATTTCATCCCTGACAGACAAACAAATAAATAAATATACTTACCGTATTCGACGTAATAAGCGCCGAGGGCACTCTCAAAATTAGAAATAGGGGGCTCTTATTAGAGTATAAGTTTGGTGAGAAAAAAAAGAGAGTTGAAAGATCGTAAATTTCGTGGTTTATGCTTACAGACTGAAATGATACAGAAGAAAAGTCTGTGCGTATAATACACGACAGATATATTTTCCAGAATTTAATTGCCCATAATTAAGGGTGCACATAACACACGAGTGTGTATTATACACGAATAAATAAGTCTTGTGTACAACGATCAATTGGAAGGGATGTTAATTGGGATTGTTCACTGGCCAATATTTAAGCAAATATCGTCATGGACGCTTATTAGGACGGGGCACTTATTACGTCGAATACGGTATCGCTGCTGCATTTTGCTCTTACAATAATAGAGGCTCACTGATTCCCATTAGGAAGTAACATCGCAGTAACATGAAAAGTTCATGGGTTGTCAAAAAATGGAACTGCGTCTCAGTCTCTGCACTAAGTTGTTCAGTTGATTAAAAATTTGGGAAGACTTTTAATGTATTTGTCTTCACATATTCGTTGGAATAATTTCAGCGCAAATTCAACACACAATGGCCATAGCAGCAGCCATGTTGTCGGAATCTGGATGTTGATTTTGTAGGAAACTCTCTGATTGGACTGTTGATATGTGCGATAGTTATCTCCCGGACATTGAACCTGTCTGTTTTAGGACAGAAGAGTTGGCTTGTAATGGCAAGCAGAGTTTGGCCTAGCCTCTTACAACCAGGGGTCATTATGACTCCCTAGCTACACGATTAGGAGTCTTATGTCTTGAAGGGAGTCATTTTAACAAAATATTAACTGATGACAGTTTTCATAATATATCTATTTTTTTATCTAAAACCTGTAACCTTGTTCCACAAATCCTGCTTTTAGATCACATTTTAGGTATCTATCTATGATATACACAGTTCTTAGTCTAATTAAATCTAGATGTCCCATATTTGTTATTTTCTTTAAGAAATAAATGACACATACAATAAAACATTGAAGGGAAAAAAATTTGTTAAACCATCTTTATGTCACTACTACTTGATAAGAAGAGGGGCGGTCGGGTAGCCTAGTGGTTAAAGCGTTCGCTCGACAGGCCGAAGACCCGGGTTCTACTCCCGACATGGGTACAATGTGTGAAGCCCATTTCTGGTGTCCCCCGCCATGATATTGCTGGAATATTGCTAAAAGCGGCGTAAAACCATACTCACTTACTCACCCCAATAAGAAGAAATATGATGTTATGAAACAATGTCAGCTTGAGATTAAGATGTTAACATGTATATACCGTATTCGACGTAATAAGCGCCCACCTCTAATAAGCGCCCACGGCGATATTTGCGAATATATTGGCTAGTGAACAATCCCAATTAGCACCCCTTCCGGATGATCAATATTCACAAGACTTATTTATTCGCGTATGATACGCACTCGTGTGTTATATGCAACCTTAATTATGGGCAATTAAATTCTGGAAAAATATATCTGTCGTACATGAACACGAAATTTATCTTTCAACTCTGGTTTTTTTCAACCAAAATAATATTTTAATAAGAGCCAGCTATTTCTGATTTTGAGAGCGCCCTGGGCGCTTATTACGTCGAATACGGTAGGAATGTTTACAGCTAAGACTCAAGTGGAATCTCTCCAACATACTTGATAGTGTTGACTGAAATATGGATATATGAAACAGATTTAGTTTCCAACTATGATTTAGAAAACAGGTATATATAATTCCTACTGAATGAAGACAAGTGTTCTAAGTTTTGGATGTCAAGGCAGATTAGACTGCTGTCTTGTTGATGTGGAGCCTGATTGTTTCAGATGCACGTCACTGTACGGAGTGCCGACGATGTTCATCGACATGCTGAACCACCCCAACTTCTCCCGCTACGACTACACCTCCCTCTACACTGGCGTCATGGCCGGGTCGCCCTGTCCTGCTGCTGTCATGACCAAGGTCAACCAACTCATGCACATGCCGGAGGTGACGGTACGATCTCCTTCCATCCATCTCTGTAGTCACCAGCCCTGTGCCTCACACAAGGGAATTCTCTTGTCACCTTGTGAGTGAATGAGTATGGTTTTACACCGCTTTTAGCAGCAATCCAGCAATATCACTGTGCAGGACACCAGAAATGGGCTTCACCCCTTGTGTAAACCATGTGCCTGGTCCACCCCTTGTGTAAACCATGTGCCTGGTCCACTCCTTGTGTAAACCACGTGCCTGGCCCACCCCTTGTATGAACCACGTGCCTGGCCCACCCCTTGTGTAAACCACGTGCCTGGCCCACCCCTTGTGTAAACCACGTGCCTGGTCCACACCTTGTGTAAACCACGTGCCTGGCCCACCCCTTGTGTAAACCATGTGCCTGGTCCACCCCTTGTGTAAACCATGTGCCTGGTCCACCCCTTGTGTAAACCATGTGCCTGGCCCACCCCTTGTGTAAACCACGTGCCTGGCCCACCCCTTGTGTAAGCCACGTGCCTGACCCACCCCTTGTGTAAACCACGTGCCTGGCCCACCCCTTGTGTAAACCACGTGCCTGGTCCACCCCTTGTGTAAACCACGTGCCTGGCCCACCCCTTGTGTAAACCACGTGCCTGGCCCACCCCTTGTGTAAACCACGTGCCTGGCCCACCCCTTGTGTAAACCACGTGCCTGGTCCACCCCTTGTGTAAACCACGTGCCTGGCCCACCCCTTGTGTAAACCACGTGCCTGGCCCACCCCTTGTGTAAACCACGTGCCTGGTCCACCCCTTGTGTAAACCACGTGCCTGGTCCACCCCTTGTATGAACCACGTGCCTGGTCCACCCCTCGTATGAACCACATGCCTGGTCCACCCCTTGTATGAACCACGTGCCTGGTCCACCCCTTGTGTGAACCACGTGCCTGGTCCACCCCTTGTATGAACCACGTGCCTGGTCCACCCCTTGTGTAAACCACGTGCCTGGTCCACCCCTTGTGTGAGCCACGTGCCTGGTCCACCCCTTGTGTAAACCACGTGCCTGGTCCACCCCTTGTGTAAACCACGTGCCTGGTCCACCCCTTGTGTAAACCATGTGCCTGGTCCACCCCTTGTGTAAACCATGTGCCTGGTCCACCCCTTGTGTGAACCACGTGCCTGGTCCACCCCTTGTGTAAACCATGTGCCTGGTCCACCCCTTGTATGAACCACGTGCCTGGTCCACCCCTTGTGTAAACCACGTGCCTGGTCCACCCCTTGTGTAAACCACGTGCCTGGTCCACCCCTTTCGTAAACCATGTGCCTGGTCCACCCCTTGTGTAAACCATGTGCCTGGTCCACCCCTTGTGTAAACCACGTGCCTGGTCCACCCCTTGTGTAAACCATGTGCCTGGTCCACCCCTTGTGTAAACCACGTGCCTGGTCCACCCCTTGTGTAAACCGTGTGCCTGGTCCACCCCTTGTGTAAACCACGTGCCTGGCCCACCCCTTGTGTAAACCACGTGCCTGGCCCACCCCTTGTGTAAACCATGTGCCTGGTCCACCCCTTGTGTAAACCATGTGCCTGGTCCACCCCTTGTATGAACCATGTGCCTGGTCCACCCCTTGTGTAAACCACGTGCCTGGTCCACCCCTTGTGTAAACCATGTGCCTGGTCCACCCCTTGTGTAAACCACGTGCCTGGCCCACCCCTTGTATGAACCATGTGCCTGGTCCACCCCTTGTGTGAACCGTGTGCCTGGTCCACCCCTTGTGTAAACCACGTGCCTGGCCCACCCCTTGTGTAAACCACGTGCCTGGTCCACCCCTTGTGTAAACCATGTGCCTGGCCCATCCCTTGTGTAAACCACGTGCCTGGTCCACCCCTTGTGTGAACCACGTGCCTGGCCCACCCCTTGTGTAAACCACGTGCCTGGCCCACCCCTTGTGTAAACCACGTGCCTGGTCCACCCCTTGTATGAACCATGTGCCTGGTCCACCCCTTGTGTAAACCACGTGCCTGGTCCACCCCTTGTGTAAACCATGTGCCTGGTCCACCCCTTGTGTAAACCACGTGCCTGGTCCACCCCTTGTGTAAACCACGTGCCTGGTCCACCCCTTGTGTAAACCATGTGCCTGGCCCACCCCTTGTGTAAACCACGTGCCTGGTCCACCCCTTGTGTAAACCACGTGCCTGGTCCACCCCTTGTGTAAACCATGTGCCTGACCCACCCCTTGTGTAAACCATGTGCCTGGTCCACCCCTTGTGTAAACCATGTGCCTGGTCCACCCCTTATGTAAACCACGTGCCTGGTCCACCCCTTGTGTAAACCATGTGCCTGGCCCACCCCTTGTGTAAACCACGTGCCTGGTCCACCCCTTGTGTAAACCATGTGCCTGGTCCACCCCTTGTGTAAACCACGTGCCTGGTCCACCCCTTGTGTAAACCGTGTGCCTGGTCCACCCCTTGTGTAAACCACGTGCCTGGTCCACCCCTTGTGTAAACCATGTGCCTGGCCCACCCCTTGTGTAAACCACGTGCCTGGTCCATCCCTTGTGTAAACCATGTGCCTGGCCCACCCCTTGTGTAAACCACATGCCTGGTCCACCCCTTGTGTAAACCACGTGCCTGGCCCACCCCTTTTGTAAACCATGTGCCTGGTCCACCCCTTGTGTAAACCATGTGCCTGGTCCACCCCTTGTATGAACCATGTGCCTGGTCCACCCCTTGTGTAAACCACGTGCCTGGTCCACCCCTTGTGTAAACCATGTGCCTGGTCCACCCCTTGTGTAAACCACGTGCCTGGCCCACCCCTTGTATGAACCATGTGCCTGGTCCACCCCTTGTGTGAACCGTGTGCCTGGTCCACCCCTTGTGTAAACCACGTGCCTGGCCCACCCCTTGTGTAAACCACGTGCCTGGTCCACCCCTTGTGTAAACCATGTGCCTGGCCCATCCCTTGTGTAAACCACGTGCCTGGCCCACCCCTTGTGTAAACCACGTGCCTGGCCCACCCCTTGTGTAAACCACGTGCCTGGTCCACCCCTTGTATGAACCATGTGCCTGGTCCACCCCTTGTGTAAACCACGTGCCTGGTCCACCCCTTGTGTAAACCATGTGCCTGGTCCACCCCTTGTGTAAACCACGTGCCTGGTCCACCCCTTGTGTAAACCACGTGCCTGGTCCACCCCTTGTGTAAACCATGTGCCTGGCCCACCCCTTGTGTAAACCACGTGCCTGGTCCACCCCTTGTGTAAACCACGTGCCTGGTCCACCCCTTGTGTAAACCATGTGCCTGGTCCACCCCTTGTGTGAACCATGTGCCTGGTCCACCCCTTGTGTAAACCATGTGCCTGGTCCACCCCTTGTGTAAACCACATTACTGGCCCACCATGTGCCTGGCCCACCCCTTGTGTAAACCATGTGCCTGGTCCACCCCTTGTGTAAACCACGTGCCTGGTCCACCCCTTGTGTAAACCATGTGCCTGGTCCACCCCTTGTGTGAACCATGTGCCTGGTCCACCCCTTGTGTAAACCATGTGCCTGGTCCACCCCTTGTGTAAACCACATTACTGGCCCACCATGTGCCTGGCCCACCCCTTGTGTAAACCATGTGCCTGGTCCACCCCTTGTGTAAACCATGTGCCTGGCCCACCCCTTGTGTAAACCACGTGCCTGGTCCACCCCTTGTGTAAACCACGTGCCTGGTCCACCCCTTGTGTAAACCATGTGCCTGACCCACCCCTTGTGTAAACCATGTGCCTGGTCCACCCCTTGTGTAAACCATGTGCCTGGTCCACCCCTTATGTAAACCACGTGCCTGGTCCACCCCTTGTGTAAACCATGTGCCTGGCCCACCCCTTGTGTAAACCACGTGCCTGGTCCACCCCTTGTGTGAACCACGTGCCTGGTCCACCCCTTGTGTGAACCACATTACAGGCCCACCATGTGCCTGGCCCACCCCTTGTGTGAACCACGTGCCTGGTCCACCCCTAGTATGAACCACGTGCCTGGTCCACCCCTAGTATGAACCACGTGCAAGGTCCAACCCTTGTATGAACCACGTGCCTGGTCCACCCCTTGTGTGACCCACGTGCCAGGCCCACATCACTGCCAGAACATGTACACAAGGAATATTAGTTGCTGACTGAAATATCATTTTCTAACATCAATTAAATTTTAGACTATATATTTGTTGATGTGCTTCTCCTCAAACATTGAAAGAACTGAATTCTCCTATATTATACAAATTACAGTATTCCCGAAATATCAATACATCATTAAAATATTTGGAAAACTTACCATGCAGACACAAACTGCAGACACAACATCTCCTAACCTGTTTCAAAGCAACAATGGAGAACGTAGTGGAAATAATTATGTAGCATCTGTGAACACTGAACTGAAGCAATGGGGCATCTGTGCAGGTGTGCTATGGCCTGACTGAGACCAGCCCTGTGACCATGCAGAGTTTCCGCCACAGCCCCCAGGAGAAGAGAGTCAGCACTGTCGGCCAGTGTGGGGCACACACAGAGGTATGGACTTCAGAAACCTCTAGTGACGTCATCCTATTGTTCTTAACTCGGCCCTGTTTTCATAGAAAAACGTCTTAGCGGGCACTTTCTACACAATATACCTATGTATATCCCAGGGATATTGGATAGAAAGAACCAGGGTCTTCCAAAGGGTAACGCCTGAAAAGTGGGTTTGATATATTTTGAATGTCCCTAGATGGAGATTTGTTTTGCCACTGAACACAATCTATACAACACACACTACAATCCTAACTGACTCATGCTTGCCGTAAAAAGCGACTATGCTTGTCGTAAGAGGCGACTAACGGGATCAGGTGGTCAGGCTTGCTGACTTGGTTGATGCATGTCATCGCATCCCAATCGATGCTCATGATGTCAATTACTGGATTGTCTGGTCCAGACTCGATTATTTACAGACCACCGTCATATAGCTGGAATATTGCTGATTGCGGCGTTAAACAACAAACAACAACGACAACAACAATGCTAACTCCGCAACATGTGCGGAATGATGTACAATCAAACTCCAAACATTACTGGCACTTCAGTGGGATCGAACTTGCAGCCTTCACACTTGTAGTGAACAACTGCTCTACAAAGGTGCTGATAAATCACAATGCTTTTAGGAATCTCTTTGTCAAGTACTTGACCATCAACAAGTCACAGGTTACAGGTACAGGTACCCCTATACTACTGTGTGTCACAGGTACCCCAATACTACTGTGTGTTATAGGTACCCCTTTAGTACTGTGTGTTACAGGTACCCCTATAGTACTGTGTGTTACAGGTACCCCTATAGTACTGTGTGTTACAGGTACCCCTATACTACTGTGTGTCACAGGTACCCCTATAGTACTGTGTGTGTTACAGGTGCCCCTATACTACTGTGTGTTACAGGTACCCCTATACTATGTTGTGTGTGACAGGTACCCCTATACTACTGTGTGTTACAGGTGCCCCTATACCATTGTGTGTTATAGGTACCCCTTTAGTACTGTGTGTTACAGGTACCCCTATAGTACTGTGTGTTACAGGTACCCCTATAGTACTGTGTGTTACAGGTACCCCTATACTACTGTGTGTCACAGGTACCCCTGTAGTACTCTGTGTGTTACAGTTGCCCCTATACTACTGTGTGTCACAGGTGCCCCTATACTACTGTGTGTTACAGGTACCCCTATACTACTGTGTGTTACAGGTGCCCCTATACTACTGTGTGTTACAGGTGCCCATATACTACTGTGTGTCACAGGTGCCCCTATACTACTGTGTGTTACAGGTACCCCTATACTACTGTGTGTTACAGGTACCCCTATAGTACTGTGTGTTACAGGTACCCCTATACTACTGTGTTACAGGTACCCCTATACTACTGTGTGTTACAGGTACCCCTATACTACTGTGTGTTACAGGTGCCCCTATACTACTGTGTGTTACAGGTACCCCTATAGTACTGTGTGTTACAGGTACCCCTATACTACTGTGTGTTACAGGTGCCCCTATACTACTGTGTGTTACAGGTACCCCTATACTACTGTGTGTTACAGGTGCCCCATACTACTGTGTGTTACAGGTACCCCTATACTACGTTGTGTTTTACAGGTACCCCTATACTACTGTGTGTTACAGGTACCCCTATACTACGTTGTGTGTTGCAGGCCAAGGTTGTGGACGAGGCAGGGGAGGTGGTGCCTATTGGTACCCCAGGGGAGTTATGTACACGGGGATACACGACAATGCTGGGCTACTGGGGGGACGTCGACAAGACGGCCGAGGTCATCAAGCCAGACCGGTGGTTCTTCACAGGGTACATCATATGTCACATTACTGGCAACACAGTTGTTTACGTATGTAGTATGTACATGTATGTACATGCTATTACGGGATAAGATACGTGGTGCATCGTTTCAAAACATTTCTATCTTAAAATTTAGAATGAAGTTATCGGTGGTTCTTTTAAGGTTATTTGACTTTAAATGTCTTTATGATGTATGATGAAGTCAGGGACTGTATGATGAAGGCAGAGACTAGATGATGAAGTCGGACTGTATGATGAAGTCAGGGACTGTATGATGATGTCAGGGACTGTATGATGATGTCAGGGACTGTATGATGATGTCAGGGACTGTATGATGATGTCAGGGACTGTATGATGACGTCAGGGACTGTATTATGATGTCAGGGTCTTTATGGTGATGTCAGGGACTGTATGGTCTTCGTGTTCGCAGGGACATCGCCACGATAGATGAGGAGGGCTACTGTAGAATCGTGGGTCGGACCAAAGACATGATCATCCGGGGTGGGGAGAACATCTACCCAACGGAGATCGAGGAGCAGCTCTACAAACACCCCAAGGTCAAGGACGTGCAGGTGAGATGGACGTCAGTCCAGGTAGATGGAGGCTAGTTGTGTACAAGGTGCAGTGAGATGACGTCAGTCCAGGTAGATGGAGGCTAGTTGTGTACAAGGTGCAGTGAGATGGACATCAGTCCAGGTAGATGTAGGCTAGTTGTGTACAAGGTGCTGTGAGATGACGTCAGTCCAGGTAGATGTAGGCTAGTTGTGTACAAGGTGCTGTGAGATGACGTCAGTCCAGGTAGATGTAGGCTAGTTGTGTACAAGGTGCTGTGAGATGGACGTAAGTCCAGGTAGATGGAGGCTAGTTGTGTACAAGGTGCTGTGAGATTACATTGTTTCCCCACTGCTACATTTTCTCATGCCACTGCTACATTGTGTCATGCCACTGCTACATGGTGTTATCTCACTGCTACATTGTGTCATGCCACTGCTACATGGTGTTATCTCACTGGTACATTGTGTCATGCCACTGGTACATTGTGTCATGCCACTGCTACATGGTGTTATCTCACTGGTACATTGTGTCATGCCACTGCTACATTGTGTCATGCCACTGCTACATGGTGTTATCTCACTGGTACATTGTGTCATGCCACTGCTACATGGTGTTATCTCACTGCTACATTGTGTCATGCCACTGGTACATTGTGTCATGCCACTGCTACATGGTGTTATCTCACTGGTACATGGTGTTATCTCACTGCTACATTGTGTCATGCCACTGCTACATTGTGTCATGCCACTGGTACATTGTGTCATGCCACTGCTACATGGTGTTATCTCACTGCTACATGGTGTTATCTCACTGGTACATTGTGTCATGCCACTGCTACATTGTGTCATGCCACTGCTACATGGTGTTATCTCACTGCTACATTGTGTCATGCCACTGGTACATTGTGTCATGCCACTGCTACATGGTGTTATCTCACTGGTACATGGTGTTATCTCACTGCTACATGGTGTTATCTCACTGGACATTGTGTCATGCCACTGCTACATTGTGTCATGCCACTACTACATGGTGTTATCTCACTGCTACATGGTGTTATCTCACTGCTACATGGTGTTATCTCACTGGTACATTGTGTCATGCCACTGCTACATTGTGTCATGCCACTACTACATGGTGTTATCTCACTGCTACATGGTGTTATCTCACTGCTACATGGTGTTATCTCACTGGTACATTGTGTCATGCCACTGCTACATTGTGTCATGCCACTGCTACATGGTGTTATCTCACTGCTACATGGTGTTATCTCACTGGTACATTGTGTCATGCCACTGCTACATTGTGTCATGCCACTGCTACATGGTGTTATCTCACTGGTACATTGTGTCATGCCACTGCTACATTGTGTCATGCCACTGCTAGATGGTGTTATCTCACTGGTACATGGTGTTATCTCACTGCTACATGGTGGTATCTCACTGGTACATTGTGTCATGCCACTGGTACATTGTGTCATGCCACTGCTACATGGTGTTATCTCACTGCTACATGGTGTTATCTCACTGCTACATGGTGTTATCTCACTGGTACATTGTGTCATGCCACTGCTACATTGTGTCATGCCACTGCTACATGGTGTTATCTCACTGGTCATTGTGTCATGCCACTGCTACATTGTGTCAAGCCACTGCTACATGGTGTTATCTCACTGGTACGTTGTGTCATGCCACTGCTACATGGTGTTATCTCACTGGTACATTGTGTCATGCCACTGCTACATGGTGTTATCTCACTGCTACATTGTGTCATGCCACTGCTACATGGTGTTATCTCACTGGTACATTTTGTCATGCCACTGCTACATTGTGTCATGCCACTGCTACATGGTGTTATCTCACTGGTACATTGTGTCATGCCACTGCTACATTGTGTCATGCCACTGCTACATTGTGTCATGCCACTGCTACATTGTGTCATGCCACTGCTACATTGTGTCATGCCACTGCTACATTGTGTCATGCCACTGCTACATGGTGTTATCTCACTGCTGCATTGTGTCATGCCACTGCTACATTGTGTCATGCCACTGCTACATGGTGTTATCTCACTGGTACATTGTGTCATGCCACTGCTACATTGTGTCATGCCACTCCTACATGGTGTTATCTCACTGGTACATTTTGTCACGCCACTGCTACATTGTGTCATGCCACTGCTACATGGTGTTATCTCACTGGTACATTTTGTCATGCCACTGCTACAAGGTGTTATCTCACTGGTACATTGTGTCATGCCACTGCTACATTGTGTCATGCCACTGCTACATTGTGTCACGCCACTGCTACATTGTGTCATGCCACTGCTACATTGTGTCATGCCACTGCTACATTGTGTCATGCCACTGCTACATGGTGTTATCTCACTGGTACATGGTGTCATGCCACTGGTACATTGTGTCATGCCACTGCTACATTGTGTCATGCCACTGGTACATTGTGTCATGCCACTGCTACATGGTGTGTGCAGGTGATTGGCGTGCCGGATGAGAGGCTGGGGGAGGAGGTGTGTGCATGCGTTCAGCTGCAGGATGGGCAGACTACAACAGAGGCTGAGATAAAGGCATACTGCAAGGAGAGGGTAGGTTCACCATACAGCCACCCCTATCTTGTCATGTCCCCCGCAGTGGGTAGGTTCACCATACAGCCACCCCTATCTTGTCATGTTCCCCGCAGCTACATAACCCATCTATATCTGGCCCACACCTACATAACCCATCTATATCTGGTCCACCCCTACATAACCCATCTATATATGGTCCACCCCTATATAACCCATCTATATCTGGTCCACACCTATATAACCCATCTATATCTGGCCCACACCTACATAACCCTTCTATATCTGGTCCACCCCTATATAACCCATCTATATCTGGTCCACCCCTATATAACCCATCTATATCTGGTCCACACCTATATAACCCATCTATATCTGGTCCACACCTATGTAACCCATCTATATCTGGTCCACCCCTATATAACCCATCTATATCTGGTCCACACCTATATAACCCATCTATATCTGGTCCACACCTATATAACCCATCTATATCTGGCCCACACCTACATAACCCTTCTATATCTGGTCCACCCCTATATAACCCATCTATATCTGGTCCACCCCTACATAACCCATCTATATCTGGTCCACACCTATATAACCCATCTATATCTGGTCCACACCTATGTAACCCATCTATATCTGGTCCACCCCTATATAACCCATCTATATCTGGTCCACACCTATATAACCCATCTATATCTGGTCCACACCTATATAACCCATCTATATCTGGTCCACACCTATATAACCCATCTATATCTGGTCCACACCTATATAACCCATCTATATCTGGTCCACACCTATGTAACCCATCTATATCTGGTCCACCCCTATATAACCCATCTATATCTGGTCCACACCTATATAACCCTTCTATATCTGGTCCACACCTATGTAACCCATCTATATCTGGTCCACCCCTATATAGCCAATCTATATCTGATCCACCCGTATATATCCAACCAATATCTAGTCCACCCCTATATAACCAATCTATATTTGGTCTACCCCTATATAACCCTTCTATATCTAGTCCACCACTATATAACCAATCTATATTTGGTCTACCCCTTTTAAACCCATCTATAACTGGTCCACCATTATATAACCCATCTATATCTGGTCCACCCCTATATAACCAATCTATATTTGGTCTACCCCTCTATATAGCTTCCAGCTATTGTTCCCAGTGTGATACACTAAGAGATTATTGTAAGTTTGTCTGTGTATCTCCTGTGTTTTCCCAGCTGGCTCGCTTCAAAGTGCCGCGCTACATCCAGTTTGTGACAGAGTACCCACTCACTGTAACGGGGAAGGTGATGAAATACAAGATTCGAGAAGATGCAGTGAAGTCCCTCGGACTTGGGGACCTCCACGCTGACTGATGCATCACGGCCTTGTGGCACACTGTGTCCTTCACTGAAGAAAGGGAGAGAGTCCTCTCAACGTCTGTTCACATTGTTTCCCAATCTCAGTAAAATCAGATCTAACTTCTCGCTGCCACTAAACAAAGATCTGAGGACATCCCTCCCATTACGGGTCACGTCAGAACGAACTTTTGCGAACTTTGACCGACCCCTGAAACGACTAACAAGAAGTTAACATCAGCCAATTAAAAAGCAACTTTCACAAGTTTTACAACACTCGTTTCAACCTGGCAACTTCCATTTTGACTACGCTTGAAAAATATGGTGACACAGTTCTCGATTAAAATTTTGAAAACTGAACAAACGAACATTCCGGAGTGTCTAATATATGGTTTGCGATTGTATGGCAGTGCTTCCCAAGTACTGTGCAATGCCTCCTCTGTTCAATCGTAATCCCACAGGAGCAAGAGATAGACGATAATTTTGACGGAATCAGTCGTTCGGAATACCCCGTGTCATGTTTTCGAGATTGCATGATTAGAAAACACATTCCGACTGTAACTTTCATGATCTGGTAAGTGATGCTTTGACTGGTCAGATGAAAGGTCGTTCTGATGTGACCTGTAAAAGGATGTTCTTAGATCTTTGTTTAGCGGCAGTGAGAACTAAGATCTGATTTTAATGAGATTGCATTGTTTCCATGTTGGCTGAGGTGTAGGTAGAGGTTTAAGCTCAGTGGACAATATGCAGTGAGTTCAACAGCTCATTTTACAGTGTGATCTTAGTGCTACAACATTCTTTGACTACCTGTGAAGATCCAGGGTAGAATAGGTCTTCAGCAACCCATGCTTGCTGTAAAAGGCGACTATGCTTGTCGTAAAAGGCGACTAACGAGATCGGGTGGTCAGGCTCGCTGACTTGGTTGATGCATGTCATCGATCCCAATTGCGTGGATCGATGCTCATGATATTAATCACTGGATTGTCTGGTCCAGACTCGATTATGTACAGACCGCCGTCATATAGCTGGAATATTGCTGAGTACGGCGTTAAACAACAAACCAACCAACCAACCCATTCTTTGACATAGACTAACGATAGTCTTAGTGCTAAGATTGCTTTGTGAAACAGCCCCAATCAAGCTGAGACAGTCACAGCTACAGTTGTATTCAACAAGTGACTGTGGGCTGCTGTGGGTGTGGACAGGGACACCAGGGCGGGGACTGACCGACACAGACACCAGGGCGGGGACTGACCGACACAGACACCAGGGCGGGGACTGACTGACACACGTCTGTTCACACCCGTTACTGTAGCTGACCCTGACAACACAGGTCAAGCCAGAACAGAAGCAGAACTGGCTCCTGCTGAAAGCACATTCTTGATTTTCCCACACATGGACTTCCAGTGGTTCTTGAGTCCACACTATTCTCATTAACGGCCGTCAGCTGGACAGAGCTGAGGCAGGTGATGCAGTAAAAGCATGGCTGCTGCTTCCTTCTGTGATGTACTTCAGCACAGTTTGTTGCTGGGCCATAGAGTAGCTCGATGCTACATGGACCCGGGCTATATTCACTGCATCTTCTAAGGTGAGCTTTTCATTTTTTCTGCAGCTCTGGACTAGTTCAAGCAGCCACACATAAACACAGACACCTGCACACACATTGCTACAAGTGCAATAATCTGGACGCGACGTTAAACCCAATCTCACCTCACCTCACCTCACCTCACCTCACCTCACCTCACCTCACCTCACCTCACCTCAGTTAGCCGTTCTTTTTCTCGATGTCTCCTTCTTGATTACCCCTATTTGTTGCATGAGTGAGTTAATATTCCGGTTGTATACTAGCAGCCAATACATGTATACTGGATAGCCAAAGAGCGTCACCATTGTGCCTTTCATTTAACATATTGGCGAAGTTTGGAAAGATTTTACACCGATTTTACTAATGTGTCATACTAGCCTTTCTACAAGTGGCCTTCTCTAGCAGTAATAAACTCTCAGGAACGTCTCAGCAGGTTTTGGGGTTGTTATTACAAGGGGAGTAGGATTTCGGGAAGAGGGGTGGGGGGCCACTGGTTACTGCCAGGCCAAGATCTTTGCTTGCCGTGTATTGAGGCCTTAGGTTAGTCTGTCTTACAGACCCTGATACAAATAAATCAAATACAGTCCATGCAAGTCTATAATGTTTGGCAAGTCTAGATTACTGCAGTATCTGAAGAGTGTCTCTGGGCTCCTTTTTATTATATTTTTATTAAGATATGTTTATTAACTTTTGACCTACTGTAAACCTGTCAAGTTTTGTGCCAGTATACTGCTCACAGTAGTCATAACTAGGTCTGCAATGTTTTGCGACACCCTGTTAAGATTACCAAATATCAAAGCTATTTTTGCATTTGTTGTTTTTATTTATTTGTTTGTTGACACTGTGACCATGTGTAATTAGAGAAACAGGATGTGAGAGATTATTGTAGTTAATTATGTAATGGCTGGTTTGACAACATGTGGAAATAATTAAATTTTCCTTGTGTTCATTGAAATTCCTGCATTCTGATTAGCTGAATTGTTCACATGTTATTGCATTCATTTCCCAATGAATGTGAAAAATGAAGCCATCCCCACCGAGGCGGACTACTTTTATTACTACGGAATGTCAGGGAATCTGAATATTACAGTCGAGGGAATTCCCTTTCTGCTCACGTGTATCGTCATGCACAGGACATTTAGTGACTTTCATGCATATTCATTGTCCAAACAACCCTTTGTGACCGAAGTCTGAGACGGAATCAAACAGCAAACATGCAGGCTCGCTCTCCTGTTTTTTTCCCGCTTACCTCGGTTCCACAACTTTCTTGTCTTAAGGTTTCATTTCTAACTAGCATTTTTCCAACTGTGTCTTCCCGTTCTCTGGGGACTAATGTTCGAATCTGGCAGTAACTGATAATGTCATTTGAAACAGCCGCCTTCTCTTGGACATATTTGTTCCAGCTCGTTACAGTCTGACTGGTGCAGTTCTTCTCACCTCCTCCCTTGATTGACAGGTCCTATGAACATTGTTTTGATCATACTCTCCGTTGATTGGCTACTGACTGTGTGGGCGTGTCAAGTTATGTGCATAAATTAAACAATCACCTGATTAATGACACGCCACAGTATGTATTCCTACACCTGGAATGTTCTCGTCCTTTTTTCTGCTTTGATATATACAACTGTTTTTGGTTAAACTATTGTAGATAAAACATGTTTTCGTTGTCGAATTTAATTATAAGCATTGTATAAGTGTATTTTTTCAGTTCATTGAGGTATGAATCCAAACACGGATGTGCAAACTGTATGAATCCGCGTAGCAATGAATCGAAAAAAATTCACAGTCAATCCTCAGGTGAATGAAAGATATATGCCTCCTTACGTCTTTTGTTTGTTGTTGGACTGCAAGAATAACTGCACCATGAAACTATTGCGTTTATGTGTCAGTCGCGGTGTTTGCAGTACTTTCCTGCTCGCAACACTTTCCAGATTTACAGTATAGTCAACTTGACCAGTGATATACTCAATATTTTTGTATTTTCTTTACTACAAGATTACTTCATCATCAGATGTACCACTTGCCTTTATATCGTCTGTGTACCAAGTGTTTTGTATCATGGAGATATGTGCCGTTGTGAGAGGCATAACACTACAGAACTTGTACCATATGTCTTTATATCAATACAGAATGTGTACCATGTGTCTTTATATCATTACAGAATTTGTACCATGTGTCTTTATATCATTATAGAATGTGTACCATGTGTCTTTATATCAATACAGAACTTGTACCATGTGTCTATATCAATAAAGAACTTGTACCATGTGTCTTTATATCGATAGAGAACTTGTACCTTTTTCCTTATATCAATACAGAACTTGTACCATGTGTCTTTATATCATAACAGAATCTGTACCATGTGTCTCTATATCATTACAGAATCTGTACCATGTGTCTTTATATCAATAGAGAACTTGTACCATGTGTCTTTATATCATTACAGAATCTGTACCATGTGTCTTCATATCAATAGAGAACTTGTACCATGTGTCTTTATATCATTAAGAGACTGTACCATGTGTCTTTATATCATTATAGAATCTATACCATGTGTCTTTATATCATAACATAATCTGTACCATGTGTCTTTATATCATTACAGAATCTGTACCATGTGTCTTTATATCAATACAGAATGTGTACCATGTGTCTTAATATCATAACAGAATATGTACCATGTGTCTTTATATTGTGTACCATGTGTCTTTATATCTTAACAGAATCTGTACCATGTGTCTTTATATCATTACAGAAAGTCTACCAATTGTCTTTATATCATGTCTATGTGATATATAAAAGTCTATACTCACCCTCCCTATAATTCTCTGGTCTTTGAGTGACAACCATACTTGGTTCAATAAACAGAAAGTAATAGGGACAGAAAGTTGGGCTTTGTTTTAATCGGCCTACACAGAGAAGGTGAATGTGTCACTCAAGGATTCCACACCATCCTGCCAAACAAGTTGAATATACTCGTCAATGTTTTCAATGTCACTCCAATGGCAATACAGAACAGTGTCTACTGTTGTCAAGTTAAGATTGCAATCTGTTTGTCCTGTGTTTATCAGGGTCCCCTTCCACACACACACACACACACACACACGCATGCACGCACACACACACACACACGCACACACACACACAGACACACGCACACGCACGCACACACGCACTCACACACACGCACGCACGCACACGCACACACAGACACACGCACACACACATACGCACACACACACAGAGACACGCACACACACACGCACGCACGCACGCACACACACACACACACACACACGCACACAGACACACGCACACAGACAGAGACACGCACACACACACAGAGACACGCGCACACACACGCATTAAGTACTTCCCAGTATATAGGGGGTGTCAGTGTCACAAAGTTGTATTTCCTGCTCAATTGTTATTTTTCTGTGTATTTGGGCCAATATATATTTGTTGTGTTGGCTTACAAATTTTCTATGATTTCTGGTACGGGAGACAAAAAATAATAGGTCTACCTAGGTACCTTTTTTGTGTGATGTGTTGATGGACACAAATGTTTGTTTATGTTTTTTCATTTTCATATTTTCACAAACACAGGTATGTACTTACAAACATAATTAGTGTGAATCAGGATTTTGAATCCTAAGTCAGTGGATCTTTGCACTACCAAGGGACGCAACTCTGCACAGTAAACTCAGGCACTGTAGTCGGCTGAGCCAACCATGTCCCATATAATAGCACTTGTCTGCATTGTTTTTGTCTTTTTACAAGTTTGTAATAATTTATTTGTGTCTGTATCAGATCCAATTAACCTGGAGACAGAAATGAATGATGTAATAATCCAAGTTTTTTTTAATGTATTTAATCAGGTATTCAATGACAATATGTTTATTCATCCTAATCAGAATGAAGTCTTTATTGTTCGTAAGAATGTCGTTATTAAACATACTTGTGATGACACTGCCATGATTCTGTTGTAAATTCTTCTCAGAACAAGGATGATCAATCGGTGCCGTGTAACATCACGCTGTTCATGTATGACACGGCAGTCATGTGTGATGTCACGTTGGTCATGTGTGATGTCACGTTGGTCATGTGTGATGTCACGTTGGTCATGTGTGACATCACGTTGGTCATGTGAGACGTCATGGTGGTCATGTGTGATGTCAAAATGTTCATGTGACATCACTGTGGTCATGTACAAAGCACAAAGAAACATTGTTCCATAAGAAAGTACAAAAAGACACGTTCCACTATAGAGAGTACAATGATATATTGTATATATTATTCCACTATAAAAAGTACAGACACGTTGTTCCACCGTAGAAAGTACAATGATATATTATTCCACGATAAAAAGTACAGACACGTTGTTCCACCATAGAAAATACATTTATGATATTATTCCACTATAAAAAGTAGACACGTTGTTCCACTGTAGAAAATACAATGATATATTATTCCACCATAAAAGGTACAGACACATTGTTCCACTGTAGAAAATACAATAAAACGTTGTTCCTCCAAAGAAAGTACAAAAGACATTGTTTAACTACAGAAAGTACAATGATATATTGTTCGACTGTAGAAAGTACAATTAGACAGTGTTCTACTATAGAGGCAAAGAGGCATTGTTCATATAGAAGTACAAAGAGACATGTTCAACTGTAGAAAGTACAAGTAGGCAGTGTTCCACTATAGAAGTACAAAGAGGCATTGTTCAATGATATATTGTTCCACTGTAGAAAATTCTGTAGAAAATATTCCTTTAGATGCCATAGACTCTTTTGGAATATTTGTGACCTAGGTAGGTCGCCCCAAGTCCCTGACTTCATTGAGCAAACTTGGCACTCAAGAGAATATGACCATGTGATATAAACCTATCTATATCTATAAAGTGGAGGGATTGGCAAAGAAGCAAATTTTGCAAATGCCTCTCCCAAACATGATACATATACAAATTACAATGTATTGAAAGTGACATGAGAAAGAGCATACGTTATATAATTGACATTAAAGTAACATAATAATATTCGTTCTGTAGGTGTTTGATTACTCGATATGTTTTTCGTAACTACGGCTACGTTCTTATTTACATCCAGTACAACACCATCGCAGTACCATATAGCAAAGCCAGCATTGCCTTTAGAAAAAAAACTAAATCGGCAAGAAGACACTCGTAGAATGTAACTATATGCACTGATTTCAAAATTTCAAAATTTGTTAGTCGTTAAATGTGAATTACCATTTCAAATTGTTGGATTTTAAATCGCAGCCTTTTACGAAATAATACATAGTTTTCCTTAATGTATTGTTAAGGGACACGCGTAAGAAAGACATGAAGTGTATCTTCTGTGTGATAGCCACAACATCTCGGGCTGTCGGATATAAATCTGGCAAGATCGCTGCAGCCAAGCCTGAGACGGGAGTGAATAACCTGACAGAATCTTGATTCATAATTTACATCAAAGTATATACCATTCTTATCACTGATTTTTTTTTTATAACGGGGGCGGTGGGGCAGCCCAGTGGTTAAAGCGTTCGTCCGTCCCGCCGAATAGCAGAGTTCGATTCCCGACATGGCTACAATGTGTGAAGCCCATTTCTAGTGTGCCCCGACGCGATATCGCAGGAATATTGCTAAAAGCGGCGTAAAACCATACTCTGTCACTTTTTATAAATCTTCTAAATCTTCCTTAACTACAAGCACTAGTGTATTCAACAGGTAGTGAGTTCCAAATATTAGCTATATCTGGAATAAATGATTTGACAATTATTTGTTTTACACTTTATGTTTTGAAGCTGTGAGCAGTTTCTCAAATTATAATCACTTGCATCCGACACTATGTGGAGGTAGGGATGAGAGATAATCCGGTACTAGAGAGAGAATGACTATATTGTATGTAGGCTGTACATCCTGCAACACACCACTGCCGGGGTAGACATACATACTGGTCTACCCTCGGGGCGGGGTTGGGAGGGGGAGGTCAACTGAAGATGGGGAGCTACTTGTGGCCAACAAAGAGACGAGTTATGATACGGAGGAACGTGGTCTGTATCCTGACACTAATGACCTGTTGCAAGACGCCAGGTGGCGCTGTCCTCCAGATGGGAAATATACACCAAGCTTTGTGTGGTGCCGACGGGGCGACAGACTTAGGGGCATATTCGGGCTGGGGGATAGGCTGGGATATTATCGAAAGAAAAAAAAAATTAACCTCGGAAAATGATCATGCTTCATATTGTAGGGAATGAATGAAATTGTCAGCCACAAAATAATTCATTGTTGCAATGTTTTTTTTAGAAAAAAATATATTTGATCATAGTTTTAAGTAAAAATATATCTGGTTTAGCAAAATTTCCTTGAGGAGGCTAACTTGAGGTTGTCATCATGTTTGTGTTCAGCTAGCAGGACTGGTTAGTTTAGGTTGCTCGTTAGCCTTGCAGTCAGACTGAACATTGTGACAGACGGTAATCTGCTGTAGTACTTAAAGTTATCAGGCCGGCGTTATTGCAAAACGTACTACATGTCATGTTTGAAATAAACATCGGTAAATCGCAACATCCTTTAATTGTTAATAGTAGCTGAAATAACATTGACATGTAACCGAGGCAATCCTATCACAATCAACAAGTACCAATGCATCCAAGACATGATTTTCTTTACTGATAAGTGTATAGATAGATCGTCCCTACTAATTATAAACCTCAATGCCTGACAACTAGAGACGATAAGCGAGTGATCAAGTTGTGTTTTACGCAGTTTTTAGCAACATTCAGACCCAAAACCCCTTTAAAAATTCGTCCTAGTTCAGATCTTTTAGCAGATTTCGGCTCAGTGATTACCATCACTACGGTAACCGTCGATTAAAAACAAATATTTATACGAGTAAATACGGTTGTTTCTTTCCGTGCAAGAAACAATCAAATAACTTGTTATAGAAGCCCTGTGGTGAAATTACATATGACTCCGAAAACAGTCACGCTACAGTGGTTTAAAAGTTAGAAATTTTCCCGCGGTCTGATAAAAGAATGACCTACATTTGTAAGATGGCATTTCATTGGTGTGACAGTTTCCCTGAAATTACATCAAAGCAAAACGTATCTATGGAAATAAGTAGTTTATGCATGTTTTCTTTAATCACTGACATTTATCCCAAAATAAAGAATAACTAACATCCACTTATCATTTACTTTATCAGTGTATCAAAAGAGTAATACAGACAAAATAAGCCAAGGTCATCCGAAGGTCAAACATTTGACCAATCACAGGGAGTCTACTTTCGGAACATATCCCAGGCTGCCTTCTTTGTGCGCCATTTTCGTTCAGAAGGAGTGCGGATCTCCACCTAGAAAAGATGTCAGAACAACAACTGCAACAGAACTGCAACCAAGGGGTAAAATTCTCCTAATTAAGTTGAAAGGAAATCCTCGAACGTTGTTTTAGTGAAAATCTAGATTCACCAAGGACTGTTTGGTATTCTGATCTCTTCTGAGCACATTTTGTTCCGAGATCGTGCTACGCTTTCTCCATCTTCGGTTTCTTTCTCCTGAGTTCTAAAAATATTCTGAAAGCTGTGTCTGCAATTTTTTATGTTCAACTCAGGCAAATTCGCGTAAACAATTATGTTTACTATTGTGACCCTGATTAACTTTTTTTAAAAACAACGATCCCAATGAAGCGGCATTGTTTGTTTTGATAGCAGTGCCTTTTTTCGCCACATGGTCCTCACATGGTCAAAATATTTTGACGATGGACATCGAATAGCGGAAGAGTATTCTTTGCGAAGTACATCCTGGGTTTTGATATCACTCCACACATGATGTTGTTGTTGACGTGTTTATGGGTTGTTTGTTTGTTTATTGTTTCAGCGGAAAGAAAGTTGGCCTAGTCCTTGCCACACTGCCCAATAGTTTGGGTATCATAAGGATTATTAGTAATTTGCCATTTTTAAGGGTTATATTATGCGTTAGCATTATAAGGACTAGTGGAATAAAATTGGTAGTTTATATCTGTTGTTTTAAAGCCATCTAGATAAGTTCTTAATGATGTTTTCTAGTAATGTTTTGCCACACAAAAGACAGGATAACACTTTCTTAGTAAAGTACAGATCCTAGTAGTATTACTTCTTGGGGTTGAGTCCCACTCGGCATCATGTGTTCTTAGAATATGTTCCCTTCAAGATGACAGGTGTCTATCCACTTGCGCTGTTCTTTCTAGACTAGTATTTTTTTAGTAGTATTGTTCGGACAGTTTCAATGTTCAGTCATTGTTACAACTAAGGTAGTGTAATGTATGCAGGAAATGACTTTTAGAGAGCTTCTTGTCTACCAGGCCAGTTGTGGATGTGAATTTCTTGTGACTAAGGATGTCCCGATATGTATAACAGTACTTTGTTCATGATATGATACATATTGCTATACTGAATGTTTGGGTCATATTTGAAAATATAAAGGTCTCATTTCAATCACTATTCTTTATTTTAGATAATATTCGACTGCCAGTTACAAAAGGACTAAAACATGATTTCATTTTTAAAACTATGTACATTGTACAATGTAGATATAACATAAGTTATGATAAAAGTGATTATTAAAATGTTGATAGGACTCAATTTTGTTAACAAACCGATTCCACCAAGTTTTAAACGATACAGGATTAAAATATGAATTGATACATGTATGGTGTATCACATATTGTACCATATGAGAATAGTATCAATATATTGGGGAATCATCATGATCATGACATCCCTAGTTGCGACACATCTTCTGTTAAGTCACCAGTATTAAACCTTAATTGGATAAGGATTATTGCTGATTACAGTGTTCTGAATATTCCAGTTGAACACTATTGGTATGATGAAACCCCAGGCTTTCCCTAATACTCAACAGTTGCTTATGTCTGCAGCAACTTTTGCTTATTAGGAGTGGCTAAACAGTTTTCATTCTCAGTGACTTGGTTGAACTTCATGACATGTCTTTTTATCTCAATCATGTGGATTGATGTCAGTCACTGGATTGTGTGGTCCAGACTTCATTATTTACAAACATTTGTGATCTGGCTAATACTTACAGAATACAACATATTAAACAAGAAGATTGTCATCATACCCAAATATAAATGTTTCTCTATATCAATAAGCCACTGGCCTTGTCGGGCTCATATGATTTAGAAGCAAGGGTGTCTGAGAAGCTGGACTGTTGCTGACTTAAGGCCTGAAGATTATATGATAGATTCCCATCAAAATTGTAAATAGTTTGTACTCGGTATCTGTGGGTTTCATTTAAGTGACATGTACATCTTGAAGATCCATGGTAGAATAGGTCTTCAGCAACCCATGCTTGCCGTAAAGGGGGACTATGCTTGTTGTAAGAGGCGACTAACAGGATCGGGTGGTCTGGTTCGCTGACTTGTTTGGTGCATGTCATCGTTTCCAAATTGTATGGATTGATGCTTATGTTATTTACAGACAGCCGTCATATAGCTGGAATATTGTTGAGCGTGGTGTTAAACAATACACACAAAAAAAAAAATCAACAAACAATGTTGCTTTTTAGAACCGATGATGAATCTTGACCTATTATTTGTTTTTTGTCAGGGTGTTGATGAGATCAAGCCCGAGAACAGCGAGCACATCAATCTGAAGGTGGCCGGCCAAGATGGCAGCGTGGTGCATTTCAAGATCAAGAAGAACACACAGCTGAGGAAGCTCATGTCTGCCTACTGTCAAAGAGTTGTAAGTCCAGTGTTTGGTTCACAATAGTTCTGCTGTTAAGTTGGTCCAGTCTTTTAGTTCTGAAGCACTTTCCTAAGCAGCATAAAATCAAAGTCACAATAAACCCTTCTCTGGGGACATGTTACACACAATGATCCCGGCTGTTTGTAGCTGAACGTGTGTCTGTTGTGCGTCCCTCCCTTTGTCAATAGTGTCAGTGTATCAACAACCTTCACTTCAAATGTCTGGTTGGTTTGTGGCAAGGGAAGCAACTCAAACTCACAAGGGAAATGGAAATGTCAAAACATGTTACAATATTTTGGAATGTCAGAGGGGAGGTAAACAAGAGTTTTGATCTTGATTTACGAAAGTGACATATCATAAGGTAGTGATGTCTTTTTCGTGATGTTCAGTTTTATTTGCACTTACAGAAGTAACTTAAAAAAACTGCATGAGACTAAAGACAGTGCTAGAATTAGTAAATAGTTCACTGTGGCGAACCATCCCATTTTTTTATGTACCATAATATAAGCACACATACATCCGGAAACCCTTTATACCTACTGGGAACAAAAGTAATAGTTTACAGCAGTAGAAACTAACAGTTTCAGTCCACGAGTCCTTATAATGATAACCTATAGCAAAACTCCTAAAAATGGCAAATTTCTACTAGTCCTTATGATACCTTTACTATTGGGCGGCAGTTTGGCAAGGACTACAGGACTAGTGCCAATTTCTAACTCTGGTTTAGGAAACAAGTAGTCATCGAAGTAGTTCAAGCTGGGGGGGGCTTTATGTTCATCGATCGCATTATTGGTAATTATGTTTGTTAAATATGGCTTAGTTGACTAGATGGGTGTAGCCGCCTATGAAGATGCAAGATTGTCACACAGTTAGCCATTCGTGGAGCTCTCTTTACTGTTCCGACTGCCTCCGTGGTCTAGTGCTAGAGCGTCTGCCTGGAGGGTGGAAGGTCCGGGGTTTGAACCATGTCCGCTTCATACCAAAAGACTTCTTGTTACTCTTAGGGGCGGTCTGGTAGTCTAGTGTTTAAAGCATTCGCTCGTCACACCGAAGACCAGGGTTTGTTTCCCAAAATGGGTACAATGCGTGAAGCCCTTTTCTTGTGTCCCCTGCCGTGATATTGCTGGAATATTTCTAAAGGCGGTGTAAAACCATACTCACTCACTGTTACCATGACTGGCACTCGGCATTAAGGAGCTAAAACAAGGACTGACTGTTTTGGAGTCAATACTCTGTGTTTGAGGGGGGTAATCGTGTTAAACTGATGAATGTTATCTCAGTGGGCTTGCACTATAAAATTGGCATTATTTCGGACATGCACACACACACGTGGGGTATATGTATATATATGTAGTGCCTATCTGCATGATCTGGGTAATTGGTAAAGTAAGACTTTTCCATTCGTCTCAATCTGGAACCAAACTGATTGAACAAAGGAAATGTTAATTCATCTGAAAATACTAAGTCATTCATGAACCTTTTCAAAATTGGCATACCAAAAGACATACACAAAAATATACATGTCACTCAATTTGGGGTTTAGGGGAATTTGTGTGAGATGGTAGTGCTGGAATCCTACGATTACCTCCCTTGATTGTCCTTCTGTCTCAGCTGTAAAAACTAACAGTTTCAGTCCACTAGTCCTTATAATGATTACATATAGCAAACCTTAAAAATTGCAAATTTCTACTAGTCCTTATGATACCTTAACTATTGGGCGGTATGGACTAGTGCCTATTTCCAACGCTGTGTCTTGTATCCGTGGCGCCCTTTCTTGATTTTATGGGTGGCCCAGTCGTCTAAGGTGCCGCGATTCGCTGTGCAGAGTTGTGTCCCTTGTTCACGCCAGAAACCTATGATTGTGTATTCCATATCATGGTTTGCCCTGATTCTAGGTTTGTCAGCACCATACCTGTGCTCGTGGGTTTCACCGAAGTGGTAAACATCTGGGACCTGCATCACTTAGGGCTCTCCTCCCACATTAAGCTGACACGCCGTGATATAACTGGAATATTGTTAAAAGCGGTTTTAAACCCAACTCACTCACTCTTGATTTCATGCAATGGAGGATTTATTGAAAAACCCCTAAAGCAATGACATTGCTTGAAGCCTACTTAAAAATGAAGTTCATATTATATGACCACCCTTTTCTCTCTCAGGGAATTCAAGCCCAACAAGTGCGATTCCGATTTGATGGAAATCCTATAAACGAATCAGATTCCCCTTCTTTGGTGAGTATATCATTTGCTTAGTCTGAGATGCAACTGAACTCAATTGACAGAATCACAATTACTATATAGATGCTCTGAGGCTGATATTCAGTCCGCACCATTGTCAGTAACAACTCTCCAATTGAACTTTAACCATTAGTTAATCATCTTAGTTGATGTTGTGTCACTGTAAACAATCAAGGCTTTACTGCTTAGGTAGGACTCCTGAATTTACGCAAATATAACCTTAAAAATAGCCCAATTTTTTCTCCACTTTTATTGCCAAGGGCACTAAGTTTGGAGTCTGTTATAATCTATCAAGGGGACTTGATCCTTCCCTTGAACTGTAGACAAGGTGGGGATGATGTTGGGGAGTCACCTGATAATGCAAATCCTTGTACACAATACTGTAGACAAGTAGGGACGATGTTGGGGTATGTCCTTGTACACAATACTGTAGACAAGGTGGGGACGATGTTGGGGTATGTCCTTGTACACAATACTGTAGACAAGGTAGGGACGATGTTGGAGTATGTCCTTGTACACAATACTGTAGACAAGGTAGGGATGATGTTGGGGTATGTCCTTGTACACAATACTGTAGACAAGGTAGGGACGATGTTGGGGTATGTCCTTGTACACAATACTGTAGACAAGGTAGGGACGATGTTGGAGTATGTCCTTGTACACAATACTGTAGACAAGGTAGGGACGATGTTGGGGTATGTCCTTGTACACAATAGTGTAGACAAGGTAGGGACGATATTGGGGTATGTCCTTGTACACAATACTGTAGACAAGGTAGGGACGATGTTGGAGTATGTCCTTGTACACAACACTGTAGACAAGGTAGGGACGATATTGGGGTATGTCCTTGTACACAATACTGTAGACAAGGTAGGGACGATGTTGGGGTATGTCCTTGTACACAATACTGTAGACAAGGTAGGGACGATGTTGGGGTATGTTCTTGTACACAATACTGTAGACAAGTTAGGGACGATATTGGGGTATGTCCTTGTACACAATACTGTAGACAAGGTAGGGACGATGTTGGGGTATGTCCTTGTACACAATACTGTAGACAAGGTAGGGACGATATTGGGGTATGTCCTTGTACACAATACTGTAGACAAGGTAGGGACGATGTTGGGGTATGTCCTTGTACACAATACTGTAGACAAGGTAGGGATGATGTTGGGGCGTCGCCTGATGATGTATGTCCTGGTTTCAGCTGGAGATGGAAGATGGAGATTCAATAGATGTATTCCAACAGCAGACGGGAGGAAAGTGGTGCCACTGAGTGACTCGAGTCATGTGATTACCATTCAAAGGGTGTTTGCGGACCATGTGAAATGAAAACGGTGAAAGTGAAAGACTGAATACATCCGCAATGGATACCAGCCCTCCTCAGAAAGGTTGAATAGATCCACTCTATTCATTTCTTGTACAGTTTGTCATCGTCTTCTACTCTTAGTCATTTGTATCATGTTTTGTCATTGCAGGGGTTTCCGGGCTGGGGGTGGGTCATAGTCGTACTATTTATCTTTGCATCATGTAAAGCGATTTCACTTTATTCATCAGGGTTCGAAATTACAGCAAGTAAAAACTTTTACTGCTCTTCATTTATCTGTCATCCTCAAAGGCCAAATGAGATGTTAGATTCCTTCGTATTCCTACCGTAGAAATGAAGTTTAACCATTTCAACAAACAAGATATTTTTGATTGAACCTTATTTTGTGATCAGTTTCAGGGACTGTTTTCTTTCACAATCTAGCTACTTTTAACAATGCTAATTTCCAACCCTGATAAATTCATTGTTTGGCATTAAATATTCGATGTACATTTGTTTGCATTCGTTCCTCCTGGGTTCCAGTGTAGCCATGCTGTGTCAGTGTGTAGTACCCAGACTGTCAGTTTCACTAATGTGGACATTTGTTTCAGTCAGGTTGACCTGTTTCTTTTTTTATTTCAACACCAATGACCGACTCTCTCAAACTTGTTCATGCCAATACTTGAATTTTACCGATCACTCGGCAACTGGCCAACCAAATCAAAGATACAGTAGAAATCATTGTCTCCTAAATGTCAATATCACTGGTTGTCATTAAACATGTATCATTGTAACACACATCTTGTCTTTTGTCTTATTACTGGATCTGATGGAATATGAGGATGGGGGTCCAAGTCTTCCATAATTCCTCAGTTCACTGAACGGGGTTGTGTTATTATCCCCCGCCACGGAGTGGAAGGGGATATTGGAACGGGTGCTTTCCTTCTGTCCGTCACGTTTTGATGAGAACTAAAAAAGCATGAGATGTTTTAACCAAACTTGGCAAATAGATCAGTCTAGTGGTGAACTGGTGCCTTTTGATAGTTTGGGATTTTTGGAAAAAAATGTTTTACAAGTTTCCTTGGCAACGACTTTTGACTTATGCTGAAAATGGCAGTAGTGCGCGTTTTCAGAGCAGATCTTGAAAACCATACAATATTTCCTCACCAAACTTGTCATATTAATAGGTCTAGTGGTGAATTGGTGCCTTATGACTGTTTGGTATTTTTTCAGAATGTTCCCTTGACAAGAAACTGGACTTAGGCTCATACGTGTAGCATTCATTTCTGGAGCATAACTCTGAAACATGGTATTACTGTGTTCCAAGAACATTGTCCAGCTATGTGATGTATCTTGTCTCGCAGTATTGAATACTTTTCCTTTCTTGTTGGCAAATTCTGCATTATTGTTTAAGTAATAATACAACTCATCACAAATACAATTATGTACTCTATCATAAACTGAAGCCGTCATATATCTGGGATATTGTTGAGAATGTTGAACAGCAAACAAACTGCAGATGGCAAGTAATAACGTTTTTAGAGCTTGCAATTAGGCCATTTACAAAAAGGTCCAGTGAACATAGTTCACAGGGGCTAATGGCTTGCACACAACCTGACATGTCATATTGGCGTGGTATTTCATGCTCGTTTGACATTTGAATCGCAGGTTTGCCATGACTGAGGGTTAGAGGTAAGGTGGCTGCAGTGGTCCTCTAGACAACCAGCACGAGATCCTGTGTACAACATTCTGACCTCAAATCCCAGGGAGCCGAGAATATAATTCAAGCACACACTTTGAGCTTTAGGGTGTGGAATTGTCACATAATATGCACATTATGGTACGAGCTAGGGAAATATTTGAAATGTGATTCTCCCGTAAAGAATAAGACAACCAGTAGCAGGTAAGGTTGTTGGACAAGCATTTTTCTACACATTTTTTTCAAAACCAAGTCTTGTTTAAAGCATCATTCATTTCGAGAAAGCAGAGTACATCACATGTCCCAAGTACTGACACTTAACAATGCTTAAGCGGTCTTGTGAGGATTGGGTGGCAGTATGGTTGGACACTGCCCTCAGAAGCAGGCATATTCACTCTCATTGGTGAAGAGTGTCTGTTTAATTGTCTCACAGAAGCCATCCATTTAATTGTCATGGAATCAAAGGTAGCCTCAGGACTGACTGCACACACAAAATTCACCCAGTCTTGCACCCTGGGGATTCAAGGCAGAATAAGTCGGAACAAGTCTTGTCCCCAAACCATAGCGGTTGCCATGTATCAAACGTGTCTGATTGGAGCTTTGCCTCGATCAGCTCCAACCCTTGGTGTGTCTGCACCCATGTTCGGGTTTCCATCAGTCCCAGCCTCCTGTCAGGCACAGAACTGTGATGTTGAATTATCCTTCAGTGCAACGTAACACAAAACTTGCTCCATATTAATGAAGACACAACAAAGGAATTTTAATAATGATTTTTTAATCTGATAAATAAAGATGTGTCCCTTGTAGCTGCTGCCCTTCCTGTCTGAAGAATGATGGTTCACCATCAGTCAGAACAAAAGTACCATCCTTTGTACAACCAAGTACAAACATATAAAACCTCAGTATTATTGCCATAGAGAGCCTGTAGCACAGACAGGTGCTCTCAGAAGTAAGAAGAAAGCTAACTGCCGTACCTGACATACTTAATGCCCTGGGCCATCATGCTACAGCTCCTTTATTTACCAACTATGTGATATTCAGGAGAGGACATGTATTCTAGACAATGTTTGGTCGCTGCTTCAATACGTCTGAAAGGTGGAGCCAAACATTTTTCTTTAAAACAATTTTTTCAGGATGTCCAGAGGGAACAGTTCTCTCTTGCGAGTGCAAACCCCGCGACACAATTACTTTTTTAGTGAAAGGATGCACAAGACATCCCACGATGGGTCCCCTAGCGTAAATTCCGAATGTTTTGTATGTTGTTTAATGCAGCATGCGGTAATATTCTTTCGATATGAGGGTGGCCTGTAAATTTGATTGAGTTTGGAGCAGACAATCAAGATTATAAAGACACACTATCCAGCAAGTGACCAGCCGATCCTTTCGGTTGCATCTGACGACCAGCACAAGTTGCTGGGGACCTATTCCAACCCGGAATCCCTAGTGCTGCGATCACTTAACATTGACCAGAACACTACCATCAGTATATATCAAGTTATCTGTAGTTCTGCAACATGACAAAATTAGACAAAGACTCTGCTCTTTAAGTTGAAGCAACACAATGTTAATGAAGAATGAGTAACGAGTTGACTGTACAAAACTGTAGGTCTCATGGTGATGAGGGAGGTAGATTCTGTGGGTAGTTGGTGATGGGCTGTAAGCCTTCCTGGCCGGACCACTAAGTATGTCAAGTAAGGTCAACTGATGAGAAACAACAGATATATTACAAAACATTGGTCATTGGTGATGTAACAAGTCTTTCATGGACATGCTAGCAACACTTTGCCTTCAACCACATCTCAAGTTGCAGCAGGACCATTTGAGATGACGTAATGCTGTTCTTGTCAGTCCACACCTCAATTAGCCAGTGTGTCATACCTCCGAAAATTTACAATACCAGCATGCATCACTACCATAGCTTCGTTGAGCACAATTTTGAATGTGACGATGCTAAACATAGCTGTCCAATCAAATAACATGCTGAGGGAGAAATGTTAATGACAATGAGAAATGGAGATGTGACTACTGCAGCGAAGACATCCGTGGGTATTTATCGGGACGCTGGAAGCATGATGTACTGGCTAATCAAGGATGATTAGTTTAAAGCTTGGTCATCTTTGAACAACATGGCAGGACGTCTGCAAATACCAACACAATTTCAGATAAGTATAAAACAGGCAGTGTTCTCTAAGGTTTTGTGGACATGAATTCATGAAGGGGTGTAACTATTCATGAGAGTGTGAGTAATTCATGCCTTTAACACCGGTAACTATTCATGATGTTCACTATTTCATACAGTGACATCTTCAACCAAGGTGTTGAACAATGTAGGCCTAGCCATAATGGTCAACAAAGAAGGACGTTTACACAAGCTTCTTTCCACAGGGTCTTTGTTTCTGAGCCTTGTCACTTCTGTATTTTGTTCACAAATACATTCCTAAAATACAAGAGTACTAGTAACCATGGTAACTAAGGCTAAAAAAATAATAGTCTTGATTCTCAGGCACCGCCCGCATCATAAAGTCTGCTGCACGTTCCGTTTTTATTTCCATTTTTTAAATAAAATAAACAAATCCTAATACCTAAAAACAATGCGATCCAATATAGCATGCAGTTACTTCCCCTTACATGCGTACCGCTTTATTGTTCATCTGGTGTTATGGTAGTGGCAGCAATAGGACTTTTGCATGATTGTTTATGTGGGGAGGACTCGCCCGCACTATATTTTCAAAAGTCATAGCCTGAGAACCAGTTCTTTCATTTTTTTAAGCCTAAGCGTAACGATTTTTGTAATTCGATTACTTTAATACAGACTTAGGACAGTTGCAGCTCCATCACCAACACAAGAAATCCTTCAATGAAACCATTTCTACAATCAGATGCCTGTACAAGCATGACAAAAAGGAACATACACACGGGACATTGTCAAGGTGATGATGTATAACACATGGAACCAAGTCAAGGTGATGATGTATAACACACGGAACCTTGTCAAGGTGATGATGTATAACACATGGAACCAAGTCAAGGTGATGATGTATAACACACGGAACCTTGTCAAGGTGATGATGTATAACACATGGAACCAAGTCAAGGTGATGATGTATAACACACGGAACCATGTCAAGGTGATGATGTATTACACATGGAACCTTGTCAAGGTGATGATGTATAACACATGGAACCTTTTCAGGGTGATGATGTATAACACATGGAACCTTGTCAAGGTGATGATGTATTACACATGGAACCTTGTCAAAGTGATGATGTATTACACATGGAACCTTGTCAAGGTGATGATGTATAACACACGGAACCATGTCAAGGTGATGATGTATAACACATGGAACCTTGTCAGGGTGATGATGTATAACACATGGAACCTTGTCAGGGTGATGATGTATAACACACGGAACCTTGTCAAGGTGATGATGTATAACACATGGAACCTTGTCAAGGTGATGATGTATTACACACGGAACCTTGTCAAGGTGTTGATGTATTACACATGGAACCTTGTCAAGGTGATGATGTATAACACACGGAACCATGTCAGGGTGATGATGTATAACACATGGAACCTTGTCAAGGTGATGATGTATTACACACGGAACCTTGTCAAGGTGTTGATGTATTACACATGGAACCTTGTCAAGGTGATGATGTATAACACACGGAACCATGTCAGGGTGATGATGTATAACACACGGAACCTTGTCAAGGTGATGATGTATCAACTTACAAAATCTCATGATGCTGAAGAAAACATCTGGAGTTCTATTGTCATCATGATTGAAGTATACTAAAATAACTCTCAACAATTTCTATGGTGTTTTGACAAATATTTACATGGACAGTAACTGAAAAACAAAACAAGTGACTCGAGTCCCTCATCTCCTGATGCTGAACTGATCACAGTGTGACAGCAATCACAAGACACAAGCTGGAATCCTGACTTCTGGGACGTATACTAGGGCAGTTCTAACAGTTGCTCTTTATCTCTTACACAGTCCACATACACAGTTGCAGTACATAGGCAGCCTTCACAACCAAAACAAACAGCTCATGCCTCTGATGAACACCACAAAGTGACAGTCATGTTTCACAAAGTGACAAAACATTTCACTGGACATACATGACTTTCCAAAAGAATGTGTCAATTTCGTTTTTGAGATTTGCCCAGTTGCCAAGAGAACATTGTAGGACTCATTTCCAACAAAGTTTAAAGACCTGTGAAGATCAGGGATAGAATTGGTCTCCAGCCACCCATGCATGCAGCAAGAGGCTACTTAAGGGATCAGGTGGTCAGACTCTCTGACTTGGTCATCGTATCCCAATTGTGAAGATGGATGCTCATGATGTCAATCACTGGATTGTCTGGTCAAGAATTGATTTATTTACAGACCGCCGTCATATACCGTATTCGACGTAATAAGCGCCCAGGGCGCTCTCAAAATTAGAAATAGGGGGCTCTTATTAGAATATTATTTTGTCGAAAAAAATAGAGTTGAAAGATAAATGTCGTGGTTTATGCTGACAGCCTGAAATGTTTATATAGGAGAGATATATTTTTCCAGAATTTAATTGCCCATACTTAAGGGTGCATTTAACACACGAGTGCGTATTATCAGCGAATAAATAAGTATGGTGTACATTGATCAATCGGAAAGGGTGCTAATTGGGATTGTTCACAAGCCAATATATTAGCAAATATCGCCGTGGGCGCTTATTAGAGCGGGGCGCTTATTACGTCGAATACGGTAGCTGGAATATTGCAAGTGTGGCATTAAGCAAACAAGCAAACACTACAACAATTCCTACACAGGACTTGACGGCCTTACAGAAGCCTGCACATTCCAGCTCAGGAAGGAAGAAAACTGCTGATTTAGAAAATGTATGGGTCATGTTTTTGAATAAGCTCCCAATTCTCTTTCTGTTCATTAATTGGACTTAATGTCCTTCAACACTTACATTTACATCAAAATGAGCGAGTGAGTTGGGTTTAATGCCTCTTTTAACAGTATTCCAGTGAAATCGCGGAGTGTCAGCTTAATGTTGGAGGAAAGTCCGAAGTGATGCAGGTCTCGGACTTTTACCACTTCGGTGAAACTCACGAGCAAGGGTTTGGTGCTGACAAACCTAGAAACAGAACTGTTATTCGAACCCACAATCATAGATTTCTGGATTGCCTAAGGGACGTAACTCTGCACAGCGAATTGCTGCGCCATAAACAACTGGGCCCCCCATGCCCCCTGGATCAAATTGAAGGAGATCCTGTAGGTCTGGTTCCATAGCATTAACACTGTCAGATCCAATGTAAGGGAGATTTTAGAATGTGTTTGTGAACTGTCTAAATCAGAGTGTGAAACACTGACTGGCACTCATATAGGTTTTGAGCAGGCATAACATTGTTTTTACTCCTCAAAGGGATCATGCTTAAAATAACTGAAAATCTGAACACATGATATCTTCCACACAGAAAGCAGAACACTTGCTCCATACTTGTCAACATTTCACTTGATGACCACTGACGATCAACCTCTTGCTAACCTGTCCATGGTCAAGACACCGGTGGATGGCTGGGTAGACAACCTATCTAGGTCAGGACACCGGTGGATGGCTGGGTAGACAACCTATCTAGGTCAAGACTCCGGTGGATGGCTGGGTAGACAACCTATCTAGGTCAGGACACCGGTGGATGGCTGGGTAGACAACCTATCTAGGTCAGGACACCGGTGGATGGCTGGGTAGACAACCTATCCATGGTCAAGTCACCGGTGGATGGCTGGGTAGACAACCTATCTAGGTCAGGACACCGGTGGATGGCTGGGTAGACAACCTATCTAGGTCAAGTCACCGGTGGATGGCTGGGTAGACAACCTATCCATGGTCAAGACACCGGTGGATGGCTGGGTAGACAACCTATCCATGGTCAAGACTCCGGTGGATGGCTGGGTAGACAACCTATCTAGGTCAAGTCACCGGTGGATGGCTAGGTAGACAACCTATCTAGGTCAAGTCACCGGTGGATGGCTGGGTAGACAACCTATCTAGGTCAAGTCACCGGTGGATGGCTGGGTAGACAACCTATCTAGGTCAAGTCACCGGTGGATGGCTGGGTAGACAACCTATCTAGGTCAAGTCACCGGTGGATGGCAGGGTTTAGATTCAGCACATGACAGTATTGCAAATAATGTTTCCTTGGAAAACTTTGCATCCCATTGAAATTCGTGCGGAAAGTGGCCAGAACAGAAAGGAAGAAAAAAAATTCACACTATTTAAATTGCAGCACTTAGGAGAAGACAACCCATGCAATTGCTTCTAGTGTAACCCGTAACAGGACATTTATTTCCCCACGGGAGATTCTTTCCAGGACAGAGTAATATCCTAGGTAAAGGTTTCCAGTGGATATCATTCCAACAGCCAGTATCTTACTAACACTGGAATATATTCCCACAGGAATATTCTTTTCTCCGGAAACCTTTTGACCCAGAAACACTGATTGTTTACACTAACACTTAGGGGCAGACAACCCACACAATTGCCGGTAACACTTATGAGCAGACAACCCACACAATTGCCGGTAACACTTAGGAGCAGACAACCCATGCAATTGTCGGTAGCGCTTATGAGCAGACAACACACACAATTGCCGGTAGCACTTACGAACAGCACCACTTGTTCCTTTTCTTACCCTAAATTGCAGAGTCCCTCCTCAGAGGATAAAAACAAAACCAAAACAAATAAATAAATGCTTCAAATTCACCCAATATTCATGTAAAATATTTACAGTCCCAGAATGCATCCACTATCAACACAACAAATCCTGATGACACAGACGTTTGGAAATGTTCCTGGCCATTGCTGATGTAGGTCGACCGCTGGAATAGACAGCACAAATACTTCACCCATTGCTGAAAACAAGTGCCTACAATTGTAGGATTATTCCCGTAATACAAAAACTTTGTTAATAAGTTAAGGGTGGGTGATTTTCTAATCTGAACACAATTTCAACAAGAACGTTGTCTCTTAAGTCCCATCCTAGAGGCAACTAGTCGAAGGCAGACAAGATCGTCGATCTGCCTCGTTCATCAAATACTCTTCACAACACATTATGGCTTCACATGGAGTACAGTAGATGGAGAATTTTACAATGTAGAATTTCTTGCAATGTATTCAGTATATGACTAGCCTTGTTGCCCAGGTCAACCACAGCTTTGTACAAGCCACAAGTAGAGCAATACTGAGTCACGGAGACAGATCGGTTATGAATGACAAGACACGGTAACTATCCGTCCCAACACGGCTTCAACAACTCAGTCTGCTACAACAAGTGCATCGTCTCCAATAAAGCTTAAATGATAAATATGATCATAAAATATTCTTGAAGATAATGTAATTCTTATCAAGGAGAATCTTGATGTCACGACACTGTCTATTCTGTGAATGCTAGATTAACACACCTTGGAGGACAGTCCATACCAGCCTCTGTGGGATATAACTCACCACATGGTACGTCACATGGTACGTCATATTGTACATCATATGGTACATCACCGCATCATCTTCCATCTTCCATCAGATGCTACTGGTGGTCTCATGAAGTCGGATGACCTTGTTACAGGTGAAACCAAAGGGTGAGTATTTCTATGAATTGTAACCATGGTAACCTGATTCGGAAGGACAGATATTATGGTCCCGCTCTCTTCACCTGAGGTTGGATGTGTCATGGCACTTTGTCCTCATGACGAAAACCCAGTTCACAGAAATGTGTCCGATGTCCAAGTGTCGTTGGCGATGTCCAAGTGTCGTTGGCGACACACACGGATCTGTTGCATGATCTTCCTGCATAGTTGACTGGCTGACCTCCCTTCTCCTGAGGTCTGCCTCGTTCCTAGACCCCTGACTTAATATGTCTGAAAGGACAAGTTGATCTTAATGCAGTCAGATGTTGATGAAACGAGACAGAGAACTATGTCAGCTGCTGTCACGATTCTATGTTATTATGAAAGAGATGAATGTCCTGTGTATGTACAGTGATGTATCATGGGTGATGGCTGTGTCGGCATCAGGGCTGGGCACAGCTTGCCGTCGTGTCGGGGGATTCCCATTTCTTTGCCAACAATGAATGCATCCTCATTTTGCATCAGGAATTATTTTGGTTCAACTGGAAGAGACAAAACCTTGTTCAGTATCACAGGAGGTATTATTCATTCATTGCAAATGTAATGTAATGTTGGCAACTAACCTGAGTGAAAGCGACAATGAGGTTGAGGTACAGTTCTGCAATAGTGTTCTACTGGCAAAGATCTGTGTGTTAACCCTTACTGTTCTACTGGCAAAGATCTATGACTTTACCCTTACTGTTCTACTGGCAAAGAACTGTGAGTTAACCCTACCTGTTCTACTGGCAAAGATCTATGACTTTACCCTTACTGTTCTACTGCCAAAGATCTGTGAGGTAACCCTTCCTGTTCTACTGGCAAAGATCTATGAGTTAACCCTTACTTTTCTACTGGCAAAGATCTATGACTTTACTCTTACTGTTCTACTGGCAAAGATCTATGAGTTAACCCTTACTGTTCTACTGGCAAAGATCTGTGAGTTAACCCTTCCTGTTCTACTGGCAAAGATCTGTGAGTTAACCCTTCCTGTTCTACTGGCAAAGATCTATGACTTTACCCTTACTGTTCTACTGGCAAAGATCTGTGAGGTAACCCTTCCTGTTCTACTGGCAAAGATCTATGTTTTAACCCTTCCTGTTCTACTGGCAAAGATCTATGAGTTAACCCTTACTTTTCTACTGGCAAAGATCTATGAGTTAACCCGTACTGTTCTACTGACAAAGATCTATGTGTTAACCCTTACTATTCTACTGGCAAAGATCTAAGTGTTAACCCTTCCTGTTCTACTGGCAAAGATCTATGAGTTAACCCGTACTGTTCTACTGGCAAAGATCTATGTGTTAACCCTTACTGTTCTACTGGCAAAGATCTGTGTTGTGTTAACCCTTACTGTTCTACTGGCAAAGATCTGTGAGTTAACCCTTCCTGTTCTACTGGCAAAGATCTATGTGTTAACCCTTCCTGTTCTAATAGCAAAGATCTATGAGTTAACCCTTCCTGTTCTACTGGCAAAGATCTATGAGTTAACCCTTCCTGTCCTACTGACAAAGATCTATGAGTTAACCGTACCTGTTGTCAGGAGAACTGGAGTGGGCACGGCTTCAACACTGGGAAGAGCTGGGCCATCCTCCTTGTTAGAGTTATCTTCCCTTGGGGCAAGGTTTTGTGTGAGGGTTGGCATGACTGTTGTGGTGGCTGGGGGAGGAGTGTGGTCCACTGGGCCATTAGGGCTGAGGATTGGAGGGGGAACCTCCACTGACCCTAACTGAGGCGTGTCCACCCCTTCTGTCTTGACTGAAACATAAGATGGCGACCGGTTGTCATCAGCCACCAGCTACAATACCCGACACTGAGGCTGTACTCTCAGCACATTAACTATCGCAGGGTTCGAAATTAGTAAGGCCTCTAGTCTGAGACTAGTAGAACAAATGTCATCAAGAGATGACATATCCTTCTGGTCTATTGCAATTTGGAAATGGAGTTTGGCTACTTATACCCCGCTTTTGGGTTTGTTGCTATTGGATACCTTCAGCTATTCAGTATTTTTCAAAATCCCAAATCATAAAAAGGCACCAGTTCACCACTAGACTGATCTGTTTTGCAAGTTTCAACAAAAGATATATTTAACGGTTTTGGAGTTCTGCAGGCAACTACAGCTGTAACAATAGACAGCCAGGCAACTACGGCTGTAACGATAGACAGCCAGGCAACTACGGCTGTAACAATAGACAGCCAGGCAACTACGGCTGTAACGATAGACAGCCAGGCAACTACGGCTGTAAGGATAGACAGCCAGGCAACTACGGCTGTAATGACAGACAGCCAGGCAACTACAGCTGTAATGACAGACAGCCAGGCAACTACGGCTGTAACAATGTGGGCCAGGCAACTACGGCTGTAATGAGAGACAGCCAGGCAACTACGGCTGTAATGATAGAGAGCCAGGCAACTACGGCTGTAATGACAGACAGCCAGGCAACTACGGCTGTAATGACAGACAGCCAGGCAACTACGGCTGTAACGATAGACAGCCAGGCAACTACGGCTGTAATGACAGACAGCCAGGCAACTACGGCTGTAATGACAGACAGCCAGGCAACTACGGCTGTAACAATAGACAGCCAGGCAACTACGGCTGTAATGACAGACAGCCAGGCAACTACGGCTGTAATGACAGACAGCCAGGCAACTACAGCTGTAATGACAGAGAGCCAGGCAACTACGGCTGTAACGATAGACAGCCAGGCAACTACGGCTGTAATGACAGACAGCCAGGCAACTACGGCTGTAATGACAGACAGCCAGGCAACTACTGCTGTAACGACAGACAGCCAGGCAACTACGGCTGTAATGACAGACAGCCAGGCAACTACGGCTGTAATGACAGACAGCCAGACAACTACTGCTGTAACGACAGACAGCCAGGCAACTACGGCTGTAATGATAGAGAGCCAGGCAACTACGGCTGTAATGATAGAGAGCCAGGCAACTACAGCTGTAACAATAGACAGCCAGGCAACTACGGCTGTAATGACAGACAGCCAGGCAACTACGGCTGTAACGATAGACAGCCAGGCAACTACAGCTGTAATGACAGACAGCCAGGCAACTACAGCTGTAATGATAGAGAGCCAGGCAACTACGGCTGTAATGACAGACAGCCAGGCAACTACAGCTGTAATGACAGACAGCCAGGCAACTACTGCTGTAACGACAGACAGCCAGGCAACTACCACTGTAATGACAGACAGCCAGGCAACTACGGCTGTAACGATAGACAGCCAGGCAACTACGGCTGTAATGACAGACAGCCAGGCAACTACAGCTGTAACAATAGACAGCCAGGCAACTACGGCTGTAATGATAGAGAGCCAGGCAACTACGGCTGTAACGATAGACAGCCAGGCAACTACGGCTGTAACAATAGACAGCCAGGCAACTACGGCTGTAATGACAGACAGCCAGGCAACTACAGCTGTAACAATAGACAGCCAGGCAACTACGGCTGTAATGACAGACAGCCAGGCAACTACGGCTGTAACAATAGACAGCCAGGCAACTACGGCTGTAATGACAGACAGCCAGGCAACTACGGCTGTAACGATAGACAGCCAGGCAACTACGGCTGTAACAATAGACAGCCAGGCAACTACTGCTGTAACGACAGACAGCCAGGCAACTACGGCTGTAATGATAGAGAGCCAGGCAACTACGGCTGTAATGACAGACAGCCAGGCAACTACGGCTGTAACGATAGACAGCCAGGCAACTACAGCTGTAACGATAGACAGCCAGGCAACTACGGCTGTAATGATAGACAGCCAGGCAACTACGGCTGTAATGACAGACAGCCAGGCAACTACGGCTGTAATGACAGACAGCCAGGCAACTACGGCTGTAATGACAGACAGCCAGGCAACTACGGCTGTAACGATAGACAGCCAGGCAACTACGGCTGTAACGATAGACAGCCAGGCAACTACGGCTGTAACGATAGACAGCCAGGCAACTACGGCTGTAACGATAGACAGCCAGGCAACTACGGCTGTAATGACAGACAGCCAGGCAACTACGGCTGTAACGATAGACAGCCAGGCAACTACGGCTGTAACGATAGACAGCCAGGCAACTACAGCTGTAATGATAGACAGCCAGGCAACTACGGCTGTAATGATAGACAGCCAGGCAACTACGGCTGTAACGATAGACAGCCAGGCAACTACGGCTGTAACGATAGACAGCCAGGCAACTACAGCTGTAATGACAGAGAGCCAGGCAACTACGGCTGTAATGATAGACAGCCAGGCAGTGAATCCTTCAGACCTACAGGAAATCAAACCGAAACAACAACAGGTTTACGGGGAAGTGTACAAGATGTCTGTTTACCTGTAGCTGGCTTTGCAAGCTCACTGGTGTTTGAGGGGTCCAGCAGGGGGGGCAGAGTAGCGGCAACTGTCTCAGGGGGGAGTGGCACGTGTGGGGGACAAACAATATCATCTTCATCTCCAAAAGATGGCACAAAATTAAAGTTTGGTGGCAGAGGCTTTCCTAGTGGTTTTGATTTCCTCTCTGAAGACAAGAAAAATATGGCAATGTGTCAAGTTTGGCAAAAACAACCCTGGTCACAACAATGATAAAGTTCTTAATCTGATGACTTGGAAGTAGGTGAGGTGAAATTGGGTTTAACATCGTGTTCAAGATTACTGCACTTAAATAGCGACGTGCATGCACGTGTATGTGTGTGGCTGTTTGTACTAGTCCGGACTGATGCCGGTTTATAGTGCTAGCTCACTGAGATACCATGCCGCAGTTTAACATGAATACCCCACTCAGACACAGTATACTGACTCCGGGCCGACCAGTCCTTGTTTTAGCCCCTTTATGCCGATCCCCAGACAGGGAAACAACAAGAAGCATCTTTTAACGTCTTTTGGTATGACGTGGCCTGGGATCGAACTCCAGACCTTCCGCTCTACGGGCGGACGCACTACCACAAGACGACATGGAAGCAATAGTCTGAGCCAACAAGTTCTGAATTAACTCAACAAACTTTGTTCTTGGCATCAGCTTCCGTACATGGACCTGTTTATCCTGACCGGATCCATTAGTTACTGATCAGCGCATACTGCTTAATGACATAGTCATCAACATTACATCACCATGGTGATAAAAGTGGTTGACAGTGTGAGCAGGAAGCCAATGCTGTTTGTTTGTTTGTTTGTTGTTTAACGCCGCACTGAGCAATATTCCAGCTATATGTCGACAGTCTGTAAGCAATCGAGTCTGGACCGGACAATCCAGTGATTGACATCATAAGCATCGATCCACGCAATTTAATTGGGATAAGATGACATGCATCAACCAAGTCAGCCAGTCTTCTACCCGATCCTGTTAGTCACCTCTTACAACAAGCATTGTCACCTCTTATGACAAGAACAGTGAAGACCTACTCTACCCCAGATCTTCACGGGTACATGGGTTGCTGGAGACCTACTCTACCCTGATCTTCACGGGTACATGGGTTGCTGAAGACCTACTCTACCCCGATCTTCACGGGTACATGGGTTGCTGAAGACCTACTCTACCCCGATCTTCACGGGTACATGGGTTGCTGGAGACCTACTCTACCCCGATCTTCACGGGTACATGGGTTGCTGGAGACCTACTCTACCCCGATCTTCACGGGTACATGGGTTCCTGGAGACCTACTCTACCCCGATCTTCACGGGTACATGGGTTCCTGGAGACCTACTCTACCCCGATCTTCACGGGTACATGGGTTCCTGGAGACCTACTCTACCCCGATCTTCACGGGTACATGGGTTGCTGGAGACCTACTCTACCCCGATCTTCACGGGTCTGGAAGCCAATGCAACCAAGTGACTCCCTGTTTGTGTAACAAGCACGGTGTAAAGACCACATACTCTGCCTCTAAATGCAGTGATAAATACAGTGATAGAGTGGCACCTACTCTTCCTGGGTCCCTTGTAAATCTGCGTCTTGCCTCTCTTCTTTTTCGGAATGGGTGGGGACGGAGCCAATACCTGTTCAGCTGGAAGATTCATCATGAGGTATCAGCATTATAGCAAATAGTCGTCACCGACATACATTAACATAGTTACATTGCTGTAACTTAATGACGACAAGTCAACACCTCAATTCCATCTGTCTAGTCAAGTCAACAGTGAGTTGTCTCCCCTGTGTATAGTGAGTTACTTTCATGTATATGAGTTACCTCGGGTGCTTAATGAGTTACCTCCCCTGTGTGAAGTGAGCTTCCTGCCCTGTGTTTAGAGCGTTACCTTCCCCGTGTTTAGAGTGTTACCTCCCCCGTGTTTAGAGTGTTACCTCCCCCGTGTTTAGAGCGTTACCTTCCCCGTGTTTGGAGCGTTACCTCCCAAGTGTTTAGAGTGTTACCTCCCCCGTGTTTAGAGCGTTACCTTCCCCGTGTTTAGAGCGTTACCTCCCCCATGTTTAGAGTGTTACCTCCCCCGTGTTTAGAGCGTTACCTCCCCCGTGTTTAAAGTGTTACCTCCCCCGTGTTTAGAGCATTACCTTCCCCATGTTTAGAGCGTTACCTTCCCCGTGTTTGGAGCGTTACCTCCCCCGTGTTTAGAGTGTTACCTCCCCCGTGTTTAGAGCGTTACCTCCCCCGAGTTTAGAGCGTTACCTTCCCCGTGTTTAGAGCGTTACCTCCCCGTGTTTAGAGCGTTACCTCCCCCGTGTTTAGAGCGTTACCTCCCCCGTGTTTAGAGCGTTACCTTCCCCGTGTTTGGAGCGTTACCTCCCCCGTGTTTAGAGCGTTACCTTCCCCATGTTTAGAGCGTTACCTTCCCCGTGTTTGGAGCGTTACCTCCCCGTGTTTACAGCGTTCCCTCCCCCGTGTTTACAGCGTTACCTCCCCCGTGTTTAGAGCGTTACCTCCCCTGTGTTTAGAGCATTACCTCCCCCGTGTTTAGAGCGTTACCTCCCCCGTGTTTAGAGCATTACCTTCCCCATGTTTAGAGCGTTACCTTCCCCGTGTTTGGAGCGTTACCTCCCCCGTGTTTAGAGTGTTACCTCCCCCGTGTTTAGAGCGTTACCTCCCCCGAGTTTAGAGCGTTACCTTCCCCGTGTTTAGAGCGTTACCTCCCCCGTGTTTAGAGCGTTACCTCCCCCGTGTTTAGAGCGTTACCTCCCCCGTGTTTAGAGCGTTACCTTCCCCGTGTTTGGAGCGTTACCTCCCCCGTGTTTAGAGCGTTACCTTCCCCATGTTTAGAGCATTACCTTCCCCGTGTTTGGAGCGTTACCTCCCCGTGTTTACAGCGTTCCCTCCCCCGTGTTTACAGCGTTACCTCCCCCGTGTTTAGAGCGTTACCTCCCCTGTGTTTAGAGCATTACCTCCCCCGTGTTTAGAGCGTTACCTTCCCCGTGTTTACAGCGTTACCTCCCCCGTGTTTAGAGCGTTACCTCCCCTGTGTTTACAGCGTTACCTCCCCTGTGTTTCGTGAGTTCAAGATCCATCCCAGTGTGTGAAACCTTCGTTACACTCTCAGTAACATCGCTGCCAGCCATTACAAGAATCTTGAAATTTGCCCTCTAACCCCAAATGTAGAAACATTTATATTTTTGTTTATGTCTTTGGGAATGCCATCATAGTGAATTTTGAAAAGGTCTACGACTGACCAGATTTCCCAGATGAATTTAACTTTTTGTTTGTTTAATCAGATTGGTTCAAGTTGCAGACTACGGAAAATCACACAACTTCCCCCTTACATTGTTACTATAACAATTACATGATAGTTGAAATGAAATAGAAATTCAAATTGACAAACCAAAAAAATAATTTAGCCGGAGTAAGAGTATTCGGTGTCACGGCAGTCATCACTTGTTAGTAAACATAACGGTCAGTTGTGAGTTGAACTCCAAGCCTGGTTGTGGCCACCTATCACAGTGGGGAGCTGTGACTGGTGGCAGCGATAGTATAGAGAGCTACAAAAGGGCTATTGCTGTGAGGAGCTTGTAGTGAGTTCTTTCCCAGTGTGTAGTGAGTTACCTCCCCCGTGTTTAGAGAGTTACCTCCCATGCTTTTAGTTGTCATGACTGAGTGTGGTGACAAATGACGACCTATTACCCACCTAAAGCCAGGAACAAGAACCATTCCATGATGTCTGTAATTAACCAAGTCTGGACCAGACCAACCCATTGTCTTTGATGATGTGCCATTGCACAGGGTATACAGACTGACTTCGTTGAAGGCAGACTAATACTGAGAAGTCATAATCAATTTGTGACACCATGTACAATGAATGACATCAGATTGGGTTTTTTTCTTAATGAAGCACTGACTGTCATGTCACATGGCTTCAACTGACAAATCATCATTGTGAATCACAAAATTTCTCTTTAAAATTTGGTTAATTTCCTAATTATACACAAACTGTCATCAGCACCCTCAGGTTATTTTCCTGAAATTTCATTGTTTCATACCCAAACTAACATTGCATTCTGTGGGCAAAATACAAACACAAGGCTGCTTACTTTTGATGCGGGGTCCTTCCAGAGGGTAGCTCATGATCTCGCACCACCCAACGGGGTACAGGTCCGGAGTCTGGGCGTCCACCCACTGGTCATAGTCATTCTCCCAACCATCAAAATGGATCTTCATCAGACGGCCAACCACCTTCGTCACCGTGGCAACACAGATCAGCCTACACACATCAACATGGAGTGAATGAATGACCACACAACTGTCACCCCTAGGTTCTTGTTAAACAAGACAGACACAGGCACTCTCCTACCCAGAGTTCCATGCGGCCGGCAGCCAGCTAGCATAGTACCTCTGCCACAGGCCAGCGCCATGTGACGATTCGTCACATCTTTCACAGTCCATTCAAGATATTGCATATGCTTTTCATCCGTTTCATGTTTGACAAGTCTACACATTTTCATAAACAAATGTCAAAGAATCATTAACTTTCATTGAGAAAGTATGCAAATACGTAAAAATCTACTTGTTTTTGCGTAGTTATCCTATGTTTACATTGGTTGTACGGCTCCACGTGCTGTCATCGAAGCCCAACGGAGAGCTAGCGACACGGTCACTTTGATGCATAAATATGGGTTTTTCAGATTAAAAATGATGTTTTATTGGTCTGTTTTCAGTCGTACAATTGGGTATCTCATACCTCTAGTCGCACGTTAAAAGGAAGCTAGAAGCTGGAATGTAAACAATAAACTTGTTTCCGTCCGGTTGCGCACGCACCTCCCGATGACATGCCACAAATCTCGAAGAATAAGCCATCAAGCAGGACTGGACTGGATTACTTCCCAGTGGGGATGGCTGGTTGGGAACGTACGACTGAAAACAGACCAATAAAACATCGTTTTTAATCTGAAAAACCCATGTTTTAGTCTGTTTTCAGTCGTACAATTGGGTAGAATTCGACGGAACACTGGAAGGAGGGTCTGGAAAGTAATCCGGAAGTGACCTCTTGCACGTCGAATGTACCAAGTTCCTCACCCCCGTAGTGACAATAGAACATTCGACCAGATGCACGGACGAGACAAATTGTTTATCACGAACGCACAACATGGTTAATGCTCATCGACACACAACTAATTATCGATGCGACAGGACAACTGCACGCGTCAGTTGAACGGCGATCGAAGTGGTCGACGTATAGTTTAGTTACAGAGCAACTCGCAGTATACAAGGTAACTAAACAGCATCTTTAATGCTCTTCGACCCACAAGTAAGTATCGATGCGACAAGGCAACTGCACACGACAGTTGAATTGCAATCGAAGTGTGGACGGCATATAATTTAGTTTCAGAACGACTCGTCGTATCCAAGGTAACTAAAACTGCATGTTTAATGCTCTTCGACCCACAAGTAAGTATCGATGCGACAGGACAACTGCACACGTCAGTTGAGGTGCGATCGAAACGTGGTCGGCTTATAATGTAGTTACAGAACGACTCGTCGTAGGCAAGGTAACTAAAACAGCATGTTTAATGCTCTTCGACACACTACTAATTATCGATGCGACAGGACAACTGCACGCGTCAGTTGAACTGCGATCGAAGCGGTCGACGTATAGTTTAGTTACAGAGCAACTCGCAGTATACAAGGTAACTAAAACAGCATGTTTAATGCTCTTCGACCCACAAGTAACTATCGAAGCGACAGGACAACTGCACACGACAGTTGAATAGCGATCGAAGTGTGGACGGTATATAAAGTGGTTCAGAACGACTCGTCGTATCCAAGGTAACGAAAAATAGCATGGTTAAGGCTCTTCGACACACAACAAATTATCGATGCGACATGACAACTGCACACGTCAGATGAATTGCGATCGAAGTGTGGTCGGCGCATAATTTAGTTACAGAGCAACTCGCAGTATACAAGGTAACTAAAACAGCATGTTTAATGCTCTTCGACCCACAAGTAACTATCGAAGCGACAGGACAACTGCACACGACAGTTGAATTGCGATCGAAGTGTGGACGGTATATAAAGTGGTTCAGGACGACTCGTCGTATCCAAGGTAACGAAAAATAGCATGGTTAATGCTCTTCGACACACAACAAATTATCGATGCGACATGACAACTGCACACGACAGATGAAATGCGATCGAAGTGTGGTCGGCGCATAATTTATTTACAGAGCAACTCGCAGTATACAAGGTAACTAAAAAATACGAGCAGTACTTCTAGTCGGAGACAATGTCGAAGGCGACCTGATCGAGAGGCTCGTAAGTCTAACTAGACAGGTAGCGCAGAACGATATCGAGGTCCCAGGCCGGCAGGCGGAATTAATGTGACTCATCTTCAACCATGAAGGCACGTAGAATTTTCTGCAATTCCGGTATTTTAGTGATCCTGTCGCCCGTAGGAGACGGCTCGTCTAGGTATAAGGCGACCCTGATAGCCTGCCGACGGAGCCATTCTACGACCGTCTTCATGATCCGTGTGATGAAGTCTTCCCCCTACCGGTAGCTCGTCTAAAGGTAGTAGGCTCCGACGACGGTGACGGCGGGGAAAAGGGACCTCATAACCTCCCCCGCCGGCTCGCTGTCGACAGCATAGCAAGCGGTTGTAGCTGGAGACGAACAGCAGTGTCCATGGAACCCCAATGCCTGTCTACTACAAGAATCTTGGAGGGCTCTGGTTTCTTGAAGAGTAGCCCCCAATCCAAGTCCCTACTCATGGGTGACGAAAACGGCATGCCATAGATCGGGTAACGCGATCGAACAGGTGGTTTGCTGAAACTCTGCCCCGGCAGAGCAGAGGCAAGTTCTGGTCCATATCGTGAACCATGGCTCTGAAGACATTGGGAGGAGAAGACTGAAGAGACTGCGGCGTATCTCGGCGGCGAAGAGACTGGTCGATGGTCCATGGACCTCTGACGTAGTCGAATCCTTCTTGGTCGACGCCCTGGAGGTGAGTACCGCCGTCGTGATCTGGGCTATCAAAGCTGGGGCGATATGAAAGTGAGACGAGGGTGTCGATCGGTCATTATCTCTACGACGCTGTCGTCACAATCCATCGTCGACATCGATTGTGTAGGCGTAGATGAAGGAACCGGTGTACAGGACGATTGTCCATGGACCTCCGACGTAGACGAACCCTTCTCGGTCGACGCCGTCAAGGCGAGTACCGCCGCCGTCATCTGGCCTATCAAAGCCGGGTCGATATGAAAGTGAGACGAGGGTCACGATCGATCATTATCTCTACGACGCTGTCGTCACAATCCATCGTCGACGTCGATTGTGTAGGCGTAGATGAAGGAACCGGTGTACAGGACGATGGTCCATGGACCTCCAACGTAGACGAACCCTTCTCGGTCGACGCCGTCAAGGCGAGTACCGCCGCCGTCATCTGGCCTATCAAAGCCGGGTCGATATGAAAGTGAGACGAGGGTCACGATCGATCATTATCTCTACGACGCTGATCTCCCAAAAACTCCCTTCGAAGGCGTCGCACGTCCCCGTGGGGGCGAGGGCTACGATCTCTAACTGTAGAAGTACTACGATCCCCATCGTAGTTATCGTCCGAATCGAACTCCCGACGACCTCGAAGGCGACGAACGTCCTTGTGTCGTTTACTGTCACTCGACGAGGCCCTCGACCTGTCGTCCCGTGAACGGGAACGACTTCTAGAGAGGGATCTGTGTTCACTGTCGACCCGCACGACGTTCCTATCGTCGTTGGTAGGACGAGAGACGGACCGACTGGGGACCGTAGTCCCCTCGTGGTCCTCGTCACCACCCGGTCCCGTCGTAACGGGGGTGGCTGAGTGACGCTCTCGATCAACCGATTGACGAAGATCAGTCGTGCGGGTAGTATCATCAGCAGGCGAACGGTCCCGTGTCTTGTCAAAAAACATAAGTTGACTGAGGCGGGTCTTTTTCAACTGATTTCTTGGGTGTGGCCGACGCGCCACCCCCAGGGCCAGATGTAGGGGGTGCAGAGTCCAAGGATCCACCCGATGACCTCCTCTGCCTGTAGCGCTGGTCAGTAGCCCGCTTCGCCAACGCACGAAGATACAAGTTAAAGTTGATAGAAGACAAATGCTCACATTCTTAACAACGTTTATTCCACGAACACGTTGAAAGCCCGTCCTTATTTATGCAGGAAGGACAATACTTGTGAGGATCTACTTTAGACAGTTGTCCTTGACACGAGGCACAAATGCCCGACATGTTGCCACGTGTATAATCAAGTGAAACACGTGTTGAACCCAAACAATGGATTACCAATGATTACATTCCAGGAGTCTACAGGTAAGACATAGTATTATTACTGTGTTAGAACAACAACTGTAGACACACGATACGGACTAGTAGAATACAAACTAGCAGTCTATCGCGAAAGTCCTTCTCGAGCGACCAGCTCAGAGGCGCGCTGAGAGATTTGTGGCATGTCATCGGGAGGTGCGTGCGCAACCGGACGGAAACAAGTTTATTGTTTACATTCCAGCTTCTAGCTTCCTTTTAACGTGCGACTAGAGGTATGAGATACCCAATTGTACGACTGAAAACAGACTAAAACATATATTGTCATGCAACTCACTGTCACAGTTGTAGTAGCATATCTATATAGTTATGCAAAACAATATGTAAAGCGCCCCCAAATGCTTGCATTAGTCCGTTCTATACTGATTTCTGAAAAAACGCGTTTGTTTACAAACAAGAGAAAAGTCCGGTCACGTGATATGCAAATTAGCCTGTGGCAGTGGTGTTATGCTGAGTCACCACTGCGACGGAGTGTGAGACACAGGTTCTTCATATACACCTCCTGCACGCATGTTGCCACTCAACTGCCAGCCTAACGCAAACCAAAATGGCTGCCGTAAAGTCATTCCCAAAGCAGAGAGAGCAGTTTCGTATTCAAGGTTTTGTATCCACATATTAAGACCTGTTACCAGCAGTACTGGACCTTTGTGTACAAATGGGAAGATGAGCAGAGCTGATGTCGCTGATGTCGCTGATGATTTTGTCTGTTTCTTTATGCTGCAGTCAGCAATATTCACGAAATATCATGGCGACCTCTACATACTCAGGAGGCTGTTCAGTAGACTGACAGTATTAAAGCAGCTAGTTACATTGTCAAGACTTGAATGCATTTCCCACAGTAAACTTACAACTACCAATCAATCAAGGAAGTTGTCTGACAGATCGAAGTCCTACCTTGGCTCCATCAAGTCCACAGCCTCCACCTTCATTCCTGGTTTGAATCCATGTTTTGGAATTTCCTATCAAACAGATTGTCTTGTGTTACTTACTTAATCATGAACTACATCCTCATGTTAACTGCAACCTTTCAGGAATAGCTAGCTCAGCTGTGAAAATAGTCAACAATCTCCCAACTGAGGGTTGTGTTTCTGGGTGACTACTCATAATATCAATCTCCATAAGGATGCACAATCATCATGTCTCACTGGGATATGTTGGCTTTCACCACAGAGACAAACACTGCCAACACAGCTCGTCAAACAGTTCACCGATGACAGACACACGCTGTCAAACAGTTAACCTATGATGGACACACACTGTCAAACAGTTCACCTATGACAGAAACTCACTGTCAAACAGTTCACCTACGACAGACACACACTGTCAAACAGTTCACCGATGACAGACACACGCTGCAAAAACGCCTTGTCAAACAGTTCACCTGTGACAGACACACACTGTCAAACAGTTCACCTATGATGGACACACACTGTCAAACAGTTCACCTACGACAGACACACACTATAATCAGTTCACCTATGACAGAAACTCACTGTCAAACAGTTCACCTACGACAGACACACACTGTCAAACAGTTCACCTATGAATGACACATACTGCTAACTCTCCTTGTCAAACAGTTCACCTGTGACAGACACACACTGTCAAACAGTTCACCTACGACAGACACACACTATAATCAGTTCACCTATGACAGACACACACTGTCAAACAGTTCACCTATGACAGACACACACTGTCAAACAGTTCACCTATGAATGACACATACTGCTAACTCTCCTTGTCAAACAGTTCACCTATGATGGACACACACTGTCAAACAGTTCACCTAAGACAGACACACACTGTCAACTTACCTTGTCAAACAGTTTCACTGGGGCTGCCACAGCTTTTGTGTGTTTCAAGTAGTCAAACCACTTGAAGGGGCCTTTATGACCTGAAACAGTGAAACACGATACTTCAGGACTCGTACAAACATGGAAGACAAGGGAGAATACTCTAGTGAGTCAGTATGATCATACGCCGCTTTGAGCAATATTCCAGCAATATCAAAGCGGTGGACACCAGAAATGGGCTTCACGCCTTGTACCTGTGTTGGGAATCGAACCCGAGATTTTGGCGTGATGAGTAAAGGCTTTAATCACTATGCTACCCGACCGCCCCAGAGATAACTCTAGCGCACGAAAAGTGAGAGGAGTGCATCAGAGAACAGTATTTACATTACAACATGTCTACTTGATGTGGGAAGTCAGTGAAGAGTGATGAAGGTTGTTCACCACTTGGTGCAACCCAAACATGGATTGAGTTGAATTGAGGTTTGATGCGTTACTTGACACAGGAATACACATGGTAGGAAGTGCACTGATCTACCTCTGGGTGGGGTCAACTGAAGGCCATTGATTTCACAGAAGCCAACAGGGAAGATACACGGCGAGGAGGCATGGTAGCAGAACCAGTCGGTTCCGTTCTGGGCGATAGAACCGTCGATTCCAATCATCAAGAAGTTATTCCGTAGACACTGAGAAGAACAAACCAAACTCTCTACTCAACAGCCAGTTATGATCCTGTCATATGTTTTAATAAGAAATATAACAAGTATTGATTGTGTTAGTTTACTGAAGACCATTTACGAGTTAAATACCAAATGATGCACAGACAATCATATTTGTTGGGTTGAAATGTTTTGTAGTTTGAAATAACATTCACCAACCAACAATCAAATTCAAATAATTGTGAATTTTACAATAAATTGTAATTTGACATATGATGCTTTGGAATCTTCTGTATTTATCAAGTATAAATGACCTACCTTCATGACAGTAGCAACACAGATGGTGGAGAGGTTTAGTGGATCGATGGCTTCCAGCTTCATCCCTGCCTGGAACTTCAACCCATGAGGAGGTTCACTCGTCTGAAACATCACAAACATTCAGGTGAACGATCGCCTGAAACATCACAAACATTCATGTGAACGATCGCCTGAAACATCACAAACATTCATGTGAACGATCGCCTGAAACATCACAAACATTCAGGTGAACGATCGTCTGAAACATCACAAACATTCATGTGAACGATCGCCTGAAACATCACAAACATTCATGTGAACGATCGCCTGAAACATCACAAACATTCATGTGAACGATCGCCTGAAACATCACAAACATTCATGTTAACGATTGCCTGAAACATCACAAACATTCATGTGAACGATCGCCTGAAACATCACAAACATTCATGTGAACGATCGCCTGAAACATCACAAACATTCATGTGAACGATTGCCTGAAACATCACAAACATTCATGTTAACGATTGCCTGAAACATAGCAAACATTCATATGAACATTCACCTGAAACATAGCAAACATTCATGTAAACGATCGCCTGAAACATTGCAAACATTCATGTGAACATTCACCTGAAACATAGCACACATTCTTGTGAACGATTGCCTGAAACATAGCAAACATTCATGTGAACATTCACCTGAAACATAGCACACATTCATGTGAACGATCGCCTGAAACATCACAAACATTCACATAAATACTCTTCTGAAACATAGCAAACATTCATGTGAACATTCACATGAAACATAGCAAACATTCATGTGAACATTCACCTGAAACATAGCACACATTCATGTGAACGATCGCCTGAAACATCACAAACATTCACATAAATACTCTTCTGAAACATAGCAAACATTCATGTGAACATTCACATGAAACATAGCAAACATTCATGTGAACATTCACCTGAAACATAGCACACATTCATGTGAACGATCGCCTGAAACATCACAAACATTCACATAAATACTCTTCTGAAACATTGCAAACATTCATGTGAATACTCGTTTGAAACATCACAGGCATTCACATGAAAACTCATTTGAAACATCACAGATATTCACGTGAATATTCATCTGAAACATCACAAACATTCAAGTGAACAACGCCTCATCCAACGCTTTCAAGGAAACACATATGACAAGACAATTCTGGCCACAATACTCCTGTTAGAAATATATGGAGGACTAGGGTCTGTTATGTTTATGCCATGTTAAATATTGAGAGGGCTAATAAGTCATTTAAATATTTACACCTGGGTTTTGATAACAACCCCTTCTCTCTCCTTCCTAATTTGGATGCACAATGGTTGCATCAGACGTTGAACCAAGACAAAACTCTCAAATGTGGCTGCTCACCTTCGGAAACATGTCGGGCATGGAGTCATCTGGGTCGAACTTCTGCATCGTTATCTTGGTCAAACACTGGGCCTTGTATTCTGAAACCAATTCACAACCTGTAAACTCACCACTAATACAACTTACAAATAGACCCGTGAAGATCCGGGGTAGAATAGGTATTCAGCAACCCATGCCTTAAAAGCGACTATGCTTGTCGTAAGAGGCGACTAACGGGATCAGGTGGTCAGGCTCGCTGAGTTGGTTCATGCATGTCTTCGTATCCCAATTGCATGGATCAATGCTCATGATGTCAATGACTGGATTGTCTGGTCCTGACTCGATTATTTACGGACCGCTGTCATACAGCTTGAATATTGCTGGGTGCGGCGTTAAACAAACAAACTTACCAAAAAACTTGAATGGACATGTTCAAGTCAGCGGAAAGATGGGAAAGTATTTGCTGCATTACAATACTAACATGCAGGAGACAAAGAATGTTTTAACAAAGCCGTGAAATGAAATTATCTATAAAAAAAATGATCTTGGAATTTCACATAATTTGTCAATGATTTCCCCAATACTGACATTACCAGGTCCTCTACAGGTCACAGGGTAATGGAATACTGACCCGGAGTGGCGTGAAGCTTGTGTCCGGCTCGCTGGGCCCACCCGACATGGTGGATGAGAGGAGACTTCATGTCACACCAGAACTCATCGTTCTCATCCTGGACAACACAACCACAGATGCAGATCATCATCATCATCATCATCATCATCATCATTTTTATTATTATACCACAGGTTTCCAGGTACTACTATCTGCTCAAATGCAGTTTTATTTGTTCCCCAATCAGTGGATCCGTTTGCATTCCAGTTATCATTCTCAACTCCTTGGGGATCATACAACCCAAGCTGCCTAAGGGCACTAGAAGGTTTTTACATCCACCTCACATATCGGGTATTCATTTCCTAACTTGGCATTGAACTAAACCCAGTCACTTGCCCAGGGTGACACCACAAGTTTTGACACTTGGGTTTCAGGTGTATGTACGTATTCATGTTTTCACCATCTGGTCATCTACAATCGGACGAGTGGGTTGTTTTGAGTGCACAGGGTGTATGTACTGTACACTAGGGGTAGTGACAACACTGTAAAGACCTGTGAACATTGTTGGTCCCAAGGCTGAATAACAACCCCGTCACTAGCGGGATATGATCTCAGCACCTGGCGCGTGCAGGCCTGGCTCTTTTGACCGCCTTCCCACTACACTTCAACACAGTATCACTGATATTCAGGAAAATTCAACTGATTGTACAGATTAGACAATATGATCTCTCATATTTTGGGCTTGAAGATTTTTCATACAGATGTCAAAATCAGTTAAGACTGCATTGATAATGCTAACATAAACTAACATCCCAGTTAAGTTAAGTTGTTAAACAGAAACAAAAGTATGTGTTTGAGTCATCAACAGGAACATAACTGGAATGTGTTTAATCCCAGTCATAAAGGAGGTCTACACGCGAGTCCACTCACTCTCTTGTCCATGTAGGCCAGCCGAAGTCGCCCGCCGATCACTTCGTGCACGATGGCGACCCGCATGGCGGACACACACATCTTGTCGACCACCTCCACCTGGACTCCGCGGTGGAACCTGTGGTTCTCCATGCTCTCCAACACCTGGGGACAAACGTTGCCATGGTTACACTATATAACTAGCACATGGGGACAAAAGTTGCCATGGTTACACTATATCACCAGCACATGGGGACAAAAGTTGCCATGGTTACACTATATCACCAGCACATGGGGACAAACGTTACCATGGTGACGCAATTTCATTAGCCCATAAGCTTTTCACCAACTACCCCTATTTATTGCAGTATCACTTGATGACAAGAACAATCAATCGAAGACCTGGCAACACACTACTCATCAATACTATTTGGGATATGATGACACTATCAGCCAAGTCACATGGCAGGCAAGAGGTATTGCCCAGCCACAGTTCTGGACAGGACTTACCTTATTGTAGAAGTTATTGGGCAATGTCCTTGCTCCCGTCAATCTCTTCACCAGGAAATCTTTCCAGTCCAAATACTTGTGCTGAATTGCTGAGAAGGAAAGTGATTATTCACAGTTTTCTGTCTGAACAAGCGTAAGAGCCTTAATATCAGCATGACCAGTGGATTTCTTAGTATACTATATGTAGGTATTTTATAAAAATATCATTCAAAATATCATTCATACTTATCGACCTGTGAAGATCTGGGTAGAATAGGTTTTCAGCAACCCATGCTTGCCGTAAAAGGCAACTATGTTTGTCGTAAAAGGCGACTAACAGGATCAGGTGATCAGGCTCGCTGTCTTAGTTCATGTATGTCATCGCATCCCAATAGGGTGGATCGATGCTCATGATGTCAATCGCTGGATTGCCTGGTCCAGACTTGATTATTTACAGACCGCCGTCATATAGCTGGAATATTGCTGAGTGCGGCGTTTAACAACAAACAAACAAAACATTCATCCTTATCCTGAGTGACCAGGGGCACATTTTGAACAAAGTCACTTGCCTCAGGAGACACAACATGTGCTACGTGTGCTTCAGTGTGGGGAAGGACTGAAGCCCTAGAAACTCTCAGGAACCAAGCTGGTCATCCATTAGCTACTCTTCAAGACCGAAGTTGATTAACTTCACCTGATTTGAGACCGATGCTCTGTGCATAGGACCATGTGCTGCCACAATAATGCTGGCGTGATAGTGCTACCTCACTAGGATACCACGCCGCAGTTGAACACTCAAAGTATACAGACCGTGAGACGACCAGTAATTGTTTTACCTCTTTAATGACAAAACAAGTACCATGTCTTAAGGTCTTCCTAGCACCATCAACATTGCCTACTTACTCTTGGGGGGGACGAGCGGCTTTCCCACGGTGGCACACCACCCCACTGGGTGCACGTCCTGGGTGCACAGATTCAGCCAGAAGTCCTTGGAGGCGTCGCTGCTGAAGCCCTCGTACCTCATCAGTGCCTTGTACCCTGGCAACAGACACAGCGGTTGATGACGATGGGGACTAAGTAGATGACGGGGGGGCCTACATCAATGACAGTGGTAGCTACGTTAATGACGGTGGGACCTACATTCTATCCTGATGACAGGTGAACCTACCTTCTATCTTCATAACGATGGGAGCTACGTTATATCTTGAAGACGGGGGAACCTACCTTGACGGGGGAACCTACCTTGAAGGGACACCTACCTTGACGGGGGACCTACCTTGACGGGGGACCTACCTTGACGGGGGACCTACCTTGACAGGGGGGACCTACCTTGACGGGGAACCTACCTGCTATCTTGATGACGGTTGCTATCCAGTAGACCTCCCGGGCCACATCGTTGTCGCTGTTGGCGACCTCCACCTTCATCCCCACTGTCATCTGATCCCAGCAGTCAGACATCGGCACCTGCAAAACACAAGACGAGACAAATGTAAGACAGTTATTTTCAATAGTGAAACAAATTGAGCTTAAACTTTATTCACTGTTTTATGTGTGGCCAAATACCACCATACAACTGATGATGGCCGTGGTGCTACTCACATGTTTGAAGCAGCTGACGGGGGCGGCCTGGGAACCCGTAGAGACGAGGTACGGACCCCAGTCAAATACTCTGAAGGAATCTGTTAGACAAGAAAAACAAACTTTAAACCAAACATGAATGAGTCACATCTTACTGCATTAGTTATCTGTGCTACAAATGCACCAGTCGTTACAATGTTTTATAGGATGTGATCTTTGAAATTGTGATTTTTTTTCTAGTACAGCCATCATGTTCACTCACCGAATCTTGTGGTAGACTTTTGAGAATGTCCCATGCTTTGCTTAGAATGTTTCTTGGGCGTCTGCCGTCCCTTGCTCTAAAAAAGGAGTTGTATACAAGATGAATATGATTATTTGGACAGAAATATATAATATTGTAGAAACAACATTTTTGGCAACACAGATGGCTACACTGAGTAGTATCAAGCAGCTCTAAAAGAAAATGAGTGACTGAGGTTTTACACTGCGATAGCAAAACAGAGCTCTGAAAGGGAGACTCTACCCACTCCACTACCTGCCAGCAAGGTCCTGTGTGAGACACTCTACCCACTCCACTACCTGCCAGCAAGGTCCTGTGTGAGACGCTCTACCCACTCCACTACCTGCCAGCAAGGTCCTGTGTGAGACACTCTACCCACCCCACAACCTACCAGCAAGGACCTGTGTGAGACACTCTACCCACCCCACAACCTGCCAGCAAGGTCCTGTGTGAGACACTCTACCCACTCCACTACCTGCCAGCGAGGACCTGTGTGAGACACTCTACCCACCCCACTACCTGCCAGCTAGGACCTGTGTGAGACACTCTACCCACTCCACTACCTGCCAGCAAGGTCCTGTGTGAGACACTCTACCCACCCCACTACCTGCCAGCAAGGTCCTGTGTGAGACACTCCACTACCTGCCAGCTAGGACCTGTGTGAGACACTCTACCCACTCCACTACCTGCCAGCAAGGTCCTGTGTGAGACACTCTACCCACTCCACTACCTGCCAGCAAGGTCCTGTGTGAGACACTCTACCCACTCCACTACCTGCCAGCGAGGACCTGTGTGAGACACTCTACCCACCCCAATACCTGCCAGCAAGGACCTGTGTGAGACACTCTACCCACCCCACAACCTGCCAGCAAGGACCTGTGTGAGACACTCTACCCACCCCACTACCTGCCAGCAAGGTCCTGTGTGAGACACTCTACCCACTCCACTACCTGCCAGCGAGGACCTGTGTGAGACACTCTACCCACTCCACTACCTGCCAGCAAGGTCCTGTGTGAGACACTCTACCCACCCCACTACCTGCCAGCGAGGACCTGTGTGAGACACTCTACCCACCCCACAACCTGCCAGCAAGGACCTGTGTGAGACACTCTACCCACCCCACTACCTGCCAGCAAGGTCCTGTGTGAGACACTCTACCCACCCCACAACCTACCAGCAAGGACCTGTGTGAGACACTCTACCCACCCCACAACCTGCCAGCAAGGTCCTGTGTGAGACACTCTACCCACTCCACTACCTGCCAGCGAGGACCTGTGTGAGACACTCTACCCACCCCACAACCTGCCAGCGAGGACCTGTGTGAGACACTCTACCCACCCCACTACCTGCCAGCGAGGACCTGTGTGAGACACTCTACCCACCCCACTACCTGCCAGCAAGGTCCTGTGTGATACGCTCTACCCACCCCACTACCTGCCAGCCAGGACCTGTGTGAGACACTCTACCCACTCCACTACCTGCCAGCAAGGACCTGTGTGAGACACTCTACCCACCCCACTACCTGCCAGCTAGGACCTGTGTGAGACACTCTACCCACTCCACTACCTGCCAGCAAGGTCCTGTGTGAGACGCTCTACCCACCCCACTACCTGCCAGCAAGGTCCTGTGTGAGACACTCCACTACCTGCCAGCTAGGACCTGTGTGAGACACTCTACCCACTCCACTACCTGCCAGCAAGGTCCTGTGTGAGACACTCTACCCACTCCACTACCTGCCAGCAAGGTCCTGTGTGAGACACTCTACCCACTCCACTACCTGCCAGCGAGGACCTGTGTGAGACACTCTACCCACCCCACTACCTGCCAGCAAGGACCTGTGTGAGACACTCTACCCACCCCACAACCTGCCAGCAAGGACCTGTGTGAGACACTCTACCCACCCCACTACCTGCCAGCAAGGTCCTGTGTGAGACACTCTACCCACTCCACTACCTGCCAGCGAGGACCTGTGTGAGACACTCTACCCGCTCCACTACCTGCCAGCAAGGTCCTGTGTGAGACACTCTACCCACCCCACTACCTGCCAGCGAGGACCTGTGTGAGACACTCTACCCACCCCACAACCTGCCAGCAAGGACCTGTGTGAGACACTCTACCCACCCCACTACCTGCCAGCAAGGTCCTGTGTGAGACACTCTACCCACTCCACTACCTGCCAGCAAGGTCCTGTGTGAGACACTCTACCCACTCCACTACCTGCCAGCGAGGACCTGTGTGAGACACTCTACCCACTCCACTACCTGCCAGCGAGGTCCTGTGTGAGACTCTCTACCCACCCCACTACCTGCCAGCAAGGTCCTGTGTGAGACACTCTACCCACCCCACTACCTGCCAGCGAGGACCTGTGTGAGACACTCTACCCACCCCACTACCTGCCAGCAAGGTCCTGTGTGAGACTCTCTACCCACCCCACTACCTGCCAGCAAGGTCCTGTGTGAGACACTCTACCAACTCCACTACCTGCCAGCGAGGACCTGTGTGAGACACTCTACCCACTCCACTACCTGCCAGCAAGGTCCTGTGTGAGACACTCTACCCACCCCACTACCTGCCAGCAAGGTCCTGTGTGAGACACTCTACCCACTCCACTACCTGCCAGCGAGGACCTGTGTGAGACACTCTACCCACTCCACTACCTGCCAGCAAGGACCTGTGTGAGACACTCTACCCACCCCACTACCTGCCAGCAAGGTCCTGTGTGAGACACTCTACCCACTCCACTACCTGCCAGCGAGGACCTGTGTGAGACACTCTACCCACCCCACAACCTGCCAGCGAGGACCTGTGTGAGACACTCTACCCACCCCACAACCTACCAGCAAGGACCTGTGTGAGACACTCTACCCACCCCACTACCTGCCAGCAAGGTCCTGTGTGAGACACTCTACCCACCCCACTACCTGCCAGCCAGGACCTGTGTGAGACGCTCTACCCACCCCACTACCTGCCAGCAAGGACCTGTGTGAGACACTCTACCCACCCCACTACCTACCAGCAAGGTCCGGTGTGAGACACTCCACCCACCCCACTACCTGCCAGCAAGGCCCTGTGTGAGACACTCTACCCACTCCACTACCTGCCAGCAAGGTCCTGTGTGAGACACTCCACTACCTGCCAGCAAGGTCCTGTGTGAGACTGTAGAACTGAAAGATACTCACTGCCAGTACATGGAGTTTCTTTGGTGGGGGCTCCTCCTTATAAGGTGGGGGTGACGGCTTGCCCTCTCTGCGGGCCGTGGCAAAGCTCCGAGAGCAGGACAAGCTACAGAATCTCTTGGACTTGGAGTAGAATGCATGTTTGATACCAACTGTGCCACACTTCTCACATGTTGCTGCAAACAAACAACAGAAATCACAGATCTACTAATCCAGGCCACAAACTAGCAAATGAATGAGTCAACACAAAATGACTCCAAAGGTAAATTTTGACAATGTCACTACTCTTTTCTGAATTTTACTTGTTTCGGACAAGTAGACTCCTTTGTACCTTGTCATGTTAAATACTAACATTTCCCTAGGGACTATCATCAACCCGTGAAGATCCGGGGTAGAATAAGTCTTCAGCAACCCATGCTTGCCATAAAAGGTGACGATGCTTGTCGTTTGAGGCTACTAACGGGAACAGGTGGCCTGGCTTGCTGACTTGGTTGATGCACGTCATTGATCCTAAATGCGCGGATCGATGCTCATGATGACAATCACTGGACTATCTGGTCCAGACTCGATTATTTACAGACAACCGTCATTTAGCTGGAATATTGCTGCGTGCGGCGTTAAACAACAAACCAACCAACCACGGAAGCATCATCATGTACTTGAGGTAACAACAACGTTTGATGTCCGTGCTCACCCATGCCATCCTTCCCGTTCATGAAGCGAAACTGTGTGGGTTTACTGAAGCCTGACTGTGGGAAGGTCTGAAAGGAGGAAAAGTAGTCCCCTTGATTCTCCTCATCCTCCTCCGAGCTCTCCCCACTTTCATTGTAGCTGTCGTAGCCATCATACAACACCAGTGTGTTCATGTAGTCATCGTCCACCTGCAAACAACAGTTGGACAGATACAACACTACATCAGTGAGTCAACAGTTGGACAAATACAACACTACATCAGTGAGTCAACAGTTGGACAGATACAACGCTACATCAGACAGTGAGTCAACAGTTGGACAAATACAACACTACATCAGTGAGTCAACAGTTGGACAGATACAACGCTACATCAGACAGTGAGTCAACAGTTGGACAAATACAACACTACATCAGTGAGTCAACAGTTGGACAGATACAACACTACATCAGTGAGTCAACAGTTGGACAGATACAACGCTACATCAGACAGTGAGTCAACAGTTGGACAAATACAACACTACATCAGTGAGTCAACAGTTGGACAGATACAACGCTACATCAGACAGTGAGTCAACAGTTGGACAAATACAACACTACATCAGACAGTGAGTCAACAGTTGGACAAATACAACACTACAACAGTGAGTCAACAGTTGGACAGATACAACACTACATCAGACAGTGAGTCAACAGTTGGACAGATACAACACTACATCAGTGAGTCAACAGTTGGACAAATACAACACTACAACAGTGAGTCAACAGTTGGACAGATACAACGCTACATCAGACAGTGAGTCAACAGTTGGACAAATACAACACTACATCAGTGAGTCAACAGTTGGACAGATACAACACTACATCAGTGAGTCAACAGTTGGACAGATACAACACTACATCGGTGAGTTAACAGTTGGACAGATACAACACTACAACAGTGAGTCAACAGTTGGACAGATACAACACTACAACAGTGAGTCAACAGTTGGACAGATACAACACTACATCAGTGTGTCAACAGTTGGACAGATACAACACTACAACAGTGAGTCAACAGTTGGACAGATACAACACTACAACGGTGAGTCAACAGTTGGACAGATACAACACTACAACAGTGAGTCAACAGTTGGACAGATACAACACTACATCAGACAGTGAGTCAACAGTTGGACAGATACAACACTACATCAGTGAGTCAACAGTTGGACAAATACAACACTACAACAGTGAGTCAACAGTTGGACAGATACAACACTACATCAGTGTGTCAACAGTTGGACAGATACAACACTGCATCAGTGAGTCAACAGTTGGACATACACAACACTACATCAGTGAGTCAACAGTTGGACAGATACAACACTACAACAGTGAGTCAACAGTTGGACAGATACAACACTACATCGGTGAGTCAACAGTTGGACAGATACAACACTACATCAGTGAGTCAACAGTTGGACAGATACAACACTACATCGGTGAGTTAACAGTTGGACAGATACAACACTACAACAGTGAGTCAACAGTTGGACAGATACAACACTACAACAGTGAGTCAACAGTTGGACAGATACAACACTACATCAGTGTGTCAACAGTTGGACAGATACAACACTACAACAGTGAGTCAACAGTTGGACAGATACAACACTACAACGGTGAGTCAACAGTTGGACAGATACAACACTACAACAGTGAGTCAACAGTTGGACAGATACAACACTACAACGGTGAGTCAACAGTTGGACAGATACAACACTACAACAGTGAGTCAACAGTTGGACAGATACAACACTACATCAGTGAGTCAACAGTTGGACAGATACAACACTATAACAGTGAGTCAACAGTTGGACAGATACAACACTACATCAGTGAGTCAACAGTTGGACAGATACAACACTATAACAGTGAGTCAACAGTTGGACAGATACAACACTACAACAGTGAGTCAACAGTTGGACAGATACAACACTACATCAGTGAGTCAACAGTTGGACAGATACAGCACTTTATCAGTGAGTCAACAGTTGGACAGATACAACACTACATCAGTGAGTCAACAGTTGGACAGATACAACACTATATCGGTGAGTCAACAGTTGGACAGATACAACACTACATCGGTGAGTTAACAGTTGGACAGATACAACACTACATCAGTGAGTCAACAGTTGGACAGATACAACACTACATCAGTGAGTCAACAGTTGGACAGATACAACACTACAACAGTGAGTCAACAGTTGGACAGATACAACACTACAACAGTGAGTCAACAGTTGGACAGATACAACACTATATCAGTGAGTCAACAGTTGGACAGATATACAACACTACATCAGTGTGTCAACAGTTGGACAAATACAACACTACATCAGTGAGTCAACAGTTGGACAGATACAACACTACATCAGTGAGTCAACAGTTGGACAGATACAACACTACAACAGTGAGTCAACAGTTGGACAGATATACAACACTACATCGGTGAGTCAACAGTTGGACAGATACAACACTACATCAGACAGTGAGTCAACAGTTGGACAGATACAACACTACATCGGTGAGTCAACAGTTGGACACATACAACACTACATCAGTGAGTCAACAGTTGGACAGATATAACACTATATCAGTGACTCAACAGTTGGACAGATACAACACTACAACAGTGCATCAACAGTTGGACAGATACAACACTATATCAGTGACTCAACAGTTGGACAGATACAACACTACATCGGTGAGTCAACAGTTGGACACATACAACACTACATCAGTGAGTCAACAGTTGGACAGATATAACACTATATCAGTGACTCAACAGTTGGACAGATACAACACTACAACAGTGCATCAACAGTTGGACAGATACAACACTATATCAGTGACTCAACAGTTGGACAGATACAACACTACATCGGTGAGTCAACAGTTGGACACATACAACACTACATCAGTGAGTCAACAGTTGGACAGATATAACACTATATCAGTGACTCAACAGATGGACAGATACAACACTACAACAGTGCATCAACAGTTGGACAGATACAACACTATATCAGTGACTCAACAGTTGGACAGATACAACACTACATCGGTGAGTCAACAGTTGGACACATACAACAATACATCAGTGAGTCAACAGTTGGACAGATATAACACCCAAACAGGGATTCAACAGTTGCAGAGACACGACACTACATCAGTGAGTCAACAGTTGGACATTTATATCATGACAACAAACAGTGACTTTACAGTTACACATTTAAATCACTACATTGCTTGCTACTTACCCCCATGGAAGTGTTATCATACACTGTGTCAGAGCGGACATCTCCTGATCCTATTGTATTCACATCATTCTTCTGATAAGCATCAATCATTGAGTCAACCTCATTCGGTTCCGTCAAATTTAACCCTCCCCAATCTGGATAAAAATACAATCAATAATTCATTAATCACATATATGAAAAAAGGAAAGCATAAGGCAGTTATATGCCATCAGTGTTTGTTACAACATTTCTACAACAATGATTGGTCTTGGAAAGGGGTATGAATAACCATTATGATCAGGCTGGTGTACAGCTAAAGTAATCTGATTGCTGTCTTGTGAAATGTATTTAGAACCAATATTATTACTTCCAAATCAACCTAGAAAGTAGGGCTCTTTACTTACTCTCTGTCATGTTTATAGAAGACTGGGTGAGTAAGGTTTTAATGCCACTTTTAACAAGATTCCAGCAATATCACAGCTGGGAACACCAGAAATGGGATTCACACTTTGTACCTATGTGGGGAATCGAACCCAGGTTTCGGCGTGACGAGTGAATGCTTTAACCACTATACTACCTGCTAACCGTTTACCGTTAGATAAAAGAACCGAGGCTGATGAGTGACTACATACCTGTATCCCCAGGATCCTGGAAAAGAAAACAGTACAAAAATTCACATTAAGGTTATCCCAACATAAATCACACATCAAGCCAAATATAAAGACATTCTGGTTGATCTTTCGCTTCAAGAACCACCTTTTTTTGGTTTTCATATCTAAAATTGTCTCCCTTGTCTTCCCATTACAGATCTACCTGTCACTAGTACCTGGGCTAGTTATGGCCAAGCTACACCAGCCGGCCATCATTGTGGCTCTTAACCAACATTTAAGACTACATTTATTCGTTCATAAATGTATTGAAAGTGAAAGTACATAAGACTTTGAGTGAAGTTGACTGAGGTACCTCTACGCTGCCCAGGTAACGAGCATCAACACTGCTAGTGCTAGTGTAACCTGATGTTCTGGACGACCTAATTAGGAGCTTTTTGACAGATCCACGTCTCTGCCCGCTGTATAAGAGGGAAGTATTTAACAAACACGCTGTCAATGTTTCTCAAGCATTGTCGATATAAGCAAGGATTAATAATTTGCTTTACTACTACAAAAAGTGTGTATTTTCATCGTAAATGGGTCACACAATTCGTGTGTTTTGACTGAGGCAAAACATAAACATTCAACCAGCTGCAAGCTTAAAACAGTTCGGCCTGCTTCAAATCGGAGCCTCGTGTATGACGACTGCTCAAAAATGTATGTCCGAGCGTTCTACCACAAGCTTTTACAGAATATAAACACATACCATCTTGCACACACATGTAAACTCGGTGACAGCTAATTAGTTCTTATGTAATGACACTTCAGTCTCTAAAACCATCGTCGTGGTGCCCAGATTTTCAGGGACAACAAAGGCCACCTCATTACGCCTGCGCACGTAAAATCTGCATAACATCCAAAATAAATTTCTATTGGTTGAATTTACGGAAACTGGCACAAATTCTCCGTGTAGTCCAATCATATTTGCTCTACTACATTATTTCGGACACATATAACCACGTGACAAAACCGGTGCGTGTATATAGTATTTAGCTATCTCATTGGTCAGCATGAACAATTTCAACCAATCAGCTCCACAAACCCAAATAGCGTCAGAAGAAATCCCCGACTCCTCATTACGCATGCCCATCATTGTAAACTTCCGACAGCATGGGTCACTGTAAACTTTGAGTGATTTAACAAGATTATCATCTTTGGTTGTGAATTGAAACTACATCGATCACCCACAAATAAGGTGACATTTTAAAGCTGGCATTTTGATTAACATGAATGTCCTTCGTGTCTAATTCATACATAAAACGTACACCGGTCGTACTGAATTTGACAGATTCTCCAGTCCTAGCTGTTGATAGTGTACGGTATATTTGACTGGACACTACACCAGCAAAAGAATGATTGAACACAAATATATCACAACAAAGAGCTACTTGCAGAAAGTTCATTAAAAAGATAAACTGCACAAATATACTGTAACAGAAAAGTTCCCCTTGCGTGAAGACACCCATCACAATGAATATGTTCGCCACTATTTTATCGTCGGATCATACGCTTCCGGACGCTATAACGGGGGTGTAGCATGTAAACACTTACTTTTGACAAGTCTACTGTGTAAGATAATGGTGATTAATCAATCAATATATTTTCTGTTGATCCTTTGATGGAGAGGAATTGTCCGTTGATTTACAAAAAAGTAAATCAACTGATCATTCCTCTTGCTGGGCTGCTAAGTGCATATTACATAAAACTCATTTCACCTCACTTCAAACATGGATTTAGATTAAATAATTACCCCAGACACAAGAAATGCCAAATGGGAACCTTTGTCAGGTAATCTGTGTCGTCAGAACCAATTTAAGAGCTTCAGGTGGTAAGACTCATAGACTTGGGGCATACTTGTAAAAACACTCAATTAGAAATAACTAAAAAATCAGTCAACTTTCGATGCAAAGCTTAACGAGCTTACCTACATGTGAAAACATTCAATTACAAGGTGAGGTGAAATGTGGTTTATTTGCATTCAAGTTTGTTGCACTAACATAGCAACGTGCATGCATATATGTGTGTGTGGCTGCTTGTACTAATCCGACCAAATGCTGATTTTACAGTGCTAGCCCACTGAAATACCATGCCGAAGCTTAACATGAATACCCCACTCAGACACAGTATACTCATTCAGAACCGTCCAATTCTTGTCTAGCCCCTTTATGCCAAGCGCCAGGCAGGGTAACAACAAGTACCATCTTTTGATGTCTTTTGGTATGACACGGCCAGGGAATCGAACCCATGACCTTCAGCTCCCTGGGCATATGCTATATCCACTAGACCACAGAGGTCAAATCAGTTGCGAACACAGTTACAATCGTTATTAAACAATAAACTACACTGCCATATAACGCTATTTATGGTTTATATTAATACTTTTTCATGTGGCTTTTATGACTAGGGTTAGTGGCCATTTTGACTTTTGGGCGTGGCCGTTTTGACCTGTTCCCACTGGGTGTTTGTCTCAGATGGGGTTACTATTAGGACGATGACCATTCAATCACACTGAAATCTGAAATAGTGAGAGAGTGAGTGAGTTTGGTTTTACGTGGCTTTTAGCAGTATTAAAAGTGTTAGATTGTACCAGCACAAAAGTGTCACTTGACATCATTTCCAGTGTGTTTTATTGTTAATATACAGACTTTCATTAGACGAGTGAAATTTTATTAGTCTGGGCTGTTGATTCTGAATTGTATTCAGCAAAGATGAGATGATCGTGTTTGTTGCAGCTTGCCACAACATGGCCACCTACTGGAAGTCAGTCCCACGCAAGTTCTGTGACTTCTGTAAATGCTGGATCACGGACAACAAGCCTGTAAGTACATGATGTTCTTAGACTGTGAGTGACCTATGCTGTGTGTACAGATCACATTCATGTTGAGCTCGACCCGTCCAGATCCGGGGTAGAATAGGTCTTCAGCAACCCATGCTTGCCGTAAAAGGTGACTATGCTTGTCGTAAGAGGCGACTAACAGGATCGGGTGGTAAGGCTCACTGACTTTGTTGATGCATGTCATCGTATCCCAATTGCGTGGATTGATGCTCATGATGTCAGTCACTGGATTGTCTGGTCCAGACTTGATTATTTACAGACCACTGTCACATTTCAAACAACAAACCAAAAACCAAAAATCATGTCCAGCTCTGTACCACCTGATGGTGACATGTGGAACAACTTCATGGTGTTGAGTTAAATAGTTAAAGAAGATTTGAGTCCGAGTCAGTTGTGATGAGGCGAACATGTAACATCACTTCAAACATCATGCTGTCTGTAGACACAGACTCTCTGATCATTATTGTTTGTTTCCAAATCTTGATAAGTAATATAGTAATATATATATACACGATGAGAAGACCATGTGGACATGGTCTGTTACTGATGATTCTCTCGTAGTCTGGAACCGTTGAAATTCCAGGTTAGAATTGGTACCCGGCAACCAATGCTGGTCAAAAGAGGTGATGGATAGTCATGCTCGGTGACTTGGTTGTTTTTGCTAAACATTAAACAAACAAAGCCTATAATGGTGTAGTCATAACTTCATATGGCAATCCATTTTTGGGTAATAAGCAGATTCTGACAAATGAAAAGTGAAAAAGAAAATATTTTGAAACACATTTTCTATTTGTGTTCCGCCGAAATACCGACATACCTGTTCATCAGAAATTTATATACAACATGACACCGTAACTCAAGCTGCACACATAATTAAAACAAAAGGATAATCAGAATTGTCTTTTATATTTTTATTTTCTTCACAAGCAGGGTTTTTCACAAAATGTCTCTGAACCAAGGAATAAAGTAGTCTGGCCTGTCGGTATTGACACAGAACATGTCGAATGTGCCATTAAAACCCATGTTATAAATTCAATAACTTGCCTTATGTTGATTATGTTCAGAAAATGTTCCTGACATCTTTTACATATTGTACCTGAATGGATTTCAGAGTGTTGATTTTCATGAAAAAGGGAAGAGGCATCAAGAAAATGTCAAGAAAAGAATCGAAGAGGTAAGTCATAAGTTATAGGAAAAAAACAAGCTTGGTTTGGAAATTTGAAAACTGACATTAATTCTCAGAGGCAATTACAGCCATCTAGTGTTCATTCCAAACACTGGTTACTCCCCAGGCAAGGCTTATGTAATCGATCTGCGTTTACCATTAAGTCCTTGTGAGAGGTTTTCATAAGCAATAATTAATACTGGTGTCATGTGAAAAAAGGAATTCCATTGTGACTTTAGATCACATGTTAGTTAAGTTCTTCCAGTCTCTGGATGTTGGTGGATGACTGTCTTTTAACATGGCCTTTTGTTTGTTGGTTTTGACAACTCTAAGAGAATCAGCATGGATGTTTCAGGTCAAGAAGAAAAGCATTGAGAAGGCCCAGCGAGAAGAAGAAATGGAGTCCGATCTGCAGAAGATGGAGAAGGTAAACATCAGACAAGATGCTATGTGACACCAATACTCCCCTCTCACCAGTACCCTGCTATGTTACACCAACACTCTCTTCTCACCAATACCCTGCTATGTTACACCGACCCTCCCCTTTCACCGATACCCTGCCATGTTACACCGACTCTCCCCTCTCACCAGTACCCTGCCATGTTACACCGATACTCCCCTCTCACCAATACCCTGCTATGTTACACCAACACTCCCCTCTCACCAATACCCTGCCATGTTACATCGACGCTCCCCTCTCACCAGTACCCTGCTATGTTACACCAATACTCCCCTCTCACCAATACCCTGCTATGTTACACCAACACTCCCCTCTCACTAATTTCCTGCTATGTGACACTGACACTCCCCTCTCACCAGTACCCTGCCATGTTACACCGACACTCCCCTCTCACCAGTACCCTGCTATGTTACACCAACACTCCCCTCTCACCAATACCCTGCTATGTTACACCAATACTCCCCTCTCACCAATACCCTGCCATGTTACACCGACGCTCCCCTCTCACCAGTACCCCGCTATGTTACACCAATACTCCCCTCTCACCAATACCCTGCCATGTTACACCGACGCTCCCCTCTCACCAGTACCCTGCCATGTTACACCAATACTCCCCTCTCACCAATACCCTGCCATGTTACACCGACGCTCCCCTCTCACCAGTACCCTGCCATGTTACACCGACGCTCCCCTCTCACCGATACCCTGCTATGTGACACTGACACTCCCCTCTCACCAATACCCTGCCATGTTACACCGACACTCCCCTCTCACCAGTACCCTGCCATGTTACACCAACACTCCCCTCTCACCAATACCCTGCCATATTACACAGACGCTCCCCTCTCACCAGTACCCTGCCATGTTACACCGACGCTCCCCTCTCACCAATACCCTGCTATGTGACACTGACACTCCCCTCTCACCAATACCCTGCCATGTTACACCGACACTCCCCTCTCACCAGTACCCTGCCATGTTACACCGACGCTCCCCTCTCACCAATACCCCGCCATGTTACGCCGATACTCCCCTCTCACCAGTACCCTGCCATGTTACACCGACACTCCCCTCTCACCAATACCCTGCCATGTTACACCGACACTCCCCTCTCACCAGTACCCTGCCATGTTACACCGACTCTCCCCTCTCACCAATACCCTGCCATGTTACACCGACACTCCCCTCTCACCAGTACCCTGCCATGTTACACGGACACTCCCCTCTCACCAGTTCCCTGCCATGTTACACCAACACTCCCCTCTCACCAGTACCCTGCTATGTTACACCGACACTCCCCTCTCACCAGTACCCTGCCATGTTACGCCGACACTCCCCTCTCACCAGTACCCCGCTATGTTACACCAACACTCCCCTCTCACCAGTACCCCGCTATGTTACACCAACGCTCCCCTCTCACCAGTACCCCGCTATGTTACACCAACACTCCCCTCTCACTAATACCCTGCCATGTTACACCGACACTCTCCTCTCACCAATACCCTGCTATGTTACACCGACTCTCCCCTCTCACCAATACCCTGCTATGTTACACCAACACTCTCCTCTCACCAATACCCTGCTATGTTACACCAACACTCCCCTCTCACAAATACCCTGCCATGTTACACCAACACTCTCCTCTCACCAATACCCTGCTATGTTACACCGACTCTCCCCTCTCACCAATACCCTGCTATGTTACACCAACACTCTCCTCTCACCAATACCCTGCTATGTTACACCAACACTCCCCTCTCACTAATACCCTGCCATGTTACACCAACACTCCCCTCTCACCAGTACCCTGCTATGTGACACCGACTCTCCCCTCTCACCAATACCCTGCTATGTTACACCAACACTCTCCTCTCACCAATACCCTGCTATGTTACACCGACTCTCCCCTTTCACCAATACCCTGCTATGTTACACCAACACTCTCCTCTCACCAATACCCTGCTATGTTACACCGACACTCCCCTCTCACCAGTACCCTGCTATGTTACACCGACTCTCCCCTCTCACCAATACCCTGCTATGTTACACCAACACTCTCCTCTCACCAATACCTTGCTATGTTACACCAACACTCCCCTCTCACCAGTACCCTGCTATGTTACACAGTGTGACCTGACCCACTGGGGCATCAACTCTACAATGCAGTAATCCTGTGACAAGTTTTGCTGATCATTAAAACAACCGTCTTCCCGAGGCAAGCGTGTCCACTAGCCTGTATCAAAGCATAGTTTCTACGTCTTCCCGAAGCAAGCGTGTTCACTAGCCTATCAAAGTGTAGTTTCTACGTCTTACTGAGGCAAGCGTGTTCACTAGCCTATATCAAAGCATAGTTTCTACGTCTTCCCGAGGCAAGCGTGTCCACTAGCCTATATCAAAGCGTAGTTTCTACGTCTTCCCGAAGCAAGCGTGTTCACTAGCCTATATCAAAGTGTAGTATCTACGTCTTCCCAAGGCAAGCGTGTCCACTAACCTATATCAATATGTAGTTTCTACGTCTTCCCGAGGCAAGCGTGTCCACTAGCTTATATCAAAGCCTAGTTTCTACGTCTTCCCAAGGCAAGCGTGACCACTAGCTTGTATCAAAGCCTAGTTTCTACGTCTTCCCGAGGCAAGCGTGTCCACTAGCCTATGTCAAAGCCTAGTTTCTACGTCTTCCCGAGGCAAGCGTGTCCACAAGCCTATGTCAAAGCCTAGCTTCTACGTCTTCCCGAGGCAAGCGTGTCCACTAGCCTATGTCAAAGCCTAGTTTCTACGTCTTCCCGAGGCAAGCGTGTCCACTAGCCTATATCAAAGCCTAGTTTCTACGTCTTCCCGAGGCAAGCGTGTCCACTAGCCTATGTCAAAGCCTAGTTTCTACGTCTTCCCGAGGCAAGCGTGTCCACTAGCCTATATCAAAGCCTAGTTTCTACGTCTTCCCGAGGCAAGCGTGTTCACAAGCCTATATCAAAGTGTAGTTTCTACGTCTTCCCGAGGCAAGCGTGTCCACAAGCCTATGTCAAAGCCTAGCTTCTACGTCTTCCCGAGGCAAGCATGTCCACTAGCCTATATCAAAGCCTAGTTTCTACGTCTTCCCGAGGCAAGCGTGTCCACTAGCCTATATCAAAGCCTAGTTTCTACGTCTTCCCGAGGCAAGCGTGTCCACTAGCCTATGTCAAAGCCTAGTTTCTACGTCTTCCCGAGGCAAGCGTGTCCACTAGCCTATATCAAAGCCTAGTTTCTACGTCTTCCCGAGGCAAGCGTGTTCACTAGCCTATATCAAAGTGTAGTTGCTACGTCTTCCCGAGGCAAGCGTGTCCACAAGCCTATGTCAAAGCCTAGCTTCTACGTCTTCCCGAGGCAAGCATGTCCACTAGCCTATGTCAAAGCCTAGTTTCTACGTCTTCCCGAGGCAAGCGTGTCCACTAGCCTATGTCAAAGCCTAGTTTCTACGTCTTCCCGAGGCAAGTGTGTCCACAAGCCTATGTCAAAGCCTAGCTTCTACGTCTTCCCGAGGCAAGCGTGTCCACTAGCCTATGTCAAAGCCTAGTTTCTACGTCTTCCCGAGGCAAGCGTGTCCACTAGCCTATATCAAAGCCTAGTTTCTACGTCTTCCCGAGGCAAGCGTGTCCACTAGCCTATGTCAAAGCCTAGTTTCTACGTCTTCCCGAGGCAAGCGTGTCCACTAGCCTATATCAAAGTGTAGTTTCTACGTCTTCCCGAGGCAAGCGTGTCCACAAGCCTATGTCAAAGCCTAGCTTCTACGTCTTCCCGAGGCAAGCATGTCCACTAGCCTATGTCAAAGCCTAGTTTCTACGTCTTCCCGAGGCAAGCGTGTCCACTAGCCTATATCAAAGCCTAGTTTCTACGTCTTCCCGAGGCAAGCGTGTCCACTAGCCTATGTCAAAGCGTAGTTTCTACGTCTTCCCGAGGCAAGCGTATCCACAAGCCTATGTCAAAGCCTAGCTTCTACGTCTTCCCGAGGCAAGCGTGTCCACTAGCTTGTATCAAAGCCTAGTTTCTACGTCTTCCCGAGGCAAGCGTGTCCACTAGCCTATGTCAAAGCCTAGCTTCTACGTCTTCCCGAGGCAAGCGTGTCCACTAGCTTGTATCAAAGCCTAGTTTCTACGTCTTCCCGAGGCAAGCGTGTTCACTAGCCTATATCAAAGTGTAGTTTCTACGTCTTCCCAAGGCATGCGTTTCCACAAGCCTATGTCAAAGCCTAGCTTCTACGTCTTCCCGAGGCAAGCATGTCCACTAGCCTATGTCAAAGCCTAGTTTCTACGTCTTCCCGAGGCAAGCGTGTCCACTAGCCTATATCAAAGCCTAGTTTCTACGTCTTCCCGAGGCAAGCGTGTCCACTAGCCTATGTCAAAGCCTAGTTTCTACGTCTTCCCGAGGCAAGCATGTCCACAAGCCTATGTCAAAGCCTAGGTTCTACGTCTTCCCGAGGCAAGCGTGTCCACTAGCCTATGTCAAAGCCTAGTTTCTACGTCTTCCCGAGGCAAGCGTGTCCACTAGCCTATATCAAAGCGTAGTTTCTACGTCTTCCCGAGGCAAGCGTGTTCACTAGCTTATATCAAAGCCTAGTTTCTACGTCTTCCCGAGGCAAGCGTGTCCACAAGCCTATGTCAAAGCCTAGCTTCTACGTCTTCCCGAGGCAAGCATGTCCACTAGCCTATGTCAAAGCCTAGTTTCTACGTCTTCCCGAGGCAAGCGTGTCCACTAGCCTATGTCAAAGCCTAGTTTCTACGTCTTCCCGAGGCAAGTGTGTCCACAAGCCTATGTCAAAGCCTAGCTTCTACGTCTTCCCGAGGCAAGCGTGTCCACTAGCCTATGTCAAAGCCTAGTTTCTACGTCTTCCCGAGGCAAGCGTGTCCACTAGCCTATATCAAAGCCTAGTTTCTACGTCTTCCCGAGGCAAGCGTGTCCACTAGCCTATGTCAAAGCCTAGTTTCTACGTCTTCCCGAGGCAAGCGTGTCCACTAGCCTATATCAAAGTGTAGTTTCTACGTCTTCCCGAGGCAAGCGTGTCCACAAGCCTATGTCAAAGCCTAGCTTCTACGTCTTCCCGAGGCAAGCATGTCCACTAGCCTATGTCAAAGCCTAGTTTCTACGTCTTCCCGAGGCAAGCGTGTCCACTAGCCTATATCAAAGCCTAGTTTCTACGTCTTCCCGAGGCAAGCGTGTCCACTAGCCTATGTCAAAGCGTAGTTTCTACGTCTTCCCGAGGCAAGCATATCCACAAGCCTATGTCAAAGCCTAGCTTCTACGTCTTCCCGAGGCAAGCGTGTCCACTAGCTTGTATCAAAGCCTAGTTTCTACGTCTTCCCGAGGCAAGCGTGTCCACTAGCCTATGTCAAAGCCTAGCTTCTACGTCTTCCCGAGGCAAGCGTGTCCACTAGCTTGTATCAAAGCCTAGTTTCTACGTCTTCCCGAGGCAAGCGTGTTCACTAGCCTATATCAAAGTGTAGTTTCTACGTCTTCCCGAGGCATGCGTTTCCACAAGCCTATGTCAAAGCCTAGCTTCTACGTCTTCCCGAGGCAAGCATGTCCACTAGCCTATGTCAAAGCCTAGTTTCTACGTCTTCCCGAGGCAAGCGTGTCCACTAGCCTATATCAAAGCCTAGTTTCTACGTCTTCCCGAGGCAAGCGTGTCCACTAGCCTATGTCAAAGCCTAGTTTCTACGTCTTCCCGAGGCAAGCATGTCCACAAGCCTATGTCAAAGCCTAGGTTCTACGTCTTCCCGAGGCAAGCGTGTCCACTAGCCTATGTCAAAGCCTAGTTTCTACGTCTTCCCGAGGCAAGCGTGTCCACTAGCCTATATCAAAGCGTAGTTTCTACGTCTTCCCGAGGCAAGCGTGTTCACTAGCTTATATCAAAGCCTAGTTTCTACGTCTTCCCAAGGCAAGCGTGACCACTAGCTTGTATCAAAGCCTAGTTTCTACGTCTTCCCGAGGCAAGCGTGTCCACTAGCCTATGTCAAAGCCTAGCTTCTACGTCTTCCCAAGGCAAGCGTGTCCACAAGCCTATGTCAAAGCCTAGCTTCTACGTCTTCCCGAGGCAAGCGTGTCCACTAGCCTATATCAAAGCCTAGTTTCTACGTCTTCCCGAGGCAAGCGTGTCCACTAGCCTATGTCAAAGCCTAGTTTCTACGTCTTCCCGAGGCAAGCGTGTCCACTAGCTTATATCAAAGCCTAGTTTCTACGTCTTCCCAAGGCAAGCGTGTCCACTAGCTTGTATCAAAGCCTAGTTTCTACGTCTTCCCGAGGCAAGCGTGTCCACTAGCCTATGTCAAAGCCTAGTTTCTACGTCTTCCCGAGGCAAGCGTGTCCACTAGCTTATATCAAAGCCTAGTTTCTACGTCTTCCCAAGGCAAGCGTGTCCACTAGCCTGTATCAAAGCCTAGTTTCTACGTCTTCCCAAGGCAAGCGTGTCCACTAGCCTATGTCAAAGCCTAGCTTCTACGTCTTCCCGAGGCAAGCGTGTCCACTAGCCTATATCAAAGCCTAGTTTCTACGTCTTCCCGAGGCAAGCGTGTCCACTAGCCTGTATCAAAGCCTAGTTTCTACGTCTTCCCAAGGCAAGCGTGTCCACTAGCCTATATCAAAGCCTAGTTTCCAAGTCTTCCCGAGGCAAGCGTGTCCACTAGCCTGTATCAAAGCCTAGTTTCTACACTTGCCACATCAAGGCCACTTTTCTTGCCTTGAACCTGGTGCCACCTCTCATAGTGCCCCTGGTAATGAAAATGCGATATCCAATCAGATCACTGTTCTTATCTTGTATAGCTTCACAAAGATGGTGACTACCATAGGCGGCGGCCTCGTCGATTAGATAATGAAAACATTCACAATTTTCTCCCTGACTCAAAAACATAGGCAATCATTTAGGGGTTTAAGAGATTGTAAAGATTTATTCGTGTCAACAATGACTGGCAGCGGTAAATCAAAATCATACAAATATTCACCAATCGTGGATGTTGATTTTGTGCAACCTTTTCTGATTGGACTATCGATATGTGGGATAGTCCAGTCATATTTAGCACAGGAAAGTGGGCTTGATGTGGCGAGGGTGTGAAACAAGATTTTGATAATAAGGCTACTGGACGCTCTTGCCTCTTGCCACCAAGAATGACGACATTCCTTTCATTTCAGGCAGCTTTAGAGGCATTCAAAAAAGATTTAGAAAATGATCCTGCATTAGCGGCCAAATATTTTGCTAAGGCAAAAGCTGCCAAAGGTGAGTATTGGGCAGGTACTCTTGCTGAAGTTTAACCATAATTACATATTGTACCGCCTCTTTGGTCTAGTGGTAGAGCGTCCAGCCGGAGAGCGGAAAGTCCGGGGTTCGATCCCCGGTCACGTCATACCAAAAGACGTTAAAAGATATTACTTGTTGTTACCCTGTCTGGTGCTCGGCATTAAGCTAAAACAAGGACTGGTCTGCTCGGAGTCAGTATAATGTGTCTGAGTGGGGTATTCATGTGAAACTGCGGCATGGTATCTCAGTGTGCTAGCACTATAAATCGGCATCAGTTCAGACTAGTACAAGCAGCCACACACACACACGTGCATGCACCTCACTTTATGAGTGCAATAATCTTGGACGCGACGTTAAACCCAATTTCACCTTACCTAATTACATATTAGATTAGATTAGATTAGAAAGTATTTGTCACAAAATTCAAAACCTGTAAATTATATTATATCTTTGTTTCTTGAAGCTGCAAAGTTAATAATGTCTTGATGTCATTGAGGCTGCCAAGTTAATTTTTTAAACTTATCCCATCTCACGCTATGCATTTCTCCTTCTTCTTTCTGTCTTGGTGTGGACATGCCCGAGAGATTCCTGCCACATCATTCTCTTTCTCATCACAACAGACACTGTGTGGTTATGTTGTCAGGCAGACAGTGTGTGGATATGTTGTCAGACAGACAGTGTGTGGTTATGTTGTCAGGCAGACAGTGTGTGGATATGTTGTCAGACAGATAGTGTGTGGACACTGGCTATGTTGTCAGACAGATAGTGTGTGGGCACTGGTTATGTTGTCAGACAGATAGTGTGTGGACACTGGTTATGTTGTCAGACAGATAGTGTGTGGACACTGGTTATGTTGTCAGGAAGATAGTGTGTGGTTATGTTGTCAGGAAGATAGTGTGTGGGCACTGGTTATGTTGTCAGGCAGATAATGTGTGAACACTGGTTATGTTGTCAGGAAAATAGTGTGTGGACACTGGTTATGTTGTCAGAAAGATAGTGTGTGGACACTGGTTATGTTGTCAGGAAGATAGTGTGTGGGCACTGGTTATGTTGTCAGGAAGATAGTGTGTGGTTATGTTGTCAGGAAGATAGTGTGTGGACACTGGTTGTGTTGTCAGGCAGATAGTATATTGGCACTTGTTATGATGTCAAGAAATTGTGTGTGGACACTGGTTATGATGTCAGGAAAATAGTGTGTGGACACTGGTTATGTTGTCAGGAAAATAGTGTGTTGACACTGGTTATGATGTCAGGAAGATAGTGTGGGGGCACTGGTTGTGTTGTCAGGCAGATAGTGTGTGGACACTGGTTATGTTGTCAGGCAGATAGTATATTGGCACTTGTTATGATGTCAAGAAATTGTGTGTGGACACTGGTTATGATGTCAGGAAAATAGTGTGTGGACACTGGTTATGTTGTCAGGAAAATAGTGTGTTGACACTGGTTATGATGTCAGGAAGATAGTGTGGGGGCACTGGTTGTGTTGTCAGGCAGATAGTGTGTGGACACTGGTTATGTTGTCAGGAAAATAGTGTGTTGACACTGGTTATGATGTCAGGAAGATAGTGTGTTGACACTGGTTGTGTTGTCAGGCAGATAGTGTGTTGACACTGGTTATGTTGTCAGGAAAATAGTGTGTGGACACTGGTTATGTTGTCAGGAAAATAGTGTGTTGACACTGGTTATGATGTCAGGAAAATAGTGTGAGGACACTGGTTGTGTTGTCAGGCAGATAGTGTGTGGACACTGGTTATGTTGTCAGACAGATAGTGTGTGGACACTGGTTATGTTGTCAGGGAGATAGTGTGTGGACACTGGTTGTGTTGTCAGGCAGATAGTATATTTGCACTTGTTATGATGTCAGGAAAATAGTGTATGGACACTGGTTATGTTGTCAGGCAGATAGTGTGTGGTTATGTTGTCAGGAAGATAGTGTGTGGACACTGGTTGTGTTGTCAGGCAGATAGTATATTGGCACTTGTTATGATGTCAGGAAAATAGTGTGTGGACACTGGTTATGTTGTCAGACAGATAGTATGTGGACACTGGTTATGTTGTCAGGAAGATAGTGTGGGCACTGGTTATGTTGTCAGGAAGATAGTGTGTGGACACTGGTTGTGTTGTCAGGCAGATAGTGTGTAGACACTGGTTATGTTGTCAGGCAGATAGTGTGTGGACACTGGTTATGTTGTCAGGAAGATAGTGTGTGGACACTGGTTGTGTTGTCAGGCAGATAGTATATTGGCACTTGTTATGATGTCAGGAAAATAGTATGTGGACACTGGTTATGTTGTCAGACAGATAATATGTGGACACTGGTTATGTTGTCAGGCAGATAGTGTGTGGGCACTGGTTATGTTGTCAGGAAGATAGTGTGTGGACATTGGTTGTGTTGTCAGGCAGATAGTATATTGGCACTTGTTATGATGTCAGGAAAATAGCGTGTGGACACTGGTTATGTTGTCAGACAGATAGTATGTGGACACTGGTTATGTTGTCAGGCAGATAGTGTGTGGACACTGGTTATGTTGTCAGGAAGATAGTGTGTGGGCACTGGTTATGTTGTCAGGAAGATAGTGTGTGGTTATGTTGTCAGGAAGATAGTGTGTGAACACTGGTTGTGTTGTCAGGCAGATAGTATATTAGCACTTGTTATGATGTCAAGAAATTGTGTGTGGACACTGGTTATGATGTCAGGAAAATAGTGTGTGGACACTGGTTATGTTGTCAGGAAGATAGTGTGTGGTTATGTTGTCAGGAAGATAGTGTGTGGGCACTGGTTATGTTGTCAGGCAGATAATGTGTGGACACTGGTTATGTTGTCAGGAAAATAGTGTGTGGACACTGGTTATGTTGTCAGAAAGATAGTGTGTGGACACTGGTTATGTTGTCAGGAAGATAGTGTGTGGGCACTGGTTATGTTGTCAGGAAGATAGTGTGTGGTTATGTTGTCAGGAAGATAGTGTGTGGACACTGGTTGTGTTGTCAGGCAGATAGTATATTGGCACTTGTTATGATGTCAAGAAATTGTGTGTGGACACTGGTTATGATGTCAGGAAGATAGTGTGTGGGCACTGGTTATGTTGTCAGGAAGATAGTGTGTGGTTATGTTGTCAGGAAGATAGTGTGTGAACACTGGTTGTGTTGTCAGGCAGATAGTATATTAGCACTTGTTATGATGTCAAGAAATTGTGTGTGGACACTGGTTATGATGTCAGGAAAATAGTGTGTGGACACTGGTTATGTTGTCAGGAAGATAGTGTGTGGTTATGTTGTCAGGAAGATAGTGTGTGGGCACTGGTTATGTTGTCAGGCAGATAATGTGTGGACACTGGTTATGTTGTCAGGAAAATAGTGTGTGGACACTGGTTATGTTGTCAGAAAGATAGTGTGTGGACACTGGTTATGTTGTCAGGAAGATAGTGTGTGGGCACTGGTTATGTTGTCAGGAAGATAGTGTGTGGTTATGTTGTCAGGAAGATAGTGTGTGGACACTGGTTGTGTTGTCAGGCAGATAGTATATTGGCACTTGTTATGATGTCAAGAAATTGTGTGTGGACACTGGTTATGATGTCAGGAAAATAGTGTGTGGACACTGGTTATGTTGTCAGGAAAATAGTGTGTTGACACTGGTTATGATGTCAGGAAGATAGTGTGTTGACACTGGTTGTGTTGTCAGGCAGATAGTGTGTTGACACTGGTTATGATGTCAGGAAAATAGTGTGTGGACACTGGTTATGTTGTCAGGAAAATAGTGTGTGGACACTGGTTATGATGTCAGGAAGATAGTGTGTGGACACTGGTTGTGTTGTCAGGCAGATAGTGTGTGGACACTGGTTATGATGTCAGGCAGATAGTATGTGGACACTGGTTGTGTTGTCAGGCAGATAGTGTGTGGACACTGGTTATGTTGTCAGGCAGATAGTATGTGGACACTGGTTATGTTGTCAGGAAGATAGTGTGTGGACACTGGTTGTGTTGTCAGACAGATAGTGTGTGGACACTGGTTATGATGTCAGGAAAATAGTGTGAGGACACTGGTTGTGTTGTCAGACAGATAGTGTGTGGGCACTGGTTATGTTGTCAGACAGATAGTGTGTGGACACTGGTTATGTTGTCAGGGAGATAGTGTGAGGACACTGGTTGTGTTGTCAGACAGATAGTGTGTGGACACTGGTTATGTTGTCAGGGAGATAGTGTGTGGACACTGGTTGTGTTGTCAGACAGATAGTGTGTGGACACTGGTTATGATGTCAGGAAAATAGTGTGAGGACACTGGTTGTGTTGTCAGACAGATAGTGTGTGGGCACTGGTTATGTTGTCAGACAGATAGTGTGTGGACACTGGTTATGTTGTCAGGGAGATAGTGTGTGGACACTGGTTGTGTTGTCAGGCAGATAGTATATTTGCACTTGTTATGATGTCAGGAAAATAGTGTATGGACACTGGTTATGTTGTCAGGCAGATAGTGTGTGGTTATGTTGTCAGGAAGATAGTGTGTGGACACTGGTTGTGTTGTCAGGCAGATAGTATATTGGCACTTGTTATGATGTCAGGAAAATAGTGTGTGGACACTGGTTATGTTGTCAGACAGATAGTATGTGGACACTGGTTATGTTGTCAGGAAGATAGTGTGGGCACTGGTTGTGTTGTCAGGCAGATAGTGTGTAGACACTGGTTATGTTGTCAGGCAGATAGTGTGTGGACACTGGTTATGTTGTCAGGAAGATAGTGTGTGGACACTGGTTGTGTTGTCAGGCAGATAGTATATTGGCACTTGTTATGATGTCAGGAAAATAGTATGTGGACACTGGTTATGTTGTCAGACAGATAATATGTGGACACTGGTTATGTTGTCAGGCAGATAGTGTGTGGGCACTGGTTATGTTGTCAGGAAGATAGTGTGTGGACATTGGTTGTGTTGTCAGGCAGATAGTATATTGGCACTTGTTATGATGTCAGGAAAATAGCGTGTGGACACTGGTTATGTTGTCAGACAGATAGTATGTGGACACTGGTTATGTTGTCAGGAAGATAGTGTGTGGACACTGGTTATGTTGTCAGGAAAATAGTGTGTGGGCACTGGTTATGTTGTCAGGAATATAGTGTGTGGTTATGTTGTCAGGCAGATAGTGTGTGGACACTGGTTGTGTTGTCAGGCAGATAGTATATTGGCACTTGTTATGATGTCAGGAAAATAGTGTGTAGACACTGGTTATGTTGTGGTGTTGCAGAAGCTGCTGAATCCAACAAGAAATCAAAGAAGGAAGTCCTCAAGCCGGAGAGTGACGAGGAAGAGGGAGCTCCTGACGATGTGGACGTGAAGGAGTGGTTCGAGGCCAAGTCTCCCGAGGGCTACACATACTACTGGAGTACAGTCACAGGGGGTGAGTGATGGGGGGTTTGGGGGTGGTGATGGGGAGTTTGGGGGTGGTGATGGGGAGTTGGGAGATGGAGGGTGGTGATGGGGAGTTGGGGGTGGTGATGGGGAGTTGGGAGATGGAGGGTGGTGATGGGGAGTTGGGAGATGGAGGGTGGTGATGGGGAGATGGAGGGTGGTGATGGGGAGTTGGGAGATGGAGGGTGGTGATGGGGAGATGGAGGGTGGTGATGGGGAGTTGGAGGGTGGTGATGGGGAGATGGAGGGTGGTGATGGGGAGATGGAGGGTGGTGATGGGGAGATGGAGGGTGGTGATGGGGAGATGGAGGGTGGTGATGGGGAGTTGGGAGATGGAGGGTGGTGATGGGGAGTTGGGGGTGGTGATGGGGAGTTGGGAGTTGGGGGGTGGTGATGGGGAGTTGGGAGATGGAGGGTGGTGATGGGGAGATGGAGGGTGGTGATGGGGAGTTGGGGGTGGTGATGGGGAGTTGGGAGTTGGGGGGTGTTGATGGGGAGTTGGGAGATGGAGGGTGGTGATGGGGAGTTGGGGGTGGTGATGGGGAGTTGGGAGTTGGGGGGTGGTGATGGGGAGTTGGGAGATGGAGGGTGGTGATGGGGAGATGGAGGGTGGTGATGGGGAGTTGGGGGTGGTGATGGGGAGTTGGGAGATGGAGGGTGGTGATGGGGAGTTGGGGGTGTTGATGGGGAGTTGGGAGATGGAGGGTGGTGATGGGGAGTTGGGAGATGGAGGGTGGTGATGGGGAGTTGGGGGTGGTGATGGGGAGTTGGGAGATGGAGGGTGGTGATGGGGAGTTGGGGGTGTTGATGGGGAGTTGGGAGATGGAGGGTGGTGATGGGGAGTTGGGAGATGGAGGGTGGTGATGGGGAGATGGAGGGTGGTGATGGGGAGTTGGGGGTGGTGATGGGGAGATGGAGGGTGGTGATGGGGAGTTGGGAGATGGAGGGTGGTGATGGGGAGTTGGGGGTGGTGATGGGGAGATGGAGGGTGGTGATGGGGAGATGGAGGGTGGTGATGGGGAGTTGGGGGTGGTGATGGGGAGATGGAGGGTGGTGATGGGGAGTTGGGAGATGGAGGGTGGTGATGGGGAGTTGGGGGTGGTGATGGGGAGATGGAGGGTGGTGATGGGGAGATGGAGGGTGGTGATGGGGAGTTGGGAGATGGAGGGTGGTGATGGGGAGTTGGGGGTGTTGATGGGGAGATGGAGGGTGGTGATGGGGAGTTGGGGGTGTTGATGGGGAGATGGAGGGTGGTGATGGGGAGATGGAGGGTGGTGATGGGGAGTTGGGAGATGGAGGGTGGTGATGGGGAGATGGAGGGTGGTGATGGGGGGTTGGGAGATGGAGGGTGGTGATGGGGAGTTGGGAGATGGAGGGTGGTGATGGGGAGTTGGGAGATGGAGGGTGGTGATGGGGAGATGGAGGGTGGTGATGGGGAGTTGGGGGTGGTGATGGGGAGTTGGGGGTGGTGATGGGGAGATGGAGGGTGGTGATGGGGAGATGGAGGGTGGTGATGGGGAGTTGGGAGATGGAGGGTGGTGATGGGGAGATGGAGGGTGGTGATGGGGGGTTGGGAGATGGAGGGTGGTGATGGGGAGTTGGGAGATGGAGGGTGGTGATGGGGAGTTGGGAGATGGAGGGTGGTGATGGGGAGATGGAGGGTGGTGATGGGGAGTTGGGGGTGGTGATGGGGAGTTGGGAGATGGAGGGTGGTGATGGGGAGTTGGGAGATGGAGGGTGGTGATGGGGAGTTGGGGGTGTTGATGGGGAGTTGGGAGATGGAGGGTGGTGATGGGGAGTTGGGAGATGGAGGGTGGTGATGGGGAGTTGGGAGATGGAGGGTGGTGATGGGGAGTTGGGGGTGGTGATGGGGAGTTGGGAGTTGGAGGGTGTTGATGGGGAGTTGGGAGATGGAGGGTGGTGATGGGGAGTTGGGGGTGTTGATGGGGAGTTGGGAGATGGAGGGTGGTGATGGGGAGTTGGGAGATGGAGGGTGGTGATGGGGAGTTGGGAGATGGAGGGTGGTGATGGGGAGTTGGGGGTGGTGATGGGGAGTTGGGAGATGGAGGGTGGTGATGGGGAGTTGGGAGATGGAGGGTGGTGATGGGGAGATGGAGGGTGGTGATGGGGAGATGGAGGGTGGTGATGGGGGGTTGGGAGATGGAGGGTGGTGATGGGGAGTTGGGAGATGGAGGGTGGTGATGGGGAGTTGGGAGATGGAGGGTGGTGATGGGGAGTTGGGAGATGGAGGGTGGTGATGGGGAGTTGGGGGTGGTGATGGGGAGTTGGGAGATGGAGGGTGGTGATGGGGAGTTGGGGGTGGTGATGGGGAGTTGGGAGATGGAGGGTGGTGATGGGGAGTTGGGGGTGGTGATGGGGAGTTGGGAGATGGAGGGTGGTGATGGGGAGTTGGGGGTGGTGATGGGGAGTTGGGAGATGGAGGGTGGTGATGGGGAGTTGGGAGATGGAGGGTGGTGATGGGGAGATGGAGGGTGGTGATGGGGGGTTGGGAGATGGAGGGTGGTGATGGGGAGTTGGGAGATGGAGGGTGGTGATGGGGAGTTGGGGGTGGTGATGGGGAGTTGGGAGATGGAGGGTGGTGATGGGGAGTTGGGAGATGGAGGGTGGTGATGGGGAGTTGGGGGTGGTGATGGGGAGTTGGGAGATGGAGGGTGTTGATGGGGAGTTGGGAGTTGGGGGGTGTTGATGGGGAGTTGGGAGATGGAGGGTGGTGATGGGGAGTTGGGGGGTGTTGATGGGGAGTTGGGAGATGGAGGGTGGTGATGGGGAGTTGGGGGTGGTGATGGGGAGTTGGGGGTGGTGATGGGGAGTTGGGAGATGGAGGGTGGTGATGGGGAGTTGGGGGTGGTGATGGGGAGTTGGGAGATGGAGGGTGGTGATGGGGAGTTGGGAGATGGAGGGTGGTGATGGGGAGTTGGGGGTGGTGATGGGGAGTTGGGGGTGGTGATGGGGAGTTGGGAGATGGAGGGTGGTGATGGGGAGTTGGGGGTGGTGATGGGGAGTTGGGAGATGGAGGGTGGTGATGGGGAGTTGGGGGTGGTGATGGGGAGTTGGGAGATGGAGGGTGGTGATGGGGAGTTGGGAGATGGAGGGTGGTGATGGGGAGTTGGGGGTGGTGATGGGGAGTTGGGGGTGGTGATGGGGAGTTGGGAGATGGAGGGTGGTGATGGGGAGTTGGGAGATGGAGGGTGGTGATGGGGAGTTGGGGGTGGTGATGGGGAGTTGGGGGTGGTGATGGGGAGTTGGGAGATGGAGGGTGGTGATGGGGAGTTGGGAGATGGAGGGTGGTGATGGGGAGATGGAGGGTGGTGATGGGGAGTTGGGAGATGGAGGGTGGTGATGGGGAGTTGGGGGTGTTGATGGGGAGTTGGGAGATGGAGGGTGTTGATGGGGAGTTGGGAGATGGAGGGTGTTGATGGGGAGTTGGGAGTTGGGGGGTGTTGATGGGGAGTTGGGAGATGGAGGGTGGTGATGGGGAGTTGGGGGGTGTTGATGGGGAGTTGGGAGATGGAGGGTGGTGATGGGGAGTTGGGGGTGGTGATGGGGAGTTGGGGGTGGTGATGGGGAGTTGGGAGATGGAGGGTGGTGATGGGGAGTTGGGAGATGGAGGGTGGTGATGGGGAGTTGGGGGTGGTGATGGGGAGTTGGGGGTGGTGATGGGGAGTTGGGAGATGGAGGGTGGTGATGGGGAGTTGGGGGGTGTTGATGGGGAGTTGGGAGATGGAGGGTGGTGATGGGGAGTTGGGAGATGGAGGGTGGTGATGGGGAGTTGGGAGATGGAGGGTGGTGATGGGGAGTTGGGGGTGGTGATGGGGAGTTGGGGGTGGTGATGGGGAGTTGGGGGGTGGTGATGGGGAGTTGGGAGATGGAGGGTGGTGATGGGGAGTTGGGGGTGGTGATGGGGAGTTGGGGGTGGTGATGGGGAGTTGGGAGATGGAGGGTGGTGATGGGGAGTTGGGGGGTGTTGATGGGGAGTTGGGAGATGGAGGGTGGTGATGGGGAGTTGGGGGTGTTGATGGGGAGTTGGGAGATGGAGGGTGGTGATGGGGAGTTGGGAGATGGAGGGTGGTGATGGGGAGTTGGGAGATGGAGGGTGGTGATGGGGAGTTGGGGGTGGTGATGGGGAGTTGGGGGTGGTGATGGGGAGTTGGGGGTGGTGATGGGGAGTTGGGGGGTGTTGATGGGGAGTTGGGGGGTGGTGATGGGGAGTTGGGGGGTGACTGATGGGGAGTTGGGAGATGGAGGGTTGTTGATGGGGAGTTGGGGGGTGAGTGATGGGGTTTGGGGTGGTGGTGATGGGGAGTTGGGGGTGTTGGGGGGTGAGTGATGGGGAGTTGGGGGTGTTGATGGGGAGTTGGGAGATGAGTTATGGGGAGTTGGGGGTGGTGATGGGGGGTTGGGAGATGGAGGGTGGTGATGGGGAGTTGGGAGATGGAGGGTGGTGATGGGGAGTTGGGGGTGGTGATGGGGAGTTGGGGGTGGTGATGGGGAGTTGGGAGATGGAGGGTGGTGATGGGGAGTTGGGGGTGGTGATGGGGAGTTGGGGGTGGTGATGGGGAGTTGGGAGATGGAGGGTGGTGATGGGGAGTTGGGGGGTGTTGATGGGGAGTTGGGAGATGGAGGGTGGTGATGGGGAGTTGGGAGATGGAGGGTGTTGATGGGGAGTTGGGAGTTGGGGGGTGTTGATGGGGAGTTGGGAGATGGAGGGTGTTGATGGGGAGTTGGGAGATGGAGGGTGGTGATGGGGAGATGGAGGGTGGTGATGGGGAGTTGGGAGATGGAGGGTGGTGATGGGGAGTTGGGAGTTGGGGGGTGGTGATGGGGAGTTGGAGGGTGTTGATGGGGAGTTGGGAGATGGAGGGTGGTGATGGGGAGTTGGGGGTGTTGATGGGGAGTTGGGAGATGGAGGGTGGTGATGGGGAGTTGGGAGATGGAGGGTGGTGATGGGGAGTTGGGAGATGGAGGGTGGTGATGGGGAGATGGAGGGTGGTGATGGGGAGTTGGGAGATGGAGGGTGGTGATGGGGAGTTGGGAGATGGAGGGTGGTGATGGGGAGATGGAGGGTGGTGATGGGGAGTTGGGGGTGGTGATGGGGAGTTGGGGGTGGTGATGGGGGGTTGGGAGATGGAGGGTGGTGATGGGGAGATGGAGGGTGGTGATGGGGAGTTGGGGGTGGTGATGGGGGGTTGGGAGATGGAGGGTGGTGATGGGGAGTTGGGAGATGGAGGGTGGTGATGGGGAGATGGAGGGTGGTGATGGGGAGTTGGGAGATGGAGGGTGGTGATGGGGAGTTGGGGGTGGTGATGGGGAGTTGGGAGATGGAGGGTGGTGATGGGGAGATGGAGGGTGGTGATGGGGAGTTGGGGGTGGTGATGGGGGGTTGGGAGATGGAGGGTGGTGATGGGGAGTTGGGAGATGGAGGGTGGTGATGGGGAGTTGGGGGTGGTGATGGGGAGTTGGGAGATGGAGGGTGTTGATGGGGAGTTGGGGGTGTTGATGGGGAGTTGGGAGATGGAGGGTGGTGATGGGGAGTTGGGGGTGGTGATGGGGAGTTGGGAGATGGAGGGTGGTGATGGGGAGTTGGGAGTTGGGGGGTGTTGATGGGGAGTTGGGGGTGGTGATGGGGAGTTGGGAGATGGAGGGTGTTGATGGGGAGTTGGGGGTGTTGATGGGGAGTTGGGAGATGGAGGGTGGTGATGGGGAGTTGGGAGATGGAGGGTGGTGATGGGGAGTTGGGGGTGGTGATGGGGAGTTGGGGGTGGTGATGGGGAGTTGGGAGATGGAGGGTGGTGATGGGGAGTTGGGGGTGTTGATGGGGAGTTGGGAGATGGAGGGTGGTGATGGGGAGTTGGGAGATGGAGGGTGGTGATGGGGAGTTGGGAGATGGAGGGTGGTGATGGGGAGTTGGGAGATGGAGGGTGGTGATGGGGAGTTGGGGGTGGTGATGGGGAGTTGGGAGATGGAGGGTGGTGATGGGGAGTTGGGAGTTGGGGGGTGTTGATGGGGAGTTGGGGGTGGTGATGGGGAGTTGGGAGATGGAGGGTGTTGATGGGGAGTTGGGGGTGTTGATGGGGAGTTGGGAGATGGAGGGTGGTGATGGGGAGTTGGGAGATGGAGGGTGGTGATGGGGAGTTGGGGGTGGTGATGGGGAGTTGGGAGATGGAGGGTGGTGATGGGGAGTTGGGGGTGTTGATGGGGAGTTGGGAGATGGAGGGTGGTGATGGGGAGTTGGGGGTGGTGATGGGGAGTTGGGAGTTGGAGGGTGGTGATGGGGAGTTGGGAGATGGAGGGTGGTGATGGGGAGTTGGGAGATGGAGGGTGGTGATGGGGAGTTGGGGGTGGTGATGGGGAGTTGGGAGATGGAGGGTGGTGATGGGGAGTTGGGAGATGGAGGGTGGTGATGGGGAGTTGGGGGTGGTGATGGGGAGTTGGGAGATGGAGGGTGGTGATGGGGAGTTGGGAGATGGAGGGTGGTGATGGGGAGTTGGGAGATGGAGGGTGGTGATGGGGAGTTGGGGGTGGTGATGGGGAGTTGGGAGATGGAGGGTGGTGATGGGGAGTTGGGAGATGGAGGGTGGTGATGGGGAGTTGGGAGATGGAGGGTGGTGATGGGGAGTTGGGGGTGGTGATGGGGAGTTGGGAGTTGGGGGGTGTTGATGGGGAGTTGGGAGATGGAGGGTGGTGATGGGGAGATGGAGGGTGGTGATGGGGAGTTGGGGGTGGTGATGGGGAGTTGGGGGTGGTGATGGGGAGTTGGGGGGTGTTGATGGGGAGTTGGGGGTGGTGATGGGGAGTTGGGGGTGGTGATGGGGAGTTGGGGGTGGTGATGGGGAGTTGGGGGTGGTGATGGGGAGTTGGGGGTGGTGATGGGGAGTTGGGGGGTGTTGATGGGGAGTTGGGGGGTGGTGATGGGGAGTTGGGGGGTGACTGATGGGGAGTTGGGAGATGGAGGGTTGTTGATGGGGAGTTGGGGGGTGAGTGATGGGGTTTGGGGTGGTGGTGATGGGGAGTTGGGGGTGTTGGGGGGTGAGTGATGGGGAGTTGGGGGTGTTGATGGGGAGTTGGGAGATGAGTTATGGGGAGTTGGGGGTGGTGATAGGGAGTTTGGGTGTAGGTGATGGGGAGTTGGGGGTGGTGATTGGGAGTTAATAGGGAGTTTGGGTGTAGGTGATGGGGAGTTGGGGGATGGGTTTGGGAGTTGGGGGGTGAGTGATGGGGATTTGGGGTGTGGGTGATGAGGAGTCAGGCTGGTGGTGATTGGGAGTTGGGGGATGAAGGGTTGGGAGTTGAGGGGCGAGTGATGGGGAGTTGTGGTGTGGGTGATGAGGAGTCAGGCTGGTGGTGATTGGGAGTTGGGGGATGAAGGGTTGGGAGTTGAGGGGCGAGTGATGGGGAGTTGGGGATTTGGGGGATGGTGATGGAAGATTGCGGGGTGAGTGATCGGGAGTCTAGGGGAAGTGATGGGGAGTTTGGGGTTGGGTGATGGGAAGTTTGGGGGTGGGTGATGGGGAGTTTGGGGGTGGGGGATGGGGAGTCCAGGGGAAGTGATGGGGAGATTTGGGGTGGGTGATGGGGAGTTTGGGGGTGGGTGATGGGGAGCTTGGGGGTGAGTGATGGGGAGTCTAGGGGAAGTGATGGGGAGTTTGGGGGTGGGTGATGGGAAGTTTGGGGGTGAGTGATGGGGAGTCTAGGGGAAGTGATGGGGAGATTAGGGGTTGGTGATGGGGAGTTTGGGGGCGGGTGATCGGAAGTTTGGGGTATGGGTGATGGGGAGTTTGGGGGTGGGTGATGGGTAGTCCAGTGGGGGGTTAGCTGTGTCAGTTTCGGTGTGATATCCGACGGTGGCAGGGTAGTGAGGGGTTAGGTTGCAGAAATAACCTGTCCACACCCATATCTGGTGATGTTCTTCTGTTCTTGGCAGAATCTGTGTGGGAGCCGCCCGACTCATTCGTGTCACTTGCAGAGCAGGAACAGACAGAGAAAGGGGAGACAACAAAGGAGGAAGCGGTCACGGAAGTATATACCCATCACCTCCTTGCTGCTTACATGACTGACTGTCTGATAGGTGTTGTCAACTACTCACTGTTATATATACACTAGTGGATCCTGGGCCTACCTTGTCAACCAAGTAACACGAGGACAGTGTGAATGTTTGGTCTTCCTGGGGGTATCATGGTACCGCTAGGAAGGTGTGCACACAAACCTGTGAGGGGGCACGGATGGCCCTGTCGTCTAAGGCGCCGCGATTCGCTGTGCAGAGTTGCGTCCCTTGGGCACGCCAGAAATCTGGGATTGTGGGTTCGAACCCGGTTCGCCCCGATTATGTTTCTAGGTTTGTCAGCACCATACCCGTGCTCGTGGGTTTCACTGAAGTGGTAAACGTCTGAGACCTGCATCACTTTGGGCTTTCCTCCCACATTAAGCTGACACGCCGTGATTTAACTGGAATACTGTTAAAAGCGGCATTAAACCCAACTCACACACACACACACACACACACACACACACACACACACACACACACACACACACACACACACACACACACACACAAATCTGTGAAATAGTTGCAGTTTCAAACTAACTTTGTATCATGTTAATACTTTAAGGTGAGATTGTTACTGTGGTCAAGTTAGGGAATCTAACTTTTTGTTACTGCATAAAATGGTTTTCTCTCACTCTTTCAAATATAGTTACCATGGTAAACCAAGTTTTGTTGATTTCAGGAAGAGAACGATTCATTGAAAAGGAAATATGATGACAAGAGTATAGAAGATATATCACCGTCATCAATCCCCCTCCCTGTAGAGAGCATCCCCTTGCCTAGCGATGACCCCTCCCCACCTAGCGATGAACCCTCCCCTATAGATATCCCCCTCCCGGCTGAGGAACCCCCTCCCAAGAAGAGGGACGACCCAAAGTGGGCGCGATGTGCGTACGGCACCTGGGAGACTGTCAGGGAGGAGGAACCGTGAGTACCTCACGCATACTTCCCCGATAAATATTTCACAGTCTGTATGTATGTCACTTGTACTTCCCCGATAAATATATCACAGTCTGTATGTATGTCACTTGTACTTCCCCGATAAATATATCACAGTCTGTATGTATGTCACTTGTACTTCCCGATAAATATATCACAGTCTGTATGTATGTCACTTGTACTTCCCCGATAAATATATCACAGTCTGTATGTATGTCACTTGTACTTCCCCGATAAATATATCACAGTCTGTATGTATGTCACTTGTACTTCCCCGATAAATATATCACAGTCTGTATGTATGTCACTTGTACTTCCCCGATAAATATATCAGTCTGTATGTATGTCACTTGTACTTCCCCGATAAATATATCACAGTCTGTATGTATGTCACTTGTACTTCCCAGATAAATATATCACAGTCTGTATGTATGTCACTTGTACTTCCCTGATAAATATATCACAGTCTGTATGTATGTCACTTGTACTTCCCAGAAAAATATATCACAGTCTGTATGTATGTCACTTGTACTTCCCAGATAAATATATCACAGTCTGTATGTATGTCACTTGTACTTCCCAGATAAATATATCACAGTCTGTATGTATGTCACTTGTACTTCCCAGATAAATATATCACAGTCTGTATGTCTTGCGTACTTCCCAGATAAATATACCACAGTCTGTATGTACGTCACTCATACTTCCTGGATAAATATATTACAGTCTGTATGTCACTTGTACTTCCCAGATGATTATATCACAGTCTGTATGTATGTCAGTCGTACCTCCCAGATAAATACATCAGTCTGTATGTATGTCACTGGTACCTCCTAGATAAATATATAACAGCCTGTATATCACAGTCTGTATGTACGTCACTCATACTTCCCAGAGAAATATATCACAGTCTGTATGTCTCTCATACTTCCCGGAGAAATATATCACAGTGTGTATGTATGTCACACATACTTTCCCGATAAATATATCTCCGTCTGTATATCACTCGCACTTCCCCGATAAATATATCTCCGTCTGTATGTCACCCATACTTCCCAGATAAATATATCACAGTCTGTATGTACGTCACTCATACTTTCCGGATAAATATATCATAGTCTGTATGTTTCTCATACTTCCTGGCTCAGATAAATATTTGTTTCTTTTTAGTGGCTTAGATCAAATGTGTTATTTACATGCTTCTTTTCAGTTGCAGTGATCAAATGTGTGATTTACGTGTTTGCTTTCAGTCACAGTGATCTGATGTGTGATTTACACGTTGAGTGTTTCCAGGTACAGTGATCAAATGTGTGATTTACTTGTTTTCAGTCACAGTGATCAAATGTGTGATTTACACGTTTAGTGTTTCCAGTCACAGTGATGAAATGTGTGATTTACTCGTTTTCAGTCACAGTGATCAAATGTGTGATTTACATGTTTGCTTTCATTCACAGTGATCTAATGTGTGATTTACACATGTTATGTGTTTCAGTAACAGTGATCAAATGTGTGATTTACACGTTTGTTTTAGTCACAGTGATGAAATGTGTGATTTGCTCGTTTGTTTTCTGTCACTGTGATCAAATATATGATTTACACATTTGTTTTCAGTCCTCCTGATATGGAACTGCCAAAGACGGTGAATGAAATCCCCCTTCCTGATCTCCCCCAACAGGAGCCTCGGTCAAGGTTCAAGGAGAAAAAAGTGACCTCTCTAGGAAGCGGATCAGGGTCAGTGACCTTCAAGAAGAGAAAGCTGGGATCTGGGGCACGAAACGTCAGACAGAGAGACAATGATAACTGAATGGTTGCAAGGGGACAGACAAAATGATAAAATGGTTTCCATGGTAACTGTTGCCATTGGATAGGTAGGGACTGAACGAAATTCACGATGGTGGAATGCTCACATTTTAAAAAAAATATTTTTTAGAAGCTACTGTAGTTTGATTGAAGGGAAATGAGTAATGGCAATATATTATATTGCACAATATTTTTTAGATAAACCATATTAATATTTAGAAACAATAAGATATCATTGACAACATGGATTTTCTGTTGAAACAACAACCTCAGCATTGAAACTGTAGACTGTACTCAACTGTCACGAAGGATACACTAACCCCGTTCATATATATTGTTTCAATATTTTTGTAGAAAACTTCCCTCAAATATGTCACAGATATTTATATAAAGCATATACTTCTCCTCTTTATATCTTAGTGGGCACTTCCTGTGTGTCTGTCTCAGTCGCAACTGAAGCATACTGTGATAGCATCTACGATTTTATTACACATTGACTGCCATTGACACATCCTTAGCATCGAGCATGTTTAGTTTGTGCTGCTGTGGAACATGCTTAGTTTGTGCTGCTGATGTCAGAGGGAGCTGTTGGAGGTGAGCTCCTCGTCATGATGGAGAGAACACAGAGAGACTGTGACTGTGCTTCCTTGTTTGGAAATTGGGGGCTTGAAGGTCACAATGGACTCCCAAAATATCTCACCCCACTGATACCCCAATAATGCCCATTCAAGTTCCCCTGAGTATCCCATTATCCCCCCTGAAGTCTAGGGCAGATTCTCAGTAAGCTTTCTTCCTTTTATACATTGTATGTAACATGTCTGGAACTAGCCCAGCATTAGCCAGTGCTGGTGTCAGTGGGGACAGCTGCTGCTTAGTGTGCATGTGTTTCACACACAGATTCCTTTCTCAGACCATCTGCGGCATGTCCGAGTCATACAAGGCGTCTCAGTTTGCAGGACAGAATCTCTGTCATGGCTGAGGTCATGTTTGCAGAGAACGTCCCACAGAGCTGATGTTCTGCTGATGTTTTGTTTCAGCTGATCAGTTGACTGATGTTGATGAAGTGTAGGGCCAGGAGCTGGTACGTGTTACTTATGTAAAAAATGAAAATAAACAGTGAAAAACTATGTATTGTTTGTTCTCTATGTGAATGTAGGTGTCTGGAGGTGTTGGTTGTCCTGTGAATGTAGGTGTCTGGGGAGCGTTGATTGTCCTCCATGTGAATGTAGGTGTCTTGGGAGCGTTGGTTGTCCTCCATGTGAATGTAGGTGTCTGGGGAGCGTTGGTTGTCCTCCATGTGAATGTAGGTGTCTGGGGAGCGTTGATTGTCCTCCATGTGAATGTAGGTGTCAATGGGTGTTGGTTGTCCTGTGAATGTAGGTGTCTGGGGAGCGTTGGTTGTCCTCCATGTGAATGTAGGTGTCAATGGGTGTTGGTTGTCCTGTGAATGTAGGTGTCTGGGGAGCGTTGATTGTCCTCCATGTGAATGTAGGTGTCAATGGGTGTTGGTTGTCCTGTGAATGTAGGTGTCTGGGGAGCGTTGGTTGTCCTCCATGTGAATGTAGGTGTCAATGGGTGTTGGTTGTCCTGTGAATGTAGGTGTCTGGGGAGCGTTGATTGTCCTCCATGTGAATGTAGGTGTCTTGGGAGCGTTGGTTGTCCTCCATGTGAATGTAGGTGTCTGGGGAGCGTTGATTGTCCTCCATGTGAATGTAGGTGTCTGGAGAGCGTTGGTTGTCCTCCATGTGAATGTAGGTGTCTGGGGGGTGTTGGTTGTCCTGTGAATGTGAATGTGATTGTGAAACAATCTGGTGATCGTTAACTTCTTTTGAGTAGTTTATTTGAGAGACATGATGACCTATGTGGGAAATATGAAGAATACACAGCATCAAACGTTTCCGCGACAAACTTAAAGCAGGAATTTGCCAAATGAATTTTCATATTTTTATGTTAAGACAGGAGTCACACCCTGAGTGTGGCTATTTAGTTGTAAATGCATTCTATGTTATACGTCAGACAATACAAACAAATAACGGATGAGATGTGGAAAGAGGGGGCATGTGTTTAATTTGAAATGCATAATCACTCGGGATAGTTGACTGACAAGGGTTTTATGTGGAACTTTATAACATCCTTTATGTACAAACTGCATTGTGGGATAGGTATCCTGTATCTGGCTTCAATACGTCTTCCGAGGCAAGGGAGTTAACTGATAAAAATGTCCCTTTCCAATCTTGCCGAAGTTATGGTGAAATTGTGGCTGTACTTGAAGAGTATTTGCATTGTCCAATCAAAATCACGTAACGAAATCAGCACCCGGTTCGTAAACTGTCGTGCAGATTTCGGTCGATTGCTGGATTTGCAAAGCATGTGTATGGTCAACTTAGCGTCAACAGATATTTTCCAAATCTTTTCATGATTTTATTCAAGTTGCCCACGTCATTTCATGCACTTCGCGAAGTAAGACCCGTTTTATTACAATATAGATCTTGATTATCGATCAGGTCGTCTTCACTGGGGGCCGCCATTTTGTTTGAAGCAAAATGCAAGTGATATGAGAGGTGGAATCTGATTGGTCAATAGAAGGAACATAACTCAGAATAGACACTGGTGGCGCTACGATCTCACCCAAATATTCCGGCCTTGGGTGGACAAGACAGTTATCTCCTATGCCTCGGAGGATGGTTTAAACACCGCCCCAGTGCAGACATGGTGAACACAACCCGGACCAGTGTTGCAGCAAGACTTCCAAAAACACATACTGCCTTCAATAAATCCTCAGCCAAACAGAGCATCTATGTTGCATACTTTGAATTGGGAACACCTGTTTTTTGGAATCCCTGGGATTGTCTTAAATGCACGGTTGAATCTCACGGTTTGTTATGCTCTTACCATTAGAACGTGACCTTGCCTGAAGGTCAGCAACAAGTGCAGCTCTAGGTTGTTGTTTAACGCCACACTCAGCAATATTCGAGCTTTTTGACGGCGGTCGGAGATAATCGAGTCTGGATCAGACAATCCAGTGATTGACATCATGAACATCGATCCACGCAATCTGGAATCGATGACATGCATCGACCACAAGCATAGTCGCCTTTTACGGCAAGCATGGGTTACCGAAGACCTATTCTACCCCGGATCTTCATGGGTGTAGCTCAAGTACTAGTATCCACACACATGCGTGGATGTCTTTTGGATAAAAGGTCAAACATATACATACATCATACATAAATCATACAGAACCTCATTAACTGTCCCAAGAAATTACTAAAACACGTAATTTTAATGAGAGAATAATAGCGTAAGTGTACGGTAACTGTTAGGCTGGGTGCTCAGAATGCGAGATTCCTTGACAACCCCTGCGTTCGTTGCAGTTGTCATAACAACGGGAAGGCGACAGTTAGAAAGGGAAGGAATTGGCCACACCCAAATCCTATCGGCGTCATACAAGACGTGTGGAATACATACGGTAGAACAATAATGCAAAGCGAGCACCCAGCCTATGAAGTTGGGCTGAGCGACACAGTTCATCTTTCATCTTTCTGCATGGTTACTAGCTCTTGTAAGTTCCAAGTCAACGAAGGAAGTCTTGTAATATGAATGAAGTTCAAAGTGGAACACGTAGCACTCGCATCGTGTCGTCCTGACACACACTGTTCTCCTGGTGCCATGAACCAATACCATGTTCAGACACAAGACACAGTTCAACTCAACACCAGATGTCCACCATTACAGAAGCTGCTGGTCCGCCACTATACGTAAGGATACACTGGGCTACGGGAGAAAGTCCCCCCAGACTGTGTGTCACGTGGGTAGCTGTTGTACAGTCCGCTCACCCGAGGGATTGTGGAATAGACTGGCAAGGTCTGCCATCCAAGTTCAGCAGTTCATTCAACATCCAATCAGAACATTCGCTTAAATTCATCTATGTGTTCCATCCTATCAATACATGGCAGACTATCATGTACACTGTTGCCACGGCAACGGTAACTAGCATCATTGGAAATCCGACTCTGCAACAGAAAGGTTTGTCAGTCATGTTTTGTGTACTACGTCATTTGGAAGTTCATGCTGGTAACAGTCATACAGGTACATTTGTTTATATAAACTTGGAGATCTGTGAAATTGGATATCCCATTTTGAAGAGTATTTGCCAACTTGACGAGTAAAGCGAAACGGGATGCAGGCCTTAGACATTTGCAGCTTAAGGTACGGTGCTGACAAACCAAGGAACTTGGGCGAATCTAGAATTCGAACCAACTATCTGACACAGGTGAGAGTCGCACCTCGCCGCCTTGGATAACATGGCCACCGGGGTGTGATGGAGAATGAAAGGAAATCATTAACCTCGTTCAGTGTACTTGTAAATTATACTTCCGGCACCACATGAACCCATTGTGTATACCTAGTTCCGACATCAGGGAAGTACTTTCTATATATATCTAGTGCCGGCATCATGAAGTATTTATTACATATACCTAGTGCCGGCATCATGAAGTACCTACTACATATACCTAGTGTCGACATCATGAAGTACTTACTACATATACCTAGTATCGACATCATGAAGTACCTACTACATATACCTAGTGCCGACATCATGAAGTACTTACTACATATACCTAGAGCCGGCATCATGAAGTATTTACTACATATACCTAGTGCCAACATCATGAAGTACTTACTACATATACCTAGTGTCGACATCATGAAGTACTTACTACATATACCTAGTGCCAACATCATGAAGTACTTACTACATATACCTAGTGCCGACATCATGAAGTACTTACTACATATACCTAGTGCCGACATCATGAAGTACTTACTACATATACCTAGTGCCAACATCATGAAGTACTTACTACATATACCTAGTGTCGACATCATGAAGTACTTACTACATATACCTAGTGCCGACACCATGAAGTACTTACTACATATACCTAGTGCCGACATCATGAAGTACTTACTACATATACCTAGTGTCGACATCATGAAGTACTTACTACATATACCTAGTGCCGACATCATGAAGTACTTACTACATATACCTAGTGCCGACATCATGAAGTACTTACTACATATACCTAGTGTCGACATCATGAAGTACTTACTACATATACCTAGTGCCGACATCATGAAGTACTTACTACATATACCTAGTGCCGACATCATGAAGTACTTACTACATATACCTAGAGCCGACATCATGAAGTACTTACTACATATACCTAGTGCCGACATCATGAAGTACTTACTACATATACCTAGTGTCGACATCATGAAGTACTTACTACATATACCTAGTGTCGACATCATGAAGTACTTACTACATATACCTAGTGCCGGCATCATGAAGTATTTACTACATATACCTAGTGACGACATCATGAAGTACTTACTACAGATACCTAGTGCCGACACCATGAAGTACTTACTACATATACCTAGTGCCGGCATCATGAAGTACTTACTACATATACCTAGTGCCGACATCATGAAGTACTTACTACATATATCTAGTGTCGACATCATGAAGTACTTACTACATATACCTAGAGCCGACATCATGAAGTACTTACTACATATACCTAGTGTCGACATCATGAAGTACTTACTACATATACCTAGTGCCGACACCATGAAGTACTTACTACATATACCTAGTGCCGGCATCATGAAGTACTTACTACATATACCTAGTGCCGACATCATGAAGTACTTACTACATATACCTAGTGCCGGCATCATGAAGTACTTACTACATATACCTAGTGCCGACATCATGAAGTACTTACTACATATACCTAGTGCCGGCATCATGAAGTACTTACTACATATACCTAGAGCCGGTATCATGAAGTACTTACTACATATACCTAGTGCCGACACCATGAAGTACTTACTACATATACCTAGAGCCGACACCATGAAGTACTTACTACATATACCTAGTGTCGACATCATGAAGTACTTACTACATATACCTAGTGCCGACATCATGAAGTACTTACTACATATACCTAGTGCCGACATCATGAAGTACTTACTACATATACCTAGTGCCGACATCATGAAGTACTTACTACATATACCTAGTGCCGGCATCATGAAGTACTTACTACAAATACCTAGAGCCGGTATCATGAAGTACTTACTACATATACCTAGTGCCGACACCATGAAGTACTTACTACATATACCTAGAGCCGACACCATGAAGTACTTACTACATATACCTAGTGTCGACATCATGAAGTACTTACTACATATACCTAGTGCCGACATCATGAAGTACTTACTACATATACCTAGTGTCGACATCATGAAGTACTTACTACATATACCTAGTGCCGGCATCATGAAGTACTTACTACATATACCTAGTGCCGACATCATGAAGTACTTACTACATATACCTAGTGCCGACACCATGAAGTACTTACTACATATACCTAGAGCCGACACCATGAAGTACTTACTACATATACCTAGTGTCGACATCATGAAGTACTTACTACATATACCTAGTGCCGACATCATGAAGTACTTACTACATATACCTAGTGCCGACACCATGAAGTACTTACTACATATACCTAGTGCCGACATTATGAAGTACTTACTACATATACCTAGTGCCGACACCATGAAGTACTTACTACATATACCTAGTGCCGACATCATGAAGTACTTACTACATATACCTAGTGCCAACATCATGAAGTACTTACTACATATACCTAGTGCCGACACCATGAAGTACTTACTACATATACCTAGTGCCGGCATCATGAAGTACTTACTACATATACCTAGTGTCGACATCATGAAGTACTTACTACATATACCTAGTGCCGACATCATGAAGTACTTACTACATATACCTAGTGCCGACATCATGAAGTACTTACTACATATACCTAGTGCCGACATCATGAAGTACTTACTACATATACCTAGTGCCGACATCATGAAGTACTTACTACATATACCTAGTGTCAACATCATGAAGTACTTACTACATATACCTAGTGCCGACATCATGAAGTACTTACTACATATACCTAGTGCCGACATCATGAAGTACTTACTACATATACCTAGTGTCGACATCATGAAGTACTTACTACATATACCTAGTGCCGGCATCATGAAGTACTTACTACATATACCTAGTGTCAACATCATGAAGTACTTACTACATATACCTAGTGTCGACATCATGAAGTACTTACTACATATACCTAGTGCCGGCATCATGAAGTACTTACTACATATACCTAGTGCCGACACCATGAAGTACTTACTACATATACCTAGTGCCGACATCATGAAGTACTTACTACATATACCTAGTGCCGACATCATGAAGTACTTACTACATATACCTAGTGTCGACATCATGAAGTACTTACTACATATACCTAGAGCCGACATCATGAAGTACTTACTACATATACCTAGTGCCAACATGATGAAGTACTTACTACATATACCTAGTGCCGGTATCATGAAGTACTTACTACATATACCTAGTGCCGACATCATGAAGTACTTACTACATATACCTAGTGCCGGCATCATGAAGTACTTACTACATTTACCTAGTGCCGACATCATGAAGTACTTACTACATATACCTAGTGCCGACACCATGAAGTACTTACTACATATACCTAGTGTCAACATCATGAAGTACTTACTACATATACCTAGTGCCGACATCATGAAGTACTTACTACATATACCTAGTGCCGGCATCATGAAGTACTTACTACATATACCTAGTGCCGGCATCATGAAGTACTTACTACATATACCTAGTGCCGGCATCATGAAGTACTTACTACATATACCTAGTGCCGACACCATGAAGTACTTACTACATATACCTAGTGTTGACATCATGAAGTACTTACTACATATATCTCGTGCCGACATCATGAAGTACTTACTACATATACCTAGTGCCGACATCATGAAGTACTTACTACATATACCTAGTGCCGACATCATGAAGTACTTACTACATATATCTAGTGCCGGCATCATGAAGTACTTACTACATATACCTAGTGCCGACATCATGAAGTACTTACTACATATATCTAGTGCCGGCATCATGAAGTACTTACTACATATACCTAGTGCCGACACCATGAAGTACTTACTACATATACCTAGTGCCGACATCATGAAGTACTTACTACATATACCTAGTGTCGACATCATGAAGTACTTACTACATATACCTAGTGTCAACATCATGAAGTACTTACTACATATACCTAGTGCCGGCATCATGAAGTACCTACTACATATACCTAGAGCCGGCATCATGAAGTACTTACTACATATACCTAGTGCCGACACCATGAAGTACTTACTACATATACCTAGTGCCGACATCATGAAGTACTTACTACATATACCTAGTGCCTGCATCATGAAGTACTTACTACATATACCTAGTGCCGGCATCATGAAGTACTTACTACATATACCTAGTGTCGACATCATGAAGTACTTACTACATATACCTAGTGCCGACACCATGAAGTACTTACTACATATACCTAGTGCCGGCATCATGAAGTACTTACTACATATACCTAGTGACGACATCATGAAGTACCTACTACATATACCTAGAGCCGGCATCATGAAGTACTTACTACATATACCTAGTGCCGGAATCATGAAGTACTTACTACATATACCTAGTGTCGACATCATGAAGTACTTACTACATATACCTAGTGTCGACATCATGAAGTACTTACTACATATACCTAGTGTCAACATCATGAAGTACTTACTACATATACCTAGTGTCAACATCATGAAGTACTTACTACATATACCTAGTGTCAACATCATGAAGTACTTACTACATATACCTAGTGCCGACATCATGAAGTACTTACTACATGTACCTAGTGCCGGCATCATGAAGTACTTACTACATATACCTAGTGCCGACACCATGAAGTACTTACTACATATA